ATCATTGTCTGTTAAAATATGTATTAAATATCGTTTGGACATTCTTCACAACTCATCTCAACAGTTTGGGTCATACCCGGTATTATTATGTAGTTCACACTCTCATTAACAATAAAGCATATAAAACTTAAAGATCACAGAGTGCAAGATTCTTTGTCGGATGTTCCTTAGTACTACGATGATGTCCTGAATATACTGGAGTTACTGGCTCTTTAAACCTTGGCAAACTCAAAAATTAGCTAATTCATCCTAAACTGTAAGCTCTTAGTAAATCTAGCAAAGTGACTATTAAAAAATTACATTGATACACCATTCTTGCAATTAGCTTTCGAATATCTGGTAGAAATCCCAGTTGCAATATTTAGAACCATATATGCCTATTTAGGTGATCATAATAATTTCCGTTATTATCTTTGGTAACAAGCATACCAAGTTTGGTATGCTACATACCGAATGATGCCTTTTCGTAGCTAGACACGTATGCCCATATTGTTGGGGTTTCTACCCTTGTGGTTTGGATCTGCATGGGCATCACAACCAGTGGAATACATATACGATATTTTATAGAATAACAATCGAATTTTGAATTGAAATCTTCATTGATTGATTCTCGGAATAGTCTCAAACTTCTCTTTTTTGTTTTTACCGCTTTCAACTTTTTTGTTTTCCTCTCCACTGTTGCCAAGTCAGTAAGTCAGTTACAACGTGGAATTTCGTATGTAAGCACATCAGTTCAGGTTTTCATACCGCTTTAGCACAGAAACGTAACTGTCAGTTCAAATCGCATAGTGGTAGAGATAGTAGAACCATTAACAGTAATCAGAGAGATTATTGATTATTACTATTATTATTATTGAAGAAGTATAGTTCAGTGAGGTAAATTTAGAAAGAGAAAGATAGAGGTGATGAATTGAGAAGGTTGGAATTTCACAACACACAATGAATGAACCTGCGACACTGCAAACGGTTTAGAACCATGTCATCCAGTGTCTCTAACCATCGACTATTATAATTATTATAATTCCCAACCAGGTAATCGACACCTACCTACATGACTCAGTCCACTTGTCAATGACTTCATGGATTTCTGCCATGTTTTGGTTTGGCCGCCCCTAGCTTTCTTCCAACCTACCCGTACACCACAAAACATAGCTCGTCGAGGCAGTCGGTGGTTAGGCATTCATAACACATGTCCCAACCACCTCAACTAATGCAGTTTCAATACTATTGATCTGCTATTCTTACCTAGCACCCGTTTCCCAACCACAGTACTGCTTACTCGGCTGTCCCACGATACTCGAGCAATGCTTCGGAGACACCTATAACCGAAAACAAGTAACCTACGAATATTTTCTACGCTGACTGTCAATGTTTCACAGCCATAAATTAGGACGAAGCGAACTACTGCACAGTACACTCGTCCTTTGCTAACGAATGGATATCTCGCCTTCGCCATAAGTGACGTAGGTTAGCAAAAGCCAATCAAGCTTTCTGTATCTGTGCTGAGATTTCGTCAGTCACCGGGCCATCAACACTGATGAGACTCTGGAGATAGGTGAAGTGGTCGACATGCTCAATTACTTCACTCCCTACCACTAGTTCAGGTACCGATGAAACCTAGTCTTGAAGCAACATTTTGCATTTCGAGGGTGAGAACCGCATCCCGAACATGCTTGCATTGTTGCTCAGGCTAGTCAAAAGACTGCATTTTTTCAACGTCTTTACAGGTTAAAACTCACATCAGCATATTTTAAGTCAGCAAACGTGTCTCGTGGTAAAAGGTCCACTCATGAAGAGTCAGACGATGATAATGTTTACTCTAAAAGCATATCTACGATAAAGTTAAACAAGAATGGAGAGAGTTGACATCCCTGACGGACGCAACCTGAAGTAAAGAATTCCGATGACAGTTTGTCATAGGCTCTCACTCAACCAGTGGTGTTCGAGTAGAGAGCTTGTGTGAGGTTAATCGTTCGCAATGGCGCCGGTGCATTTATTCTTTGTGTTCTCTCAAATCCTAATCTTCTGGATTCTTCAACCCCTCTAGTTTTGACTTTCTAAACTTTTCTCAATGAATCATACTTCTTGAATAATATCTTCTAATCCTAACCTCTCCGATTACTTCTAATACCTTTACTACCTATACAACTATTGGATTTGAATTGACAATTACATCTCTGTGCTGATGTGGTATGGCGACATGAACTGATGTACTTACGTACGAAGTTCTACGTTGTATCTGACTGACTGACAGAACCTCACGGTCAACGGAGTCGAATGGCGCTTTAAGGTCAAGAAATACTGCTATTGTGGGACGTCTGAACTTGTGTATTTGTTCTAGGACCTGACCTAGTGTGAATATTTGGTCTATACAGCCACATCCAGGTCTGAAACCAGCCTGGTTTTCCCTCGTCTGTCTTCTCTAGCTTTCGTTAAGCGTCGGAGTATTATTGAGGCCAATATTTTAGGTACTATATTAGTTAGACTGATTTCTCTGTGATTGTCACAAGAGAACTTTTGTCCTTTCTTATATACTGGGACAATCAATGATTGAGACCAGTCAAATGGGATTACACCCAGTTCCAGGATTCTACCTAAGATCTCAGTCAATCTAGCTGCTAAAACTGGACCACCATCCTTAAAAATCTGAGGAGTCAATCTATCAGGTCCTGCAGCTCGCCCTCGCTTCAGATTTCCCATAACTTTTTCAGCTTCATAAAGATTCGGAGGGTCTACGTTGACTTGCCATTCAGGATGACTGGAGATCGTGGGTAACCGAAGTGTGGCTGAAGGCCAGTTGAACTGATCCCTGAAGTGTTCTGCCCATCGGTCCAATCTCCTGGGTTGAGAATGAATCATAGTCCCATCCTTTTCCGAGATAGTCTCACGATCAGATTCCTAATACGGGTCTCCTTGATAAGTCGGAAAAACTGTCCACTGATGCCTATCGCCGCTGCCTTTTCCATCGCTTTTGCTTTCTCCACCCACCACTGTTCGCGATCATTGCGTAGGCTTTTAATCAGCCTGCGCTTTAGCTGATTTCGCTCTTCATCATGTTCTGAGCCAGATGGGATGAGTTTACGAGCGTCTGTCAATTCAGTGGATGCCACTTAGATCCACGGCTTCTTCCTAGCCTCATGGTTTACCTGACTAGCAGAAATCACTGCTGTTTCCACAGCCTTTTTGATATCATACCAACCTGCTTCTGGATGGGAATCACTTGCATGGTTGCCTAACTCTCTAGTTGCTTTTGAAATATATTCTTAGCTTTATTATCATTAAATAAAACCATAAGAGGCTTCCTTATGGTGTCTTTCCTACGTCCAGTAAGCCTCAAACAAATACGAGCTCGCACTAGGGCATGATCTGAATCTAAACATGTGCCCCAGAACGAGCAACAGTCCTCTATCGAACCTCTCTATCGGTGGCTGATGACGATGTGATCTAGTTGGGTCCAACGTTGAGACGACTTTAGGGGTGGCCATGTCAAGAGATGATTTTCCTAATGCCTTAAGTTAGTGATTGCTAGAAATAGGCGGTTATCTGAGAATAGTTGCAACAGACGGTCACCATTGTCTGTTATCTGAGCCGCCACCAAGGTGTCTTTCATTTTCACTTAGTCTACCTACTTGAGCGTTAAAGTCACCAGCGATTATTACTACATCAGAGTGCTTACTTTTTGGAGGAGGTCCGAATGCTTTCTGTAAAACTCATCTTTTACCTCGTCTGCACTGCAGTCAGTGGGGGCATAGGCAGATTCGACAAAGAGGCAACGGCTGGTGTCCCTATCTTTCCGAATCCTTACTGTCTCGTTCAGTCGGACAGCGCACAAGCGACTGTCTACAGGGATCCAGTCTAGGAGAGCTAGTTCTGCCCCACGACTCAATACTATACCTACACCAGCGAGACCCATGGAAGCAGCATCAGGGCTACCAGATAAGCGAAGTCGATCGAGCTGCTTCTTTATTTTTACGAGGTGAAATCAGACTAATGATTTTACTCGGATCTTGTATGCGCGTTTGGGAGACGCAGCATACATCGATGGCTCGAGATTCTAAAGTCCTAGCTAAGGAAGCCTGTTGCCCTATTTGACACAATGTCCATACATTAAATGCTCCAACATGTAGTTTAGAACGTGGTTTCAGAAGACCAGGAATAACGTTTCGTGAACTCGCATCGTTTGGATTAGCGGTGCAGTGAGCTGCAGGAATGCGACCAGAGTTAGTCGTAGAGATAAGAGAGATATTTAGGGGGTGTAAGAAGGATTTGATCTCCCCCAATTTGGTCTCGTGTGTTGTCCGAGAGAAACACCTTACTGCTGTCACACCCCTCTACAGTCAGTCAGCAGTACGACTTCGCCCTCAGACCTAAGTAGCTGCTTTTAGTCTGATCGTTCTCCAATCGACCTGTCTGGCATGGTAGAACCTTCAGGAACATATGTTCCAGCCATTATAGCTCGGTTGGGTCATCATGATGGGCAAGCCCGACCACCACGTCAATGTAGTAGCTAAAGTCGGGCTCTGTTGCCAAGTGTAGTTACTTAAATCAATATTCATTTGAAAGGTTCCCTTTTTATGCCTGTATCATTTTTGTCAGGATTTCAAGGGGATCGGTTGTTATTAGGCTTATTTTTCTCCTTAAATATATCGCAAACAATATCAGATTGGTTCCCGCTAGTGGCTAGCTGTCGAAACTTTCTCAATTTGTGCTTACCCTTTGCACTCTAGAAACGTTTTAATCTACGTTTCGAAATGCCCATGTTAGATCTGTGAAATGTTGCGTCTAAGAATTCTTCGCAATACACTTTGTTAAATAAACGGATGTTAGAGACTTGCTCAGTATTTTGTACGGGATAGTACTCTAGAGTGGAAAGTAGTATGATCTTTGTGCTATTTTGGAAGCTTATTTTATTCTTTCAATCTAATTTCAGTTTTTTTTTTACAAAGAATATATGTATATATATCTAATCATTTGTTATATTTTACTACAAGGTTGAACAAATGCTTGATTCTCTTTCGTGTTCTGGGGACAGTTTGTTGTCGAAAGAGGCTTTTGATGTAAAAGAAATAGCTCCTGAAAATACTTCAAAGAAGTCATATGTAAGTATTGATACATCTATTCCATGAATATGGTTTGTACTTGGTCCGGGTATGGTCATATATAAATATATCAGGTATTATTTGATCATTTAATTTACAAATTCCGGTACTACTTGGTACCGAAAGAGTTTGTTCTACACAAAATAAGGTGATAATATCGTAAAGAAATAAAGAATAGGAGGGTATGCGTTCAAGAAGATCAGTAAGCAATAGTACTGTAATTGGAAATGTAGTTCGGTTGTAAATGTATCCAAGCCAGACTGTCAATTAAGGAAGCCCCTCTCATTGTTACGTTGCTGCTTGAGGTGGTCAGAATGCTGATGCGTATAATCTATCCCTCTTGAATAAATGAGCGAGTAGTTCATTTTACATTCATTGCTTTAAAAGGAAATAGAAGCCAATTATTGATGGTTCTAGCACGTAAAACAGCCAACAGTCTTCGTTTGGTTATTAGCTTAACCAGCAGGATCCATCAATTTCGGACTCTAAACTAAAACTGAGAGTGTGTGAGATTTTGGACCTTATCAATTAGTCAGTCACGTGCAACATTGTATCCTGCGGTAGATATTTGAGTCAAATATTCATAACCCTTCAAATTCTGTTTCATGATCACCTAAAAGTTCTCGTACTGGTCATAGTTAGCCAACTAAATGACAATTGACCCCTTTTTAGTTTTGTTGTGGCGGTTTTTGTGACTGAAATTCGAACCTTACAAGTTTATCACAGTGGTAAATCTGTTTGGCTTGGCTTGAAATCGTTTGCAATGGCACAGGTGCATTCACTCTTTGTGTTCTCTCTAATTCTAGTCTTCAGAATTCCTGATCATCTCTATCTTCCTCATTCTAAAGTTATCTCACTGAATTGTACTTCTTGAATCATATCTTCGAACCCTAATCTTCTCCATTACTGCTAATACTTTTTACTACCGCTACCACTATGGGATTTGAACTGACAATTGTTTCTCTGCGTTAATACGGTATGGCAACCTGAATTGATATACGTACGTACTTGACTTTATTCTGATAAATATGAAACATTATATTTTGTTAGCAAAAGTGGATAGTGGCTAGCAGTGGAATCGAGTACACGCGTTTCATCCTATTTGGAACTCGTCAGTTAGATGTACCTGCGTCTCAGAGTCGATGCTCACTGCGGGGCTCGGACCCAGTACATCACACTTCAAACGCCATCGTATTATCCACCTAGTTCCAAATAGGACAAAACGCGTGTTTTGGATCCCTCTGTTAGCCACTTTCCACCCCTTCTAATAATGCTTGTAACCTGGGAGCAATATCATATTATTCTACACGGGATGCAGATATGCCAAAGAGGCTGATCAGTTGCAGCCCTAAAAATCAAAATGAAGATTCAAACAAACAATACAAATGAATTCATCATATTTTAAAGTTAAAGTTACTCATATAGTTTACTGAACTATTTACTTCTACTTTTTCAGATCTTACCACTTGATCTTGTCGATGATGAGTCAAATGATCAATTTAACAACAATATTGATTCTTCATCTTCCTATCAAATACATTCATTTGATGAAAACAATGAGTTGTTTACTGATGAAAACGATATGGAAGAAAGAAAAGAAAAAGTCGGTCGATGGACACTTAGCTCTGTAAGCGTTCGTAGTAGCAGTCGTAATTTTTTAGGGTGCAGCTAAAAAGGTATCTAAAAGTAAATCTAGTAGGCGTAATTCAAGTCATTCTAAACCAACTAACATGGAAGAAGAAAGACTTCAAATTTATAGTGAATCACAACGACTTGTACGAGGTTGATTAGACATCTTGATTAATTTTATTTTGATGATATTCTAGAATCTGATGTTCACTTACCAGTCCATAGACCTAAGCAATTTAAATGTTTCAGTGAGTTTCGTCAATCTCTAAAAGGTTCACAGTCAAATGAAACAAAAAATTGTGAAATATCCTCTCAGAATAAGTAAGTTGTCACGTGTTTTTCAGTTGTTCGGATATAATTCTTATTGTTTTCTTAAACAGATATCTGGTATTTAATATAAGTTTATTTTAACTAATACATTCTGTCGCTAAGTTACTGTTTCGCAACTCCAAAATCAATGCTATATAAGAGACTAGCTACATCTGTCCCCTTTTTTCTTATCTAGCTAAATATGATAATAAGTCGACTATCGTTGCACCGGAGCCATTGCGAGCGATTTTGAGCCATTTTGTTCAAAGTCTCTAACCAACGGTTACCACGGTCTCGCCGGCCCTAACCAGGTAGTCGACACCTACCAATATGTCTCAGTCCACTTGTCAATCCTTCTTGGATTTGTACCATGTTTTGGTTTGGCCGACCTTAGCTTTCTTCCAACCTATCCCTACACCACGAAATATCGCTTGTTGACTCAGTCGGTGTTTGGACATTTGTAACACACGTCCCAACCACCCCAACTGATGAAGTTTCAATACTTCATCAATTGATCTTCCATCTTTACTTAGTTCCCGTTGCCTAACAACTCCATTACTTACTCCATAACAATGCTTCGGAGACACTTATGATCGAAAACCAGAAACTTACGAATATCCTCTACTATTGCTGTCCATATTTCGTAGCCGTACTGTAGGACGGAGCGAACTGTTCTGTAATAGGCTCGTCTTTTGGCTAGCAAGTGGACATCTTGCCTACACCATAAGTGACTCAAGTTGGTAGAAGCCAGTCAGACCTTCTGCATCCGTGCTGAGATTTCGTCAGTCACCAGGCCATCAGCACTGATGAGACTCCCAAGATAAGTGAAGCAGTAGATGTGCTCAACTACTTCACTCCCTATCACCAGTTCAAATGCCGAAACAAACCAATCTTGAAGCAACATATTACATTTAGATTGGGAGAATCGCATCCTGAGCATGTTTACATTGTGGCATAAAGTGGTCAGAAGACTGCATACTCTAAGTCTACAAGTTTATAGAAAGTCCACTGCTGAAAAGTCAGACGAAGACAGTGATAATTCTAAAACCATGTCTACGACAAAGTTAAACAATAATGGAGAAAGTGGACGGCCCTGACGAACACCATTTAAAGTAATCAGTTCCGATGTTAGTTCGCCATAAGCTCTCACTTAACGAGTAGTGTTTGAGTAGAGAACCTGTATAAGGTTAATTTACTTCTCTAGTACTCCTGTGGTGTGAGCTACTTATAAGTAGTATATGACGTGAGCGTCAACGTAATGTCTGGCAGCCGAAGATGGGGGAAGATCAAGAAAGGAAGAGTTAGAAAACAATGGAATTTGTATGAAACGCATGAATAGTGACAATGGATTGATGTTTTGCAACAGGAACAGTCCAGTTCCATAGGATGAACTGATATTTTGTAAATGAACAATTTACGATATGGTTTTCCGATTTCACTGAGTAACTCTGTAATTTTCGTTAAATACAATTCGGTTGCCCCACCTGTGTTCTCCTTCACTACACTCCTTTCAGTAACAAACACGGCCATAGAACCTCACGATCGACAGAGTTAAATGCCGCTTTAAGGTCGAGAAATACTACTATTGTGGGACTAGTAAACGTGTGTCTATGTCCTAGGACCTGTCGTAGTGTAAAAACGTGGTCTATGCATCCTTGTCCAGGTCCGAAGCCAGTCTCAATAACAGTTGGATTTCTAATGCGGGTTGCCTTGATAAGTCTGAACAAATGTCTACTGTTACCTATCGCCGCTGTCTTTTCCATCGCTCTTGCTTTCGCTACTCACCACTGTTCGCGATCATTGCATAGGCTTTTTATCAGCCTGTGCTTAAGCTGATTTCGCTCTTCATCATGTTCTGAGCCAGATGGGATGAGTTTACGACCGTCTATCAGTTCGGTGGATGCTACTGAGATCCACGGCTTATTCCTAGCCTTATGGTTTACCTCACTAGTAGATATCACTGCTGTTTCCACAGCCTTTTTGATATCATTCCAAGCTGCCTCCGAATGGGAATCACTTACACGGTCACGTAACTGTCTTTTTAGTTTTTCCTGAAATATATTCTTGGTTTTGCTACCGTCAAGGTAGCAGCTATTGTCGGGTAAAAATAAAATGAATTTTCATGAGGTAAAATGACGAAAACGTGTTGATTTGATCTTAAAGTTACTTTAGATTCACCTTGTATATGTTACTCGTCCATCCTCATTTCTTAAACACAGATTGGACCGTTAGTTTTTTATAACGATACCGTGTTGATAGAAAAATAAGTTGAAACTATAAAGGTAAACAATTACTTTGATGACATAAGATGTCCTATCATATGTTCTGTTAATATGATAATCAGTTTCTGGTTGTCAGTTTCCCTTTAATTATGTTTCTTCGACAGATTATTAGTGACTTGAGCAATGTATTATCTTACATTAGTTTTTTTCGTTTAAATTACCATGTTTCGATTTAACTTACCTAGAGAATAGGTGCAGTAAGAACACAAAATTAAAAGTATTCTTGAGATCACATATACGTACGTTGTAAATGGGTCTTGTCGTGATATCTTTTGCTGAAAATCCGCTACTTACTAAACATTTTAGTGAATAAACTAGTTGTCATTAAAAGATTTACAATAAATACCTAAAGGTCTCGAACTCTGTGAGAGTAATCATTTTTACATAATGCTTTGAAGATACCTTTTTACCATTCTGCGAACCTCAAATAAGTAGTAGCCTTCACTTGCTTTAAAAACAGAGTGGACATCAGGACATCCGATATTCAATCATAGGCGTTTTTCCCGATAAACTTAGTGATTTCATTGGTTTATCAATTATAATTGCTATCAACTGCGGTGTAACTTAATTCTAGAAACATTTCCAATTATATTATTGGGCTGAACATAATTATTGCTAAAATGTATAAAATATAAATATTTGATTTGTTTCAGATTACATTCAGACTGTGACACTCATCTTCAACCAACTATAGGACAGTCTATCCAAAATGATGAAACTCAAGATATCAAACCATTCACTTCACAAGGTTGTTCAGTAGTTGATCATCCTGTTCATTCAGTTGACATTGACTGCATCACCTCTGTGCCATCGCTTTCATCCGATGTAAAACCGTCGCCCGATGTTACGAGTGAACCAGGCGTGCTAACCAACTTATTGCCTCGCCTTACTACAAGAAAATTGAAAAATGATGAAGGCGAAGAATTTTTCATAGATTTAGGTATAAATATACTTGTTTTTTTCTATCTTACCTAATATCGATTCCGTAATCTTTGGTGTAATTTTATCCTGTTGTTGTTTATTTATTAATAATATTGCTGTCGTTAATTTTTTTTTCACTCGTTCTTTTAGATGATAATTATTTAAAGTGCTTTTAATAAATGCCTCTTAAAGTTTACATGTAAAGGTGAATAAATCTTATTTCTGTAGTGACTGAGAACACAGGTGGGGCGCCCGGATTGCATCTAACGGAAATTACAGAGTTACTCAGTAAAATCGGAAAACCATATCGTAAATCGTTCATTTGCAAAAGATCAGTTCATCCTATGGAACTGGACTGTTCCTGTTGCAAAACATCAATCCATTGTCACTATTCATGCATTTCATACAAATTCCATTGTTTTCTAACTCTTCCTTTCTTGATCTTCCCCCCATATTATGCTACCAGACTTTACGTTGACACTCACGTTATATACTACTTATAAGTAGTTCGCACCACAGCACCACATTTCGATTAAACTTAGTAAAATCGAATGAGGAAGTTCATATGTATGTTAATCACTACACAATTTTTCATCCAATAGATAAAAAATTTTTACTAAATAAATGATTTTATTTAATCTCTATTCATTGGTTAGTGCTATACTTGTACATACTACTTTAAAGCTTATTCATATACCAAAGATTTTCTTTCTGTCACCTCATTTTTGGCGATTGATATTTACAACATATATATCATCATACATTATTTCTGTATTCTTTATTGTTTGCTGACTTCTTTTTTTTAAAAGGTGAATCAGTTCCTACTTCAGTGTCAGCTGTAACTCCTAATCAATTATTGGCTCGTTTAAAATCTCATCTTCATGTGTCTCATGAAAAAGTTGTACGTGGACCAATCCAATATTCAATTATAACAAAGGTATGTCTTATGTTGTTGCATAAGAACATGCCAAAATATTTGAATTATAGTTTACTTGATATAAATAAACCGTAGGCCTAATTTTCGATCCCTCTAGTCTTCATGCTCTCGAGAATTATATATATTCTATTTGCATACTTGACCTTCAAAATAGTATGGTTTATGATCAAAGCAATGCCCAGTAAATTCTATCCAACCTAAATAGTCCTATTGCTTAGGTTGGTTGTTTTCAAATAAAAACATTGCTTACAACATATGATCAATTAACTGATGTAGAAAAGAGCTAGTTTTCATCAGATTCTAAGTTCTATCTCTGGATATGCTATGTATGATTACCTTGAGAGAGAGCCGTACTATTGTAAACTGAAATCTTCCTTCACTTGTACTATTGATTTAATTGAAGGATTACTATGAAGCTGCATAGTCTAAATGGTTCACAGAGAAATAATAAGAAATAATTTCGAAATCTCTTGATATTGATCTAATTAACATCGAACGATTTTATTAGCTACTGAATGGATAATTACAGGAAAATCCTCTGTTCTTTATTACACTATAATGTTAAAACCCTTTTCAGTGAGCCACTAGTAGTAATGCATGTTAAACACATGCATACAACTAACATTGCAGTCCAACACCATGGTGTAAAATCCTAATTCCGCCCGATTTGATGATATTTCAATCATGCTAAATTTGGTACAATAGTATTTTCCAACATTTAATCAAAGTTTTTCTAGTTGGAAAATTTTTCTTTTTACTTTATGGAAGTAGATCATATCGAAGTTCTGCTAATAATCATGAAATCAATGTATTTTTATTGAAAGTTAGATTGCACATATAAAAAAGTTCTCGTCCAAACTTTATGCCTATTTGTTAATTTGCATTACGGGGTTGTGAAGATTGTTAAGTTACACATTTTTGAAACCATGAACCGATCAATGTTAGACCACCATTAGAAACCTGGAAGCACTGGACGGCCGTTTCGTCCTGGTATGGGACTCCTCAGCAGTGCGCATCCACGACTCCTGCACCCCGCAGGATTCGAACCCAGGACCTTCGGTATTGTGCGCGAACGCCCTAACCGATAGACCACTGAGCCGGTATCTAACGGTGTTAATGTCTAACTTGATCAAATTCGCGGAGTTGCGCAACCTCATACACAGTCTTCGGTAGTTAATGTCTACACCCGAACAGGTTGAACTTCACTGGTCACGTCTTCCCACTAGAACCCCTGCGGGGTGCAGGAGTCGTGGGTGCCCACTGCTGAGGAGTCCCATACCAGGACGAAACGGCTGTCCAGTGCTTCCAGGTTTCTAATGGTGGTCTAATATTTATTAATTATCTATTCAACTAATCATAATTGTTCCCAAGTTTATGTCAGTGTGTTTTATTGTTACTATCCATAATATCTTCATTGATACAGGGTTATTCACCCAAGACATCACTCCAAAAGTTGTACTTTTAAACATCACTGCACGACAGTCCCTTTCATTCTTGTTCATCGCAATCGCTTTGCTCCTTATGCCTATATTGTCTGTGTACCTGTTAAGTTGTTGTGAAGAACTGGGGATCCCTAACTTTTATAAGCTCTATTCTCCTGCATAGTTAAACTCATGCATTCAATAGATGTGGAATATATATAGTGTGTGTTCGTTTGATTGATCTTTCTTGTGACTCTTGACTTTTATTCCACTCATCTAACCTATCTTTTGCTTCTCTAATTTTCTTCCTTTTAAGGTACAAAGCAGCGACGCTGAACGTGAAGAACTACAAGTAGAAACAGTTACACATGAATCATCCAAAGAACTATCAACAACTACCTCAGTTAGTAGAAAACAATGGTTAGAACACAGAAAAATTCTCCAAGAGAAAATGCGTCAAAAAAGGCTAGAGCAATATGAAATGCGATTAAAGGAAGAGGGTACATGTTATTCTAAGTCAAAAAATGAAAATACTGGGGTTCGTTCTGTCATTTAGACTATGGTGTTATTGGGGTTGCTTTTATTCGGTATTCTTCACCAGTGTATTTCAACTGTTAAATACTGTAGGTCTTAAGATGGCGGTTGGGAGGTTGTCTACAGGGAATCGTTGACTTAGGTTTCGCGATGTTCAGCAAACGTCGGAAAAACGTACCTGTAGTTTTAAGGGAACTGATACTCCTTAGGAGATTCGATCCTGACTTCCCAGCTCTACAGTCAAGAGACGTTATCGTTAAGCTATCCATGCTGAAACTGAAACTATTTGGTTATAGACTAATTTGATCCCTTTGTTTGAGAGTTTATCACTTTCGTTTTTGAAACTGAAGAGTACAAGTCACTGGTTTGTATCAGGTGAGTAGGCTGTGGTACTGCCCTTACGCTGAATTCGAAATAGGTGATTTTCTTAGGGGCTCACATCTCGAATCCACGAGACAGTGGAGCAACTTCAGAAAAAGCAGTCCCTTGATAGCTGGTGACCGGAAATAGGTTCATATGCAGTTTATTCCTTCAGGATCCTGGAGCCTATATGCGCGATTGTTTTGGAATCAGGGTTTTTCTACCCCTCTCCGGATGGATCCTCTGTACCCACCGATTCAGTGTAAGTACCGGAGGTTCTCTGTTCGTTCCCTAAACAACACTCCTGTCATGAGAAGACAGTTAGAAGAACATCTCTGACAATAACTATATACGTGTGGCCATTTGACAGCATCGTTGTGTTCGATTATTGTATTATCACAGTATATTTCAATGTATCTTTATGTTTTCTGTTGTTAAATAAAATTGATTTTTCAGATAAGTTTTCGTTTAATTTGTCAGTTTACAAAATATCCTTACCTAAATAAAATATTCTAGAGATAATTTATCTAATCAACAAGGAATCAAATGTTTTTTTATTAAAAAAATATATCATCCATCATATGTTATTTTAATCCTGTAGGAATTATCCAATAGTGATGAAGAATGGTCAGAAGGGGATGAAAATGGCAGTGAAATATCCGATGAAAACTCAACTACTGATGAAGAAAGTAGCAGTGATAGTGAAAGTGATGAAGAAGACGAAGAAGAAGGAAACGAATCACCTGATGATGATGACGAAGATGACAATGCAGTGGTTGGCAGTAAAAAGGCTTCAAAGCATCGTCCTTGTCTTTTCGCTGACGATGAAGCAGAGGAAAGTGAGAACGATGAAGTACTTTCAGAGGCTAATGATCTTGAAGATGAAGAGTCTCTAATATGTGCAGACCGTGCGGATTTAAAACAAAAGAAATCTTACAGCAAAGCTCTTCATGCCAATAATCCAACCGTACAGTCTGGAAAAAATGTAAGTTGTCTTGTTCACGAATTGCTTTCTCAAAAATCATCTGTTTATTTGAGACCTTAATCATGATGTATGTGATTTTCTGAGTCATTCTAAAACTCAGCTACCTGTTCAGTAATATGTCTGTTATAATTCCTATCATTAAAAGTTTCCAACAAATCTACCAGTTCTTATTCAGAAATTCAAGTTTTGAATACCTAAATCGGTAATTTGGTTTGGTGTAACATTTGTCTAAGGTGTTACTGATTTCAAATGTGCCTGTATGACTACCACTGGATTTGTGTTTAACTGCGTACATTTCAAATCCTCTTATTATTTCTCACTTATATTTGGTTATCATTTCACAACTGATTTATCTAAATGGTATATAATGTGATGGAGTTTCTCTTGAACAACATTATCAGCACAAACTTCAGGTAGAAGCGAAATACTGATGATGTTGTTCAGAAGAATAATGAAAGCTCCACAATCAATCCATCCAGCTCGGAGAATGAAACTCCACCATAACTGTCTACTAGAGCTACAAATTTTCTGTACCATCTCAAATGGTATATATACATATCTATGCAAAATGCACTAACAATCTAATATTTGTTGGGTTCTTTATAACTTTTATTAATGAGTGAGAATATTTGTTTGGTAACTAATGAAATACCAGTTTAAATTCCGTTCATGTTTCTGAGCTATGGATGATCAAGTGTTATAATTTACCTCTACAAGTACAATTCAAAGCTTAGCCTACAAGTCTGTTTAATGCTGATAAGTTACTAATTTTTGTACCCTGTTTAAACAATTATCCGCAATTTAGTCTCACACCATAGATAAACTTTTGTTATATCACTATTGAAAACCAGAAACCAATAGGTGGTTTTTTCGTTCTAGTGTGAAAACTTTCAATAGTCTTCATTTACGAATTCACCTGAGAACTAATTCAGGGATTTTATGCCTCCCACTAGTCACTCAACGCTCAAACAACTTGGCTGAAATTCAGAACTTTGCATTCTTCTTAGAATTTATGGTCTATGTATCATTCCTATTTGAACATTAAAAACATGAATTTCAGCAAAGGGTTAATAAATTCATTGAAAAGGGAGCCCTCCGCTAAATTTAATGTTTTTTTAATATTTATGATGTTTGATTATTAAGCTTATCACAAAAAAAACTATAAATACAGCAGATGCTTTTATTCTCTTTATACCCAAAACTCATTGATAATTAAAGAAAATATTAACATAATTGCAATTAGTTGAATTTAAATATTTCCTTTTTAAAAAAATTATTTTCCTTACTTTTTTCCTTTGATTCACTCATATTTAGATCAACAAATCTTGCATCTCTCAGCAACAACATTTACAGTTAGATGATTTTACTGATCTACCTGAAGAAACCATTGGATTTAAACGTTTTCCATGTATGTCTTTTAAATGTGATTTTTTTCTAGTGTTTTAGCTTATCTTTTTGGTGTTTTTTTTTCTCCACAATTTTACAAAGCTTCCCTCTAGTTTTTGGCTCAGTTTTTGCGTACCGAATTATTTCCAGAATATCTCACTTATTGTTGCGTCCATTTAATCATAAAATCATACGAATTAGGTTGTAGATATTTTGACAAGTTATTCAAGGTTAAGTAGATTTCATAACAGTATCATTATCATGTCTAATTAAAGCAGCCTTACTAATCAACGATGTATTTTTGAAATCATGTTTCATTTCATCGACACTGACTCTCTATACTTATAACTTTAATTTACTTAAAGTGGTTACAACTGTGGTGTGTGGTACTCACGTACGTGGCTTATAAGTACTATTCAGCGGATTGTCGGATCCGGAAGTATGACACAATCAGGGTGTTTTGAAGATTAGAAGACATGTGGAAGAAGACAACCGATAATCCGTTTGTCTTTCAAATGAATATTTGCAGATAAGGTGTAAACATTTTGCTGGTTAACTGTGTCTTCTCCAAATAACATATATGATTCGTTGTTGACTTCTGCATATAAACGACTTTGCAGTTATCAACATTCCGTACTTTGATGAGTTTGACGAACCGGTTATTATACTTTATTCTCTTGTTCAGTTCATATTTTATTGCCTGAGTAGAACAACAAGACTACATGGAAAGCGTAAACTGACAAAATTCGAGTAATTATGATTGTGTAAGTTGCTAGATTGATAGTAACGTGGGAACTAAATTAAAATTTTATTTACTCACTACAAAACAAACTTACATTTCCTACAATTTGACTGTAAGTAAATGCTTGTGTTCTAATTATGAGATGTGATCAATGGAGTTCAATTGTGTTAAGTATGAGGCACCACCAAATACAATCAATGATGGTCGTGAAAAATTGTGGATTGATTTAAGCGAGACATTAACACCGTTAGATTTCGACCCAGATATCTAAAAGTTAAGTGTTCGAGCGCGATGCCGATGGTTTTGGTTTTGATCCCCGCTTGTGGGGTCCCGGTTGCCCACTTTTGAAGATGCCCATACTGAGACTAGACAATCGTGCAGTGATTCCAGTTTTTCAATGGTGGATTAAGGTTGATTATCGGTTCATGATTCCAACAAATATTTTCGAATCTTCAGAAACCAGGTATCATTTTTGTTTGTAAATAAAGATTAGTGCTAAAATAATCTCCCAACACTCTTTCGTAATTATTTGAAATAGTGTTATTTAAAATGTCGATATTACTATTGGGTAGTGTTTTAAACCTATGTTAATTTACCTTAGTTATTTATCAAGTATATAGGCCTACAATCAGTCAGGAACTCTACCTACTGGAATATCACAAATTTATCTTTCCCATTACTCATTTTAGTTGAAATTATCAGGTTTAACCTTGAAAACGATACTTACGAAATCAATAATAACTGTTTTACTTCAAAGTTGTTAGTTAAACCATATGATCGATCCTATCATTTTCTTCACATTCTAGTGTCGCTGTGTTTGCATAATGTGTTTTACTCGTTCACCAGTGACGTGTTTTTGTTTCAACTCATTTGAAGAGACATGCGCTTTTACTTCTAGAATGTTCTTTCTACTTTTTTTTCAACACTGTTTTCATTATCTCCTCGTTCCAACTAACTTTCTTTTCATTGTTACTCATTTCTTATAGCTTATAATAATGGTTATAGTTTTAATCTTGCACCAAGACATAATGGAGCTCTAGGTCCTGCTGATATAGACCTTTTCGCTTCTGAATGTTCTAGTATTCTAGACAGTAAGTAATTGATTATTGTTTTTATCTTTTTTCCATGAATCGTTTATTCATTATGTGTTATTTTTAGTTCAACAGTCAGTGACCTTATGGTGCCACATCTTTTGGTTTAATTACCGCTGGCTTTTTAACAACCTACTCTGCATCAGGAAACAATGCATGCTAATGTACTTGGCTAGGGTTAGGCATATTTGGTGTCATACTCTACTTGTCCTAGTCAACAAAGATTCATTATCTTATCTACCGATAAACAATTGTTTTTGTATTAAGTTATATTAAAAGGTCAATCATATAGTGAAGTTGATAAATACTGAATATGATGAATAAATCAGAAGTTTATTGGTTCATTTATTATCAACCATAGTGTAGGTTAAAATTCATATACAAGACCTAAAATTGCATAATATTTATTTTTTTGAATCGTGTCGCTTAGACTTTGTAAACAGTTCAGGTTATAAAAATATTTGTACTTTGCTTCATTAATGTAAGAAAATTCATAGAGTTTATATTTCGAATCAAAAATTGGTTGCAGCTAGACCATCATTGAAAACCTGAGGCACTAAATGAACGTTTCATGCTAGTCTGAGACTAATTAGCGCTCAACCATGAACCTGTATCCAGGAATCGAACACAGAATCTTCTGAGTTGCACTTAAACGCCTCAACAAGTGACCCGGCATCCAGTCGTATATATGGCCAAAATTTGTAACAGAGCATTGTTGAAGAGTCCCATACTAGGTCGAAACACCTGTTCAGTGCTTCCGGGTTTCCAATGGTGGTTTAGCTAAAATCAGCTCACAATTTGAACTATGTAGACTTTTCTGAATATTTGTATATGAAAAGAAATCCAATTGAACAGTTATTAGATACACTTTCACTAGTGTTTGTATAAATTGTATCCTTCATCCAAAGAAATAAGCAAACATATAGAGATGCATTGGAATACTATTTACAACACTTATTTACCATGTGCTAAAAATCTCAGTTACTAGACATATCAGAATTTTATTAGCAAAATTGGATTGACATTAGGTACGCAACAACATGAAATTGGTAATTATTACATGACAAAATAGTGTTTTTTTCTTACTAATTGTTAAATTCACTGAAATAACAAACTCGAAGTCGATTCAAATAAGAAAACTGTTTTGGTTTCTCAGAATACCTAACCATAGGCTAAGAAGCACATTTATGAGGATAAACTTAGCAATCACAGTTAACTGTTATTGGAAACAAACGCAAAGTGACAGATAAGTCTGCTGAGTGAATGCAAAGCCTGATATGCATGACTAAGGGATAAAGATTTATTTGATTCCCCAAATAAATCGGAAATGTTTCAGGAAAACATCACATGATTTATTTACAGTCAAACTTATAGAAGTTGAACTGAGTTGTATTTAACAACAATAAGAACAATAACTTACTATGTGAACATACGTTTACCATATCATATAATTCTGTATCTATAATCCTTTACAAGATGTGAATACATATCACACACGATTAGAAAACAATCAGTTTCACTTGCCGTTTCCACTCCAATCGATTAGGTTATTATTTGACATTTCTGTGACCACTAATTAAATATAACTGGATAGATAAAGAATATATCAGTAAGTGAACAGTTGATTTTCGATTATCCGATAAAATACGAGAAAATTATCCAGTATAAAACTGGTTACTTATGGCCCATATAGTTTTAGTGCATAAATCTCATAATAATAACTTGATTTGTTTTGTTTATATGCTTGGACATTTCACAGCGATGTAGATCTACATTTCCATCTGCACAAATTTATCTTTTTGTTCGGAGCTAACTTTTCTAGTGTTCTTATAAGATTATTCCATGTATTTAGAATAATTAACATTTTACAACTTATGTTAGATATCATCTTTTATCTATTATGACAGTGAAACTGTTGACTCATTATTAAAATTGATGATGAATATATCTGGCTGTTGATTAATGGCTTTATCTAATTCAATTTGATCAGCTGGGTTGTATCACTAGCTGCTCACACTTGAAGTTTGTCTTAAAAAACTGGATACTTAAAGTTGTACTTTTTTTGGTGAATTTTATTACGTAATTTCTGTGGTAATATTATTCCAACTTTGTGTTCTCAATATTTACGTAGCATTCTTGACTTTTCTCCAGGAACTATGAACCCTCAGTCGATATTGGCCTCTACTCGTTTAGATGCAACCACCATCAATGTAAGTATATCTTGCGTTTTCCTTTGTTTTTCACGAAACTTGATTTGCCCAATAAGCTAACAGAATATTTTAACCTACAAATAAACTGTTAAGTCTTATCCTGTATCATACAGACTATTCATTCATAGTATAATTAGTGACTGGTGTCACCAGTGTTCTGTTGCCTAGTGAAGCAGTGCACTTTTGTATCAAGTTGTACATATGTTAATATAGGGATTGAGTGACTGTCTATTCTTCCCATTTCAATAGGAATACATTTGATATTAGGTGAAAACACGTCTCGTTTAGTAAAATAGTTTTTTAAAAAAAATGCTTGAACTACTGACCTATTAAGGCCTCAAGTAAGATTCCATTCTGAATTAACTTAACTTGGTAAATTTCTTTGCTAATTCATTAATTCGAACTCAGGACCTTCGGTATTGTGCGCGACCGCCTAACCTCTGGACCACTGAGCCGATGTTTAACAATACCGAAGGTCCTGGGTTCGAATCCTGCGGGGTTCAGGAGTCGTGGATGCGCACTGCTGATGAGTCCCATACTAGGACGAAACGTCCGTCCAGTGTTTCTAGGTTTCTAATGGTGATCTGACATTGATCAATTCATGGTGTAACTTAAGAATCTTCACAACCCCATAATGCAAATTCACTAATTCAATTCAAAAAAATCCTTCTTGTTTTGTTTTTCCTAAATTAGGATGAAAATAAATCTCGTTTTACGCGTAATTCATCTTCTCATAGTCAATGGAATAATACACCTTATGAATTACTGTATTCTCAAAAGCCAAATAGTCAATTAAGTAAGTTTGGTAAGATTTCTTTCATTATTTTAATTGATTTAAACTAATTCAATCGTAAAACAAAAAGAAATTTACGTATATTATCAGATTTCAACATTGAGTTTCGGGTTTAATAGTTGTTATAATGCTGCCTACCGACTGACCAAATTCAGATATTCCAATACGACCCCAAACGCTGTTCCCAAATCTCCATTATATCAGAACACAACACCGTTAAATGAAGTTGTTTATGTGGTCGAGTACAGAAGGAATAAAGGAAGGAAGCAATGGAATAATAAGCTTTACAGATAATGCATATTTATACAATTAGGTCGAATAGGAAACAACATTGAAGTCTGGGACATTGATAGTCAGGACGACCAGTTGGAAACAACATTTGAAGTACTTGACATTGACAATTAAGACGATCATAATATTGACCTGTAGGAATTGACCAATAGAATTAGACTTCCAAAAATAGTTCTCTAAGGATATTTGATGAATATTTTAACAATGAGTATAAAACATTTGTATGAATTTTTATTTGAAAAACGTTATACGAATAGTTTGATTGTGTTTTTTTATTGTGTTAATAATAGCTTCCAGATCAGAATCGATCACTCAAGAGTTCATTGATGACAATCCTATGATGATATGTAAGTTGATCGATTGTACAATATTTGATATGTATCACATTAGCTACACACATATATCTCTTTGTGTTTAGAACTTTAAAATGAAATTACTTAGTTGTTTTGTGATTCAGTTATTAAGCTTTCATTGATATGATATATGCTGTATGTAGGCTGAATATATATGAATCTCTTGACGTGGTGGTCGGGCTTGCCTATCGTGATGACCCAACCGAGCTATACTGGCTGGAACATGTGTTCCTGCAGGTCCTACCATGCCAGGCAGGTCGATTGGAGAACGATGAGACTAAAAGCACCTACCCAAGGTTTGAGGGCGAAGTCGTACTGCTGACTGCAGAGGGGTGTGGTAGCAGTAAGGTGTTTCCCTCGGACAACCAGCATCTGCAGCGATGCTGCCTTCTCACAAGGAAGGAAGGGTTAGAAAAGGTCGGCCCTAAAAATGTCACACCTCACCCTACCTCACGGATTTCCGTCTCCTTGGGTAAGGGTGCCCACTAAGGGCCTTTAAGAACGGAGCTAATCCTCAAAATACCTTTCATAAAAAGGCCGTGCGTGACCGGCGTCAAGCAGTTGTCCCTTGGACTCTGCGGTCACGCTCCCAGGTTTCCAAGATCAACACTAATCTATCTTCCTTTTCAGGTCCCTCAAGAATCAATCTTCCACGGTGTGGGCAGCCGGGAAGTGACAACCGCCCTCATACCCGTTACGCGTTACATTTAAAAATTGAGACCTAGATTACCTGTGTCATAACTTAAACGCAAATTATCAAAAGAAACTATTTGTAGAAAAAATTATTTTCTCTCACTTTAGTTTTATTCATCTTCTATTTTAAGAGTTCCTCTCTCTTCCTCCATATCTCTTACTTTTTAGCTAATCTTCATAACATATCATCTCAAGATACAGTCTTATTATCTCAAGAACCAACTCAACCAATATCTGAACAAGATCCTACGCTTATACTATCTGAAGAAGCCAATTCAAGTGTTCGTAAGTTATAATCATTGATTTACATATCTAGTCGTAATTATATAGAAAGTTTTTCAACGGCTAAATATCTAAAGACGCAACATCATGACTACTAATGGTGAAAAGTATGAAATATTTCATCATTAAAAATTAGTTTATTAGTCCGTATACCTAAGGTATCAAGTATGAATTCAAGTATGTATTCAATTTTATTGTACACTTTTTCTGTTAATGTTAACGGTACCATCTGATTTCCTAAATTGACATAGGCCTAATGAAGTTTAAGCCAAGAATTTCTTAGTCAAAAATCAAATGCTTTAACCTTGAAATCATCACTCATGAATATATACGAGAATTTAAGTTCATTATCATGTTTGTCTAGTAAAAGTATTCATATGGTAATCTTTACATTTCATAAATAATAGAATCACAAGTCCTACATGAAAACCGTCGTCATTTGTTCGGTGAATCAGTGAGTGACAATTCAGAATTGTTTATGGACATCCCAATGAAGTCAAGCATTGAAAATGGTAATTCAGGTATTTTTATTATTTTCTAAAATTTTCTAATTTTTATTTGATTGTAATCCTACGGCTAAACTATACATAACATGGCAGAAATCCATGAAATCACTAACAAGTGGACTGAGTCATGTAGGTGGATGTAGGCTACCTGGTTGAAGTCCGCGAGACGAAAGTCGCCGATGCTTAGAGACCTTAAACGATATGGCTCAAAATCGTTTGCAATGGCGCAGGTGCATCCACTCTTTGTATGCTTTTTAATTCTAACCTTCTGAATTCCTCATCATCTCTATCTTTCTCTAAATTTATCTCCCTAATCTTCTGGATTCTTCAATACCTCTAGTTTTGACTTTCTATACTTTTCTCACTGAATCATACTTCTTGAATAGTATCTTCTAATCCTAACCTCTCCGATTACTTCTAATTCCCTTACTACCTCTTCTACCATTGTATTTGAATTGACAATTATATCTCTGTGCTGATGTGGTATGGCAACATGAACTGATGTACTTACGTACGAAGTTCTACGTTGCAACTGACTGACTGACTGACTAAATTTATCTCACTGAATTATACTTCTCGAATCATATCTTCGAACCCTAATCTTCTCCATTACTGCTAATACTTCTACTATCTCTACCACTATGATATTTGAACTGACAGTTGCGTCTCTGTGCTAATGCATTATGGCACCGTGAACTGATCTACTTACGTACGAAGTTCTACGTTGTAACTGACTGACTGACTGAGTGTATGAATTTTCCTGTATATAAATAATAACCATCATATTTCCTTTTTCCCTGTCAGTACGTTGTCAATAAAAATAATATTATCATTTGAAAACTTAAAAAATTGTAATTATACACAGTCGAAGAAATAATATAATAATACCTATTCTGTTTTACCCAGTAGTAGTAATATATATTTTACTTACTTACTTACGCCTGTTACCCCCAATGGAGCATAGGCCACCCACCAGTTTTCTCCAACCAACTCTGTCCTGGGCTTCCCTCTCCAGTTCTGTCCAATGTTTGCTCATTCCTCTCATATCTTTATCTATTTCTCGGAGTAATGTATATATACAATATATATATACAATTAAAAATGTTAATGAATGAATTATTCCTTAATAGTTTACTATTTAGAACGACACAGTCACAAGTTAATTTTGTTATAAATGTTGCATTAGTTATTCATTCACTATATTTATTTATTCTCTTTCCATATTCTTTTTACAGATTCTCAGGTTCACCATGAAAATCGTCATAATCTGTTTGGTGGTGGATCAATATGTGACAAATCACAAGTATTCATGGATTTAGTTACTACAACGAAACCGTTGGATGACAATGATTTAGGTGTTTATCATGCGTTGTTCCTTAAAAATAGTTTTATGATGCATAGCTTATTATTTGTGCACATTTTTTTTTAACAGTTGTGCTTGTGTTATTAATGATTTAAGGGAAACAGAATGATGATAGAGTTCACTGAGTCAACTAGTTGAATTTTTTTCCTCTGTTTCCATTGTTATATGACATGAAGTTGCCAATTCTTTGGGATTATCATTCTTTTACTTTGATAAAATATAGAAAAGTGTTTGGAGCGAAACACTATCATCATCATCGTCATCAAATAGATCATTTGAATTGATAAATTTATATGTTTAGTGGGTTGATTTCTTCGTTTCAAAGCATATACTGATTCTCTTGTCTAGAAAGATGAAAACTTTAAGACTAAACTGCTATTCAATTCAAAGCATAGAGCATGTTTGAAATCTGCATACTGAGCAGCAAATCATTCTCTATCATTTGACGATTGATTACTCAACTTGTGCGATGATAATTTACTTTTACCATCAAAGCAGATTTTATCTTGAGGATGATGTTTCAAATATATGGAATAAAACGTCTTTCATACAGATTGCTTTGAAGTACTTTTAGCACAAAAATAGTGTTTTAATAAATTAACACTGGTTTTACTGTGTAGAAGAAAATGGTTATAGCACCGTGAGTTAATGTAAACTGGAATTAACTGTCACATGAATTCTGGCTCTAAATTTCGAGAAAGCTGATTTTAACTGTCAGAAAGATGTACTCAAATCGATGAGAAAGTTTTTTTTTGAATACTTCATTGAAAAGGCTTTCAATAACACTCACTGCAATTTATTCTTAATGATTTGTTATCATCCTATTGTAGGTGACTTGTGTTTCTACGTCTTATGCAGAACCTTCCTATCCATGTGTTTTCAATATTTGCACTAGTAGTGTGTTGACATGCCAAACAATGGTATATACATCTGTCATTGCAAAGCATACTTTTACATTTTGTAAAACTCGAAATTTATTCAGTTTAAGGCTTTCGGAATAAGCTTCTCCATACAATCTTTCTTACTGATAAATTTGCATAACGCCAAAGGCAACGAACATAGCAGAATAAGATAGATTTGTTATATTCATGTAAAAGCGGCATTTGACTCAGTGGATCGTGAAGTTCTGTGGCAGTGTCTGTCATTGAAAGGTGTACCAAAGAAGTACATTAACCTCATACAAGCTCTCTACTCGAACACTACAGGTCGAGTGAGAGCATATGGCGAACTGTCATCTGAATTCTTTACTTCAAGTTGTGTCCGTCAGGGCTGTCCACTCTCTTCATTCTTGTTTAACTTTGTCGTAGACATCCTCTTGAAGTTAACATTAAGCTCGTCAGATTTTTCAGGGGTGGAACTTCTACCTGGAAATTCGCTTACTGATCTAGAATATGCCGGTGACATAGTTCTATGCGGTGAAGACGCTGACAAAATGCAGAGTCTTCTGACTACCAGAAGAAACAATGCGAGCATGTTCGGGATGCGGTTTTCCCCTCGAAATGCGAAATGTTGCTTCAAGACTGAGTCGCATCGGCACCTGAACTAGTGATAGGGAGTGAAGTAGTCGAGCGTGTTGATCACTTCACTTATCTTGGGAGTCTGATCAGTGCTGATAGTCTGGTGACTGACGAAATCTCAGCACGGATACAGAAGGCTCGATTGGCTTTTGCCAACCTGTGTCACTTATGGCGTAGGAGACATATCCGTTCGCTAACCAAAGGACGGGTGTACTGCGCAGCAGTTCGCTCCGTTCTCCTATATGGCTGTGAAACATGGCCGTTAAGAGTAGAAGATGTTCGTAGGTTACTACTATTCGATCATAGATGTTTAAGAAGCATTGCTCGTATATCGTGGGACAACCGCGTAAGCATTGCTGTTGTTAGGAAACGTGTGCTAGGTAAGGATGGCAGATCAATTGATGAAGTGGTGTAACTTCATCAGTTGAGGTGGTTGGGACATGTGTTACGTATGGCTAACCACCGACTGCCTCGTCGAGCTATGTTTTGTGGTTTAGGGGTAGGTTGGAAGAAAGCTAGGGGAGGCCAAACCAAAACATGTCAGAAATCCATGAAGTCATTGACAAGTGGACTGAGTCATGTTGGTAGATGTAAACTACCTGGTTGGGGTCTGCGAGACGAAATTCACGGATGGTTAGAGACCTTGAACAACATGGCTCAAAATCGTTTGCAATGGTGCAGGTGCATGTATTCTTTGTGTTCTCTTAAATCCTATTCTTCTGGATTCGTCAGCACCTCTACCTTTGTCTTTCTAACCTTATCTCACTGAATTATATTTCTTGAATAATATCTTCGAACCCTAGTCTTCTTCATTACCATTGATACCTCTACTATCTTTATCACTATGGGATTTGATTTGACATTTGCATCTCTGTGCTAATGTGGTATGGCAAGATGAACTTATGTACATACGTACGAAGATCTACGGTGCAACTGACTGATTCATATATTCTTGTCACCTATTTACAAACTAAAAATAATAAAAATAATTATTTTTGTAAGTGATGCACATTACCTAATATCATATCAGTGAAAATTTGTAGAATAGGTTTCTATTTGTTTTATTGAGGATTGTATATGTGTATGTATATGATGTTAAGTTGTATTCTGTTTAAGGATATTTAGTCATGCATAATATTTTTACTTTAATAAATTCTCAAAATGTTTATAAGTACCGTTGTTATTTGTTCAACGGTTTAATATGTGAACAATCCTGTGTGTTTATCAAGGCTTACCGGGAACTACTGATAATCTAGATATTCCCAACCATTACTTTACACCTCTATTAGATTGTAATGCTTTGATATTATAAATTTTCATAGATATTATGTCCTGTTTATGCATCAGCATTCAATATATTTGTTATTGTCTTTGTTAGGTGTATGGATGTGTACTAATTTGGTTGGAAAATGGGAATATCTTAGATGATATATATATATATATATATATATATATCAAACGGACTTTGTTTATGTGCAAATATACCCGACTAAATCATACCATAAAATAAAAATCAACAATTATATGTGAACAAGCGAAAAGTGACTCTCAATAAGTTGGTAGACTGTTATTAGTAATCTGATAAGCAACCAATTTTATAACAATATTTTAACCGGTTTATTCAGCGCTTATGATAAACAGAAATACATAATAATCAGTGACTGATTATACACCAAATTAAAAGTAGTTAATAATTCAGAAAACAAGTTTCAGTTTTTGTAATTTTCTGTACGTCGTACTTGTTGGAAAAAACATGATGCAAATGGGTTGCGTTAGTATTATGCTATTCTTTGTGAATCATGAAGACATCGTAGATAATAATTCTATCAACCCTGTCGAAATATCCGCACTTCCATTATGCACCTAGCAATTCAATTTGTTCATATATTAATGTATTATATTATGGCTGTCTCTGCTTTCTATCTTATCTTTCTCCAGTTGATATTCTTAGTACAGTGGAACCTCAAAGAACAAACATTCGAGTCAGTGTCATTCTTCAAAGATATTTCATTACACAGAAAAAAACCACATTTTGCAATTTGTTGTCATCTAAGGAGACTTAATATTGTATAAATTAACTACTATTCTCCGTAATTATTACAGTGTCGTGATTTGACGATATTTTTCCCGCTTTCTAAATCACTATCTTATTAGAAGGATTATTAAGGCATATAATATTTATACATTCTGTTAAAATTGATTTTACTTGCCACAATTTTAAAATTCGACTTTTAGTTTCATTCAAGTTAATGATTTGTCTTAGTGGTACATTATTATCCTTACTACAACCTTATTACCGAAGTTTATTAATGCTTGCTTACGTATATAAGTAGTTCCTCGTCGTGTATCTCTATACATTCTCAACATTGATAACAGAAGTAATTTTATGATCTGGTCTATACTCACACATCGTTACATTTGTTCGAATGAAAAGCTCAAGCTTTTGCAATCAGAAAAGCTTGTTATTCATTTTTACTAGCTTTCACACATTTCATTGGACCAATGTATGTTATGTTATATTTTTAAGTGTACTTTATAATATTTCAGTTTCTCTGTATGAGTAAATATTATATTATATACTGGCTTTTTCTTGTTTGATTTGTATGTATAGATTCTCAGATTGATCATGATGACCGTCGTAATCTGTTTGGCGGGTCGATCGGTAACGAATCACAAGAACTTGATGACAAAACAACAAAATTACATTCAGATAGTTATGTAACAGGTACTTGCTTTTTCTGTGAATGAATTGGTTTATTAATTATATATTTAATATAACCACAGATTTTTGCATTCTTTGAATTAACACAGATAATTAGATAATAAAGTTCATATTTCATAAATATTTTAGTGGCGCACAATCTAATTCGGTTTTAGTCGTATAGCATGTCTAGGCGAACTTCGTTTGTATGACGGAGGTAATAAGAAGTCAAATAATGATTCATTTGGATGCTCTTATTTTACGCATTCATTCACGCAGACAGACATAGGGATACAAAGTGAGGAAGCTAAGCAAAGCGAAGATGACGAAGGATCTAACTCAATACAAGGAGACATGACTAGGTATTTTTAGTTAGGCAAAAGTAGTCTCAACGTGTGACAAATGAAGTTACCAATACACACACGCATTCAAATAAAAGCAACCAAGATTTAAGCGAATAATTAAAACAAGGTTAAAAGACATAAGACTAGTGACTGGGGCAGAAAAGCTAGGACAAACCTTATGGGCTCAACATATTGATACACACATTACAACATACATATATATGCTCTTGATGACGAATCACATATTTTCAGTTAAATATTTCGTGTATCAGATGCTGTAAATATTCATAGATATTTCTATCTAATATAGTCCTTTTGAAGGTTACGCTATCTTATGTATCACGTAATGTATTATTCACATTATTAAACTGGTATCATTTTTGATAATTTTAGATTTGTTTGAGACAGTATCCCAAACCAACTGAATATCTGTTTGTGACACCGTGATTTTCTCGTTTTATTTTAAAGCATCGAAATGCTGAGACGTCTTGACAATGAGGAAAAAAATTATATCATTTCAGCTATAACTTTTTGTCTGTTTCTTTTTCCATAGATTCCCAAACTCATTATGATAATCATTCGCAAGCTTTGATGAATTTAGCGCATGATAATGATGAACCAGGTAATTCAAGTACATTTTTCCCCCTAGACACACAATCATTACTTTTTGCAGTTCACTAAACTAATCTATTTAGATTTTCATTCTTTCAAAGAATTGATCACTAAATGAGACGGAACGTATTCAAGATTTTATTAATATAATGTTTCATTTCCCTGTTTTCTATAATAATCATTATTATTGGTTTGTGTTCATCACACTCCTAGTTCACCATCAGCCTACGAGTTTTCTTGAAACCTTGTGTCAGCTGGTGTTGAAAATTGATATTTATTGCTTCCTGTTCTTGGTACAGAATCATATGCTTGACGCTGAGCCACAATCTAAATGTGAGAGCTAGTGATTTAACTACTTGGTTGTCAAAATGGAAATAGATGGGTTAGGAATCGGGACCAGGGACATCGTAGTTGATGGTCGAACACCGTAACCACTGATCTGCCATACCATACTGGTGTTTTTTTGCGTAACTACTGAGTTTCTTACGTTTGATCTTCTTTCAATAAACTTAAAACAACATTATTCAAAATAGTGAATGTGAGATAAGTCTTTTAATCTAATAATAGGCAACTTCATTGGCATATTCTCTTCTAATATCCCAGCTGTAAAATATTAATTCTTCTAGCTATTTTCCTTATTCTTGAAAGTATCTGATTTGATGTCCATTTCTAAAGTTACGTATTATAATTTTTTTCTTTGTGCTTCTGTTGATAGATTCCCAACTTGAACATGAAAAGCATAGAAATCTGTTCAGTGGATCAATATATGGCCAGTCACAAGGATCAATAAATGATTCGGCAAACTCAGTTGTCGTTAATAATAATCATAATTCAGGTATTTCATCATCTCTTTTAAACTAAAAGAATAATATTGTTATGCTTCATCACAGCATGATTTGATAGGATTTCTTCCATTTATTTAAAATGTTATTTGCATTTACAACTGTAATTTTCAATTATTTTTAATATTTCATTTTCTACGGAAGCAGCATAAAGTAACAGACGGGCACAAGTTAGACATATTACCAGAACATGTCACTTATCCTGTCGAAAATAGTTCTTATCTTTTAATCCCTTAGTTACTACTAGTTTCGTTTTGTTGGTTCTTCTTCCCGTCAATTTCAATTTATTTCTTTCACACATGGAACTCATCAATCAATCATTGTTGGACCACCATTAAAAACCTGAAAGCACTGGACGACCGTTTCGTCTTGGTATAGGACTCATCAACAATGTGTATCCACCACCCCTGCTACTCTCAGGATTGAAACCGAGGACCTTCGGCCTTGCGCGCGAACGTCTGATTTCTGGGTCATTGGGCCGGCATCCAACTGTGTTAATGTCTAACTGTGGTCAATCTAGGGATTTCGCGCCCACTATATATGCTATTTGTGTTATGAACTCAGCTTTGTAGACTGTTAATATGCAATTCGAGTTTCGACTGTTATAATCTGACTATATTTCTCACCATCCATTTATGATACCTACATACTACTGACCGTAATGTCTGTTGATCATTTTACTACTACGTGTTACATAATTTATTCAGGGATACTAACTTAGCCATTAAGTTTTGCCATAAACCAAATAATGGGATTTGTTTATTAGCATGATACTAGTCGGGAAAATAAAACAGCCTAGTAAATTGCACACCTTGATCTCTGTGATATCTGATTTTGAGCTACATTGTCAAAAACTTAGTAAAGGGGGGTAATTCTGTGTTGAAGAGTATAATGTTAATTCAAAAAGCATTACAGGAATTCGATGTTCAATTTTTGAAGTAAACCAATCATTCAACGTAAACAATATTAAAGACACAAAAACTGACAGCGGAGAATTTACATCTGCCTTGAGGAATTAACTAATACATTAAAACATTAGGATGAGTAAATCAATTATCAAGATCACTGAAACATTCGAATATCACACATTACAATGTAGGCATCTGTAGAAATAGGTGACGTTAGTTACTTACTCTTAGAGTATGCTGAATTATAGTTTAAGTGAATTATAGAATTTGTGCTTTTATTACTAGTGATAAAATTATCTTGTTTTAATTTTTTCATTGATTTTCATATCGTATTGGACACAGATTCGTACGAAAACTGTAATAATCTACTTAACGAGTCTACATATGACCGATCACATGGTTTGGTTGATGAAATGCTGAAACCATCTGTAAATAATCATTCTGATCCAGGTAATTTTAACATTCAGTAAATTTAGTACAATTAATTCTTGTTATACCTTCCTTATCACCTTTATCTTTTTATTTTTAAGTTTATTTCACTAGATTCTACTTCTTTGATGATATCCTTGAACCCTATTCTCTCCGATTACTGCTAATACTTCTACCACCTCTACTACTATATGATTTGAAGTGACAATTCGATCTCTCTCTCTCTCTACTAATGTGGTATGGCAACCTGAACTTCCGCACATACGTACGAAGTTCTACGTTGTAACTGACTGACTGACCAACTTGTCTACTAAACGGGTTAACAAACTTTCTTTAGGGTAAAGTAAAGGCCGGTTCGTATGCCCCAAAGTTTTTTTGTAACGAAAATTTACTTGAAACTAAGATATTGTTCTAAAATTTGAGAAAAATTCGCATAAACCATGACGATCCAACAATCTCCTCAAATTACTCATGCTCATCTGCTCATCAGTGACTAACTTCAGGCTGTAATCCTAAGAGCTCTAATGAGCAGGCATGATTTGTTAAGTTCAACCATTTCTCACAACACCAGTTTGACTCTGAATATTTACATCTCATTTTTTCCCTTTACTACAAGGGATAATTTGACATATGAGTGCTAGTTATCCTAAACACAGCTATTATTCCGCTGTTCCTTTAATAATTTTGATTGTTGATTGCTTTATATCCAGTTACAGTTCCTTGATTGGCTAGTAATTTACCCACTGTCAAAAAGTTTTGAGTAAAGCAAGGTAGAATAATAGTAAGATTTGTAGGCTGATGCAATGTGGGTTAACTTTACGATAACAGTATTTGCAGTTTTTATTCCATTTGATTCTAAAGGATTGGGAGTAATTTCTAGAAATCTGGACTTAATTTTCTAGGTAGTTGACTTGTCTCATTTTCAGTATTAAAAGAACTAATATTTCCTGTGTAACACAATATCACAGTCATAGAGCTTCATTGTGAGTTATTCTGGTCATAGCTGAACTTTCTTAGCATTCAGGTTTCAGCAGATGTAGAAAAGTATCCCAGGACTTAAACCGTAATCATACATGCTCATTATCTGAATAAATTACAGAAGTTATGATTGTTTGCATTTTGTTTTAGAACTTCAAAAATCTGAGCTCCCGACTTCTGAGTTTTCAACTCAAGTAAGTGATTTCTTCCAACTTTCTGTTTAAATGAAGTTTCAATTCTCAAATAAATTGTCTGTTAGTGTTATGATGATGTGTGGTTCACTAACTCGCAAACTGACTACTTGAGTACCGAGTTATATACATAAGTACTCATCTATATATTCGTTCATTCCCCTTAGAAAATGAGTCATTTTTTTTTACCAATGATCTACACTTGTCCTTTAGGAAATTTCTCAATGTCATCAAGTAATCTTATCCTTCGACACCTTATTGGCTGTCTATGTCAGTGAGTATTCACTGAGATTCGTCTTTTGAACTTGTGACAACTCCTAGCATTAGTTGTGATAGTTATCTCATTTATACTCATATAACCCGTTTAGATATAGATAAGGCTGTATACTTATGATTTCAATCTCTGTGAATCAACTTGATGTCTGTAAACAACGTTGATCAAGTTAGTGTTTTGAATATAATGGATACTTTGGCAATTTTTTTAAAATTACTTACAGACCTGTAAAGTATCAGAAGATTTATTTTCATTGAAATATTTTTATGTTGTTGAAATTTTCTGCTTGTATATATTCTCTTCATGTCTGTAACCTATTCATTGAACTTTATTTAAATTTCCCTATTCTTATTTGATCCTCTTTGTATAGAACTCATCTCGTCGACGAGTTTTAGTTTTCGACGATGAGGATGATGATGATGATGAAAAGGAAAATGAAGAAAAGAAGAAAATCGATCACATTGAATCATCTTCACTCACTCCTTTTAAATCCGCAACAGGTTAGTTTCACACATTTCTCAATCAATCGAATGCATATCTTTTTTTCAGAATTTAATTTTACTGATGAAAATTTGTCAGATAACAATGGGGTGGTGGAAGCAGAGGATGAGAAGACCTCCGATATTGATGAATCAGATAATCATACTGTTGAAGCAGAAGATGATGATGTTGATGAAGTGAATACTGATCCTGATGAGATTACTGACGAAGAGAATGTTGGCGACGATAATGAATCCTCTTCAGAAGGAGACGAAGAGGTTGAACAAGAGAATTCTTTTGAAGATGATGTTGATGATGATGATGAAGAGGAAGTTCAACGTCTTACTATACAATCGAATGAAATTAAAAAGAAGAAAAAGTAAGTAAATCGCTTTTTCTTGTGCCTAACAGTTTTTTTTGTAGACTAAGAAAAATTCCCATTTGTAAGAGTGGAAGATATTCGTAGGTTACTAGTCTTCGATCATAGATGTCTTAGAAGCATTGCTCGTGTATCATGGGTTACCCGAGTGAGCAATGCTGCCATTAAGAAACTAGTTCTAGGTAAGGATGGCAGATCAATAGACGAAGTATTGAAACTTCATCAGTAGAGGTGGTTGGGACATGTTTTATGTATGCCCGACTACTGACTGCCTCGACGAGCTATGTTTTGTGGTGTAGGAGTAGGTTGGAAGAAAGCTAGGGGCGGACAGAACAAAACATGGCAGAAATCCATGAAGTCACTGACAAGTGGACTGAGTCATGTTGGTAGATGTAGGCTACTTGGTTGGGGTCCACTAAACGAAAATCACCAATGGCTAGAGTCTTTTTGACATGGCTCAAAATCGTTTGCGATTCCGCAGGTGCATCCACTCTTTGTTTTTTCTTAAATCCTAATCTTCTGGATTCGTCAGCACCTCTACCTTCGTTTTTCTAAACTTATCTTACGGAATTATATTTCTTGAATATTATCTTCAAATCCTAATCTTTCCCATTAGCAGTAATTATTCTTCTATCTCAACCACTATGGGATTTGAATTAACAATTGCGTCTCTGTGCTACTGTGGTATGGCAACCTGAACTGATGTACTTACGTACGAAGTTCTACGTTGTAACTGACTGACTGACCCATTTGTAAATAAATTGCACATATACTTACTATCTAACTTGTTATTTGTCAGACATTCTTACTTAAAATTTGAACATCGAAGCCTTGTGCATGAGTGTGTTTGTGGTTGTTGAATGTTATCTACTTATGTAAATTTCGATGATTGACCACTATGTTCATAGAAAGACTGTTTGAATAGTACACAGTTTAGAAAAGTTTCCTAAACTTTTTGATTGACTCAAGAACGATTTCGAAAGCATAGAAAATGAGGATGTGTTTTACCTTAGTCTGTTTTATAGTTCTAAAAACTATGGAACAATTAAAGTAGCAAATAAATAATACCTAGATGATATCAGTGATCATAATACAATCAGTCAGTCAGTTACAACGTAGAACTTCGTACGTACGTACATCAGTTCAGGTTGCCATAATGCATTAACTTACAGACGCAACTGTCAGTTCTAATCACATAGTGGTAGCAATAGAACTATTAGCTGTAATGGAGAAGATTAGGGTTCGGAGATATGATTCGAGAAGTATAATTCAGTGAGATACATTTAGAGAAAAATATAGGTGAGGAATTCAGGTTAGAATTAGAGAGAACACAAAGAATGGGTGCACCGGCGCCATTGCAAACGATTTTGAGCCATGTCACAAGGTCTCTAACCATTGGTGACTTTCGTCTCGTGGACGCCAACCAGGTAGCCTACATCTACCAACATGACTCAGTCCACTTGTTAGTGATTTCATGGATTTCTGACAGGTCTTGTTCGAAAAACACTACCTATTGTTTTTAAGAGTCAATTCAACGTGAGTTTATACACTTGGATCATACGTAGGTTACTGAGACTCGGGTAAACGTTTTGTATAAAGATGAAACTTAAGCAAGGATTTGTTTGTGACCACTTTGGTCTCGCGTGTTGTTACCGGTGTGAGGGTGGCTGTCACTTTCCGGCTGTCTACACCGTAGAAAGGTGTTTCTTGAAGAACCTGAAAAGTAAGGTAGTGTAGGTCTTAACGACTTGGGTGCGTGACCGCAGAGCCCAAGGGACAACTACTTGAGGCCAGTCACGCGTGGCCTTTTTTGTGGGGGGTTTAGGATATTAGTTGCGCTCTTGTTTGAAAGCTTTTACCTTCGAAAATCTGTGATGTAAGATGAGGTGTGACATTTTTAGGGTCGACCTTTTCTAACCCTTCCTTCCTTGTGAGAAGGCAGCATCACTGCAGATGCTGGTCGTCCGAGAGAAACACCTTACTGCTGTCACACCCCTCTGCAGTCATCAGTACGACTTCGCCCTTGTACTTTGAGTAGCTGTTTCTAGTCCTATCGTTCTCTAATCGACCTAACTGGCATGGTAGAACCTTCAGGAACATATGTTCCATCCAATATAGCTCGGTCGGGTCATCACAATAGGCCAGCGTGACCACCACGTCAAGGTAGCAGCTATGGTCGAGATTGATCATAACAAACAGTGTGATTGACTTGTATACATAGAACAGTAGAAAACGTATGTTATATGCTTATATCATTGATTGTTTAAACCTTTGCATACTTTACTAATTTATACAAGTATCTTTTTTCCCAAAAACTACTCTATTCGTACTTGTAGAACTAAAGTTCATCAGTTATTTCTATTCCTATTTTCATTGACGAATAACTGAAGTGTCTTTTGACTAATCACTGATTATGAACCCTTACATTTTTCCATAGATTTCGTGTAAATGACTTTTTGGATGAAGAAGCTGAATTATCTGGTGATGAAAATGAACGAGCTTATTTTATGGATGATGAAAATGAATTAAATCCTGATGATGATGCTAATGAAGAGTTCGCTGATTTAATTGATGAAGATGAATCAAATATTCCATCAGCTGGTCGTTTACGACGTCAAATTGAACGTGTACATCATCGCCTGCAAACTGATCAAGATCTACGTGAACTACGTTATCTTAAGGTAAATTTTGTATAGATTATTTAATTTTTTTTTCAAATTACCCGATTGTTACGGTTAAAACTTATTCAATCAGTGGGAGTTATGTTCCTCGTTTTACAACCATGTCAGACGTGAAGAAAGCACTCGCCAACAATGGCATTGAAAGACGATTACACCATATCGTGAATTAATTGAGCCTAGATATTTCAATCATTGAATATCACCTTCAGATATCTAAAAATTAACCGATAACTATACGAGCCCAATCTCTAGGTTATAACCCTCAGAGTCGTGAACTTGAATCACTGGAAATTCTCATGCTATGATGAAACAGCTGTCTAGCAATTTCTGGTTCCTAATAGTTTTCAAACTTCGATCTATTCATGAAGTAAACTATGAATTACAATAATCTTCACAAACCCCTCTGTAGTAATATTTTCATCGTATACCTCCTTGGTTCTTTTTTCATATCCTGTCTGTTTTCGATTGATCTCTCATCGAATTATGTGGTCATTTAAACAAAGAGCTAGTCATAATACATTGAATTGCCTGCTCATTGGCGCTGTCATGATACATTGAATGAACTTATAGTCCTTCAAATTTTACACATATAATTTTTTGTTTACTCCATTGTATTTAAATGGTTCTCCAGCAATCACGTATACCTACATACTAATATACCTGAATGTATTCACTGTGACTCGAAATATTCCTATTTTTTCTGGTAATATCCTTAAATAAAGTGATATTAACCACATTTTGATAATTGTTATGATTGGGAAGTTAGTTTTTTTTAAAAAAACAACTATATTTTAATGGTATTTTTTAGGAACTTTATTTTGAAGACGGTGATTTACATGCAGAAAATGGTCGAGTTCGTCAGAGACGTTTTCGTTGGCGTGGTTTAGGTAATTTTTTTTGAAATGCTTATTTTTATTGTTTTTGAAAGTGGATGAAAATCTATTGTTTTAAAATTCAACAATATATCATGGTTGTAAGGGTTGATGGTATGCAAAGAATTTCTAATTAGACAATTAGTTACTTGTTTCATTATTCAAAGATCTATATAGACTTTCAAAAATTTGTTGTTTGAATTATTAAAAATTGTCAACTGTATCTACACTTGATGAACTACGTTTATCAAGTTGTTGGATATCTTACTAATGAAACATACAAATGCATCATATATTGTCTAGGTTAAGTCATATAAATCATCACACCTAAGTTGTGTATGCTGGCTTCTTCAATACGAAATAGATATTCATCCTGTAGAATACAAGTTGAAGCGATTAGTCAACCGTTGGTTTCACATTGACTTATTTATTCAAAGTTTATTTTACATCTCTATAGATTTTGTTAACTTCTCAGTGAAGTCATTTTTTTATTTTGTCTCTCGAAAGAATAAAATCTATTGAAATTGTATACCATTCATTTCAAATTTATTTCATTGCTGTAGAAAATATAATAAAATAGAGTGTATATTGTTTTTCAATGTACACTACTAGGTCATGATAATATACATTCAAACTACTAGACTAGATTCTTTGGACCACTGACTGTTATGATATGCATATTGATTTGTTGCCGACCTGCGTCACTTATGGCGTAGGCGAGATATCCGTTCGCTGACCAAACGACGGTTGTACTGCGCAGCAGTTTGCTCCGTTCTCCTATATGGATGAGAAACATGGCCGTTAAGAGTAGAAGATGTTCGTAGGTTACTAGTCTTCGATCATAGATGTTTAAGAAGCATTGCTCGTATATCGTGGGACAACCGAGTAAGCAATGCTGTCGTTACGAAACGGGTGCTAGGTAAGGATGGCAGATCAATCGATGAAGTGGTGAAACTTCATCAGTTGAGGTGGTTGGGACATGTGTTACGTATGCCTAAACACCGACTGCCTCGACGAGCTATATTTTGTGGTGTAGGGGTAGGTTGGAAGAAAGCTAGGGGAGGCCAAACCAAAACATGGCAGAAATGCATGAAGTCACTGACAAGTGGACTGAGTCATGTTGGTAGATGTAGACTACCTGGTTGGGGTCTGCGAGACGAAAGTCACCAATCGTTAGAGACCTTGAACGACATGGCTCAAAATCGTTTGCTATGGCGCAAGTGTATCCATTCGTTGAACTCTCTCAAATCCTAATCTTCTGGTTTCTTCAGCTCCACTACCTTTGTCTTTCTAACCTTATCTCACTGAACTATACTTCTTGAATAATATCTTCAAACCCTAGTCTTCTTCATTACCATTAATACCTCTACTATCTCTATCACTATGGGATCTGATTTGACATTTGCGTCTGTGTGCTAATGTGGTATGGCAACATGAGTCTATGTACATACGTTCTACGTTCTACGTTGCAACTGACTGACTGACTGCATATTGATTTGAGATATTTATGAAATATATATATATATATATATATATATATATATATATATATATATATATTTATATATACTAATCAGCTATTATTGTTCAATTTTTCTTCTAAGATAATGATGATCCATTCGCTGATCAAATAAACATGGATAACAGTGGTGATGATGATGATAATTCAAGTGATGATGGAAAGACTAGTATACCATTCGGTCCTATAGATAATTGGTTACGTCGTTGTCCAATCAAATCATCTAATGATGTGAATAATCAATCAGTTGAAAATGATGATTTAAATTCTACCAGCAACATTCTACATCCAGTATCATCATCATCATCATCTAATCAACAGATAAATAATAATAATAATGAAGACTTGAATAATTCTGATGAAGAAAAAGAAAATTCTGAAAGAGTAATTGATAATTCATCAACTGATGTAAGTTACTGAGTAAGCATGTGTGGTAACACTTGCTTAAATAATTCCCAGCTAAATCTTATTGCTTAGTATTCTCTGACCACAGTACACTGGACAAGTTCCAAGAAATCAAAAACACGATTGAACAGGAAAAGATTATATTCCAAACAGCAAGGTTAAATGGAAATACGAACCGAAAGGCGAAGGCAAAATAGATACAACGTTAGTTTCTTTATAGTAGAGTAATTCACGTGATCGACTGGATTAGATTTAGCCAATCAGAGCGCAGCTAACAACACGAGAATTTTCTACCCTGTTCTCCGATAATCGATCAGGCTCTGATTGGATAAGAAATAAGCCAATCAGCGCGTAGCAACTAGTCATGCTTTAATTCCATCTATGTCCCACTAGCAGTATGACTGATGTCATATGTATGTCAACTCATTCTAAGTGCTGATTGAATTCCATCGATCGAGCTGTGATATTATGACCTCTAGTCGAAGTCATTCAGCAGTGCGTGCACACTGTTAAAAATGTAAAATGGTGGTTGAAGGCATTCAGCTAGAAATCCTGTTTTACTTAAGCCTCTTTGCTAAATTATATTCAAGTGATGTAGTTACAATGAACAACTGAGCTGTTCATGTAACTAGACGCTATCATCCACCTATACGGTTTCATTACTTCTAAATTTAATTGTAGTGTATATGTTATCATTAGTCCAGGATAGCAGGTCAGTAGATGAAGTATTGAAACTTCATTAGTCGCTGTGGTTAGGACATGTATTGCGTATGCCTAACCACCGACTGCCTCAACGAGCTATGTTTTGTGGTGTAGGAGTAGGTTGGAAGAAAGCTAGATGCGGACAGAGCAAAACCTGTCAGAAATCCATGAAGTCACTGACAAGTGGACTAAGTCATGTCCGTAGTTGTCGACTACCTGGTTGGGGTAATGATAATAACCGATGGTTAGAGACCCGTTCGCAGTGACTCAGGTGCATTCATTCTTTGTGTTCTCTCAAATCCTAAAATTTTTAATTTGACTAGATTCTACTTCTGAATAATATCTTTAATCTTAATCTCTCTGATCACTGCTAATACCTTTACTTCTTCTACTGCTATTGAATTTGAATTGACAATTACATCTCTGTGCTAATGTGATGTACGTACGTAGTATTACGTTGCTATTGATTGATTGACATAATTAGTCTAAAGCGCTTCCATTGATTTTATCTTCTCCCTTTATTAACCAGGTTTTTTGTCTGTAGAAATGTTAAATTGTAAAATATTCATGTTTTAGTAGACCATCTCAATTTGTTATTCATAAAATTTATCGTAAAATTTGTTGTATAACTGTGAAATTTTTTAATTATTCTTCTCTATTTCAGTTTTCTTTTTCTATATACAATTCGTTTCAATAGGTTTTATCATTAGGAAGAAAAGCTTTATTAAAATCTCAAACAAAATTACAAACTCAAATAATTGTACGAAATAAGTTACCGGCCAATCGTGGTAAGTTAAAATTCTTATGCTTGTTCGACACATTTAATGTTACTTAGTGTTATTTTTCTTCAACAAACCTATTGTTCTAGTCTGCTATCTAATTCCAATTGATTAGCAATGAAATGTTAAAATTTAGATGGGTGTATGTACACGATAAGTGATTGCTTTTTTTCTTAGCGTTTTAAAAAAAAGGAATACATTTCTGTTGGGGATGTTAGATCCCCGGAACTCGGTTGATAAATGCCTTAATTTTGGATTTCATGTTTCCGAGCATGGGCTGATCATTTGACTTTGAGATCGCATTTCCCATCAGGAAAATCGTTGGCTGTGTATTTTAGTCTGCTATTTTTGTGACTCTCCCACGGACGTTTCTATGATGTATAAATAAATGCGATTTGCGATTTGTGTGCTTGAATTCATTGTGCTTGCTGAGTGTTTGTAGAATATACCCTCTACGCTATATCAAGACTTATCTTTTTTGAACGGATCAGGGTAGCCTACCTGTACGCTGGTTCATTGTCTCATTCTCGTTTATCGACTAAGGTGAACCCGTAATAGTTTCAGGCATACCTAGTGAGGAACCTAACAATCTCAAATGATATATTCGATCATTAATCTTTTTGATCATTGCTAATACTTCCACTACATTTACTACTGTGATTTAAAGTGACTTTAGCGTCTCTGTGCTAATGTGATATGGCAGCTTGAACTGATGTATATACGTACCAAGTTCTACGTTGTAACTGACTGACTGACAAGTGATTGCAGATATGTGATACGCTGCGCACTAATATAATGAATAAGCTTTAGTAGCATATCGATAACATAAGTTGCTACTACTGAGGTAGAATAACTCCAAACTCGTGTATATGATAGCGTCGCTGACCGATGTTAGCGTTGGGCTAGTCCCAGCTAGACTACTATCAGCCTGCAGGAAGTTCATCCCGCTGCTTATATTGACGGTTTGTTTGGATGCATGTATCACTGTTCTGTCTACTGACTTAGCGGGTTGTTCGATTTGCAGCTTTCTAGTAAAAATGCGCTGGGAATTTCTAATATGTAGTGTTCATATAATTAACTGTTAACGTCGTAATTTATGTCCATCTCTATACGTTATTTAAAATATGACACTTTGGCATTATGCACAACTTTCATGTATCAGTATTCTCCATCCGAAATAATACATTGTTTTCGCTACTTATTGTTAATGTTAATTACACATTTCTTCATGGTTAGTTTAGAAATTAGGCATTCTTTCAAATTAGTGATCATTTTTCCACAGGGAGCATTATAGTGTGCATTATTTTTTCATGCATACATGAGTTATTCCAAGTTTTTGGGTAGACCAGTTAGTGTATTCTCCTTCAGTGATTATCCACACATATTTTGACGACACCAGTTATCCGCTTTTAATGGTGAAAATTTTTTCAATGACCGTATGTATAGTTTTCCACCTAGTTTCCACGGTATTCTCAATTATTCATATAATCTTGTTATTGCTCCATACCATTAACGTCATCAAACAACCATTTAAAGTTTGCTTGTTCTATAATTTTTCAACAGTAGTTCAATTTTCTAGAGCTTCCCCTCTCACAATTCGAATTTTTTATGACCTAATCAACTTTATTAGAGTTTCCGCTACATATATTCAATTCTAATCACCGTGTTTATAATATCATAGGTTGTAAAGCAGATGATGAGAACACCTAACAAAATAAAATGAATTTACACTATTCTGTGCCAATCTTTCTTTGTTTTGGCATTCTTCAAGATATTAAAGCGGATCTATGTGTATAGAATTATTCTACTCGTTTTTGGAGATAACACTGGAAACCCCAGTTGAAATGCCTCAGAACTATAATACATTCTTTGTTCTGTTGACCTTATTCCTTCGTGTCTTTTGTCTGTTTTTCCTAACTATATTCTCTGTGTTTAGTGTTTTCGTTACCACTGACATTATTAAGACCCCTTTCCATCCCCTCCACATTATTCGTAATTACTTCTCATCATGTCGGTTAATAGTGTGGCAACTACAGGACGTCTGTAACAATTCTCAAGTTGTTATACGGATTGACATTGATGTAGTTTATTCCGTAGATAATTATTTTAATCCATCGAAGTTTTACATAGTCTAGTATTCTATTTTAAGAGTGAGTATTTGAATTCATCATGGCTTAATATTTGCACTACAGTTTGTACAGATTATATACTACTGCTTATTTCTCTGATTTTATTGTTTCATTATTTGGTATGGTATCCATATTCATATTATGATTTTCATTTAATTAATCGTTTGGAATAAGATTTATTCATATCAATAGTAAATCAGTCATATGTACTGTGCAACCTGATATATATGCAACGTTTGAAGTTACCACATCATATAAGCGAAAAAAAGGGATGCCAGAATAGAAGAATTAGTAACGGTATCAATTTCTGTTTAGCGTTTTTCTAGCGAGTTAGTTTTTTGTGGGACAGAGTCGCCAACCCTCCTCCTTTATCCGGGCTTGCGACCGGTAGTAGCCTCAGAGATGCTTCAGGCGGGGTTAACGGTATCAATGGTAGTAGAAAAATTAAACATAAAAGATATGATTCGAGCAAGAAAATACAAATTCATATGAATCTAAAGATTTAAAGGAATACAAATAGTGATTGCATCTGAGTCATCGCAAGCGATGGGCATTCATTAACTAACAAACATTAATTATTATTATTATTATTATTATTACTATCATAATTATCACTACCTTTTTCTTTCATTCTCAAGGTAAGACAACCAAACCGTCATCTGTACCTAGAAATTCATCAATCTCTAACTATTTCTTGCAACCTAAATCTCATAATCTACCAGTCAATGAAGGTGTTACTAATGATCCAGATGATAATAGCAGCAGAATTGACAACGTTATCATTAGTGATAATAATCACGATAAACCTATTACTCCTGTGAAGTGTACTGATGTTAATAATATTAATAATAATCGTAATAATAGTGATGTAAAGCTGCAAATGATCAGAGTAAGTTTATAAGTAGTATTGGTCGTCTTATTATATTCCTTGTTTGTTATATTCTTCCTTTCAATCAGCACTTCATTTGACTTCCAATAAACTGAAATAACAAAAAATGTAATAAAAGAACAAGAGTTAATCCAATGAATTATATCAGAAACTCTTCATGTCTATTCAGTTTGTTCACTGGTACAGATTAGTTGATAAGTCTATCCAACCATTGCATAGGAAGAAACTAAGGCTGTATGTTACGCCTGCACGTAAACACGTCAACTTGATATACTTGAACTATTACGAGTTTACCTAGTCGGAAAACGAGAGCGAGGATCCGGCGACACGACATGCTACTCAAATCCGATTATCCCAACCCCCATCGAATAAAAATAAGAAGACTTGAATATGAAGTAGAACCTGTATTTTCTACAAGCATCCAGAAAGTACGAGGTCCGAATCCAGAAGAGAATCAGGATCCCGGACTAGGGATCCGGGTCCTGATCCTAAAACGTTACAGATAATGCGTATTTATACATTTTGGTCGAATAGGAAACAGCATCGAATTCTGTGACATTGACAGTTAAGACGACCAATAGTAAGCAACATTTGAAGTGACATTGACAGTAAGGACAACAAATAAGAAACAACATTGGAGCACATGACATTGATATCTAGGACGACCATAAAATTGACCAGTAGGAATTGACCAATAATTCTCTTAGGATATTGGATGAATATCCTAACACTGTATGGGATATTTTGTTTTCAAAAGGCATTGTCATGCATATTTATAGGCTTTGACAATAATTTAGATACGTGTTTTGTGTATTTAACTGGATGAATAATTCACTTATTCATGATAACCAAATCATATTCGTATGACTTTTACAAGTCGATTTCATCCAATCACTTATAACATTTTATTCTGTTTATTTTGTCTGTACATTCTGTTTATAAGTTGGCTACTTTATTACGTGGAAATTCATTTTTGTGGCTAGTGGTCTTGTCCTTGATCATATGAGGGATCAAAGACAAATGATATGGTCTCATGAGTATCTGTCACTCCGCCACATTATGTCATCGCGTTCATCTACCGATTACCATTCTATTCAGTGTTTTTAGCAACGGAAAATTCTGTCTATTCCAATAAAAGAAGCACCACAAACGGTCCGGTTAAGTTAACTATATCCCTTCTATTTAAGTATATTTGTTTCATTTTAAGCATAGTTTGCATTTTTGTAGCTACTTTTATATACTTGCTTAACCCTTCTATTCAAACGGAATCATCTCATTCTTATTTGATAGCGCGGTTCCCTATTGAGTCGTTTGCCTGGAAGTCTTCTTCCTAGTTATAAATCTGAATCTACCCAGGTTCATTCAAATGTTAATGCTGAATTCGATGTCGCCATGTCAAAAAGTGAAAATCGTCGTGACAAAACAAATTTGGATTTACGTAGCAGAGTCGGTTTATCGTGTTTTAGTGTTGTGACGCCTCAAATTAAACCAGAAAAAATCGACTCATTTGACGATAACAGTTCAATTAATGAAAATACTCAAAAACCCAGCATTAAGGTTAGTTATGTTTCATACATAGTCCTACCTAGATAACAATTGATTACAGTAATTTATTTATTTCGGGTCAGTCTTGAGATCAGAACTTCTACGCTTAGCTTTAGTATCTTGGGCATACCTTAATATCTAGATCATAAATGCGACCCAAGTTATATGAACCCTTGCTTCAGTGTTGAATTGAGTCAAAATTACCATACGATTATGTCGGTAAAAGTTTGCTGTAAATTCACTGTTTTTCAACTAATTTTAACCATCCCAACATGTCTAGAAGCTTCTGCATAGAAACTGGTAACGTTAAATTGCTTTTGTAATCTAATTTTCCAAATTATACGATCTTAATGTTAGTGTTTCGAGAAACTAGACCTTCCTGATTTCGACATTTCTATCTGATTCCGATTACTTTTCTATCTTAAACCAGTCAACCTACTGCTTATACAAAAACGTTAACATTAAAAGTTGTTTTTTCGAATCCGATGACCTACGACAAAGACCTTTAACATTAATTCGATTACGGGCAAATAAATATTTAGTAAGATCCAAGTGAAAAGATTTATGTCTAGCAACAAATTTCCAAACGTTGATCTGCCACCCACTATTGAAGTCCCACCAACTCAAACAGCAGTATCAATTAAAAGGACAAATGTATGACAGGTGTATCATAATTCGGTAGTTCAATCACTATCGTATCTCAAAATATATTTTATTTGATGCTATTAAAAAATTATTTCACTCTGTCTTAAAGTTGTAAAGACTCCGCGTATTGATTAATCTGCATCATAATAATAATATTTGCATGAAATTCCAACCTCAGATGCCCCATCAATTAATTACTGATCAAACTGCATAAAATAGAAGCAATTCAAACATTTGAGTTGCTTGTTTTAGATAATTTATTTTTGTTTTTTCTTTTAGAAAAAACGCTCAGCTGGTATGATCAAATCTAATTCCGTTTTGTTAAGTCCTCCAAGTTTAAAACGCCATCGATCTTCTAGTGTGTTTACTGCTCTACTGTGAATAATCTCCCCTACTTTATTTTACCCTACAACTGTAAAAAAAATTACTTGATAAAGCCTTTCATGTTTTATATACTTTTTTGATGTAATGAATAAACCTTATTTAAAAGTGTTTATTTTCTTATATAAAGCGAACATAAGGATGTGCATTCTATCACCGTTAATATATTGTGAGTTTACTCGATCTGAGGTTAAGTACAGAAATTTAAGCATGGTTTGGAGTTTAAGACAATAGCTTCTTACTATCCATATGGATCTTATTAAAAGAATAGAACTTATCCCATTTTTTTCGAAATCTCCGACCGTAGCTGCTACCTTGACGTGGTGGTCGGGCTTGCCTATCGCGATAACTCAACCGAGCTATATTGGCTGGAACATATGTTCCTGGAAGTTCTACCATGCCAGGCAGGTCGATTGGAGAACGGTCAGACTAAAAGCAGCTACTCAGGGTTTGAGGGCGAAGTCGTACTGCTGACTGCAGAGGGGTGTAATACGCGTAACAGCACGAGACCGATTTGGTCACAATTAAATCCTTCCTACACCTCTTATATTCACGACTAACTCTTCTCACATTCCTTTATCACACTGCACCGCTAATCCAGAAGATGCGAGTTCACGAAACGTCATTTCTGGTCTCCTGAAACCCCGTTCTAAACTACATGTTGGAGCATTTAATATACGGACATTGTGTCAAATAGGGCAACAGGCATCATTAGCTAGGACTTTAGAATCTCGTGCCATCGATGTATGCTGCGTCTCGGAAACGCGCATACAGGATCCGAGTAGCATCATTCACCTGACCTAACCATTTCAAGATAAAGAAGCAACTCGATTTACACTTCGCGTTTGTGGAAGTCCCGATACTGCTTCCCGGTGTCTCGCTGGCGTAGGTATAGCATTGAGTCGTACGGCAGAACTAACTCTCCTAGACTGGGTCTCAGTAGATAGTGGCTTGTGTGCTGTCCGACTAAACGGGGCAGTAGGAACTCGGAAGGATACGGACACTCGCCGTTGCCTCTTCGTCATATTTGCCTGTGCCCCCACTGATTGCAGTTCAGACGAGGTGAAAGATGAGTTTTACAAAAAGCTTTCGGACCTCCTCCAAAAAGTTAGGCACTCTGATGTAGTAATAATCGCTAGTGACTTTAATGCTCAAGTAGTTGGACTGAGTGAAAATGAAAGACACCTGGGTGGATGTTATGGTGTCGCGGCTCACAGAACCGACAATGGCGACCGTCTGTTGCAACTGTGCTCAGATAACCGCCTATTTCTAGCGAACACTAAATTTAGGCATAATGAAAAGCATCTCTTTACATGGCAATGTCCAAAGTCGTCACCATGCTGGACCCAACTAGATCATTTCGCCATCAGCCACCGATCATGTTCTGTAGGTGACTGTCGCTCGTTTTGTGGTACGTGTTCGGATTCATACCATGGATTGGTGCGAGCGCGTATTTGTTTGCGACTTACTGCATGTACGAAAGACATCTCTGGGTTATACCTAATGATAGAATAGCTATGAATATACTTCAGGAACAACTAGAAAAACAGTTAGGTAATCATGTAAGTGATTTCCATCCGTAGGCAGATTGGAATGTTATCGAAAACGCTGTGGAGACGGCAGTGATATCGACTAGAATGGTAAACTATAAGGCTAGGAAGCCGTGAATCTCTGTAGCATGGATGCTCGGAAACTTATCCTACCTGGCTCTGAACATGATGAACAGCGAAGTCAGCTTAAGCGCAGGCTGATAAAAAGCCTACGCAACGTCCACGAACAGTGGTTGGCGAAAGCAAAAGCGATGGAAAAGGCAGCGGCGATAGGCAACAGTGGACAGTTATTCCGCCTTATAAAGGAAACCGGTGTTAGATATCCATCTGTTAGCGAAACTATCTCAGGAAAACATGGTTGTATCATTCATTCTCAATCCAAGAGATTGGATCAATCGGCAGAACACTTCAGGTATCTGTGCAACTGGCCTTCAACCACACTTCGGTTGTTATCCTAAATGGCAAATCCATTTAAGTCCTCCAAATCTTTATGAAGTTGAGAAAGCTATAGGAAATCTAAGGCGATGTAGGGCATCATGTCTTGATAGATTGACACCTGTGACTTTTAAGGATGGTGCAGTTTTAGCAGCTAGGTTGACTGAGATCTTACGTAGAATCTGAGAACTGGACGCGATCTGATCTGACTGGTCTCAATCACTGATTGTCCCAATTTATAAGGACAAAAGTCTTCTTATGACAATCACAGGTGAATAAGTCTAACTAATAAAGTTTCCAAATTGTTAGCGTTGATAATACTTGGACGCCTAACTAGAGCTCGTGAAGAGCAGACTCGAGAAAACCAGGCTGGTTTCAGACCTGGACGTGGCTGCATAGACCACATTTTCACACTACGTCAGTTCCTGGAACACAGACACACATATAGGCGTTCGACGATAGTTATCTTCATGGACATTAGGGCGATATCTGCCAATCATAGGTTACTAGTATTCGACAATAGATGTCTTAGGAGCTTTGCTCGTGTATCATTGGACACCCGATTAAGCAATGCTAGGAAACGGATACTAGTTGGTGATGGCAGATCAATTGATGAAGTATTGAAACTTCATCAGTTGAGGTGATTGGGACATGTGTTACAAATGCCCAACCACCGAATGCCTCGACGAGTTATGTTTTGTGGTCTGGGAGTAGATTGAACGAAAGTTAGGGGGGGAGTCAAAACAAAACATATCAGAAATCCATGAAGTCACTGACAAGTGGACTGAGTCATGTTGGTATTAGAATCGACAGTTGCGTCTCCGTGCTAATATGCTGTGGCAACATGAACTGATGTACCTAAGTACGAGGTTCTATGTTGCATCTGACTGACTTTTCAAAATCCATCTTACAAACATCATAAATTTGTCAGTCGAATTTTTTCAGTAAGTCACTCCATATGTTGACACTTAATACGCTGATGATTTTTCGATAATACCTTTATGATTGTATTTGGAGTTATATGTACTTAGAGGAAGATCAAAATACTGTCGGTTGATTTCGGAACCGTGGGTCTGATGAGATGCTATTCGTATCTGGTTGCCAACATGTAATCCTCGACAGTCGCGCAATCATTATATTTATGAGGTTTACCTAAAAATCTCTATGTACTTTCACGGTAGAGAACCAAAGTTTCGGTTTTCCAACTAGCCTTCACAACAAGCAGTTTTTTTTCTGCTATTAATCTTTGCCATAACACTAGTTATTTCCTTCATTATCAACAGTTTTACCGACGTGCTCTTACTTCACTATTGAAATTAATTACACAAGTTGTCTGTCTTATGAATCACGGTTCTCAACATTCTAATTCTATGCCACACTAAGTAACAGGAATAAATCATCATAAAAGTTAGGATTCTAAACGATGAACATGTTTTGTGTTTTTATAACCGATATAAACTATGATGCAAATATTACAATACGTCGAAAATAAACAATGACAGAAGAAGATAATGATTTATAAATATCTTTGACGGTTAAAAACAAAGAATATGCAATGAATAAAGATAAGTTAGATGAAAATTGTTAAGTAAGTAATCAGTTTTACTTTCATCGCCTTAGACTCTAGACCTCCTAAAAACGAAAGAAAAAATTGTTTCATGAAATAATTGGTAGGCAATTAATTAAAATAAAAAACACAGCATTAAATTTTTTACATCACTGACTAAAAGTAAATTGATTTTGTATTTGCTACTAACAGTCGGCGAACTACATAAATAGATCACATTATTATTGACAATTTGAAGAGGATTTATACACTTCCACTTTTTTTCTGTGTTGTAATTAACGCAACATGTATACGGTCTCTTATTAGAAACAATCACTATTTTACTGCTCGAACGAGATGCGTTTCCAGAGGCTTTGTCAAAACTTATCAAGATTGGATAATGAATCATATGTTCGACACTTTTCCTGAGAAATCTTTCTTTTAACCACGCCAAGTTAATTACAAACAAACAGAACGTTTACGGGAAAATGTACTGAGATGGAAAAATAATAAAGGGGTTACCGACGTTGGAACCTTAAATGGCTGTGAGGAAAGTTGGGAAGCAGACTCACTGTCGTTCAGCATATTTTGGTTATTGACCAACGATTCACTGTTTAGAGGGGGTTACGTGTATCATATGTTCTGTAGTCAAGAAGCGTATACTTCCCAACACGGTTAGACATATTTAATGACATGGAAAGTACTATCATGTTAGTTTAGTTGGGCACTATAAATTTACCGGATTTTTGTTGGTTAACAACTCACCATAGTTTTTCAAGATAAGTGATTCCCTTGATCACTACACTCTAGGTATTAATACAGACAATTTTGAGGCATCCGTCAAGTCAGGAAATATGACTATAATCTTGCACTTGTATGCCTATTTCGCAAAGACTTAACATTTGAAATTTACAGTTATATTCCTGAGCTTTATTTAAGCGCAGACAGAACTTAATCTCCTAAAAATTATATAAGTTACAATGACCTCTTAGTGATTATTACAAAAGAATGTTAGTCTCTTTCGGCACACTAGAGTGCCCAGAAACTGTAATTAGTCCAGCCCTCAAACTCATACAACGTTTCAGTATATATAGCTGTTAAATCTGGATCACTATACTCGAAAGCGTTTAGCATTTGAGGTCAATCGCTTTCCATTTTATCACGTTTGTAATAAACTTCTCATCTCCACTAACAGTCAAACGTTACTATCTATTAAGCATGAAGGTTGTCGGGAAATAGTGAACAACTAGAGGGGGACATTTGAGCCTTTTCGTCATTTCGACCACCTAGATTAAATGTAACTGTTTAGTTTTTAATATCATCCTCACTAACGACTGATCGTTTACATTCAATCCCTTTGAATCTAAACAACCATCTAGTGATACTTATGGACGCTATTTTCGTCATTCATCACGGTTTACAATCAGTGGGATACATAAATTGGACACTCCAAATAAGTTACAACTCCGAAATCTATTTCGCAATAAAAGTTCATATCTATAGGTATATGAGTAGTACATGAAACATTCAAATAATAAGTGTAATAAAGTAACTACAAGAAAGCTTATCCAATCAGATGTGAGCTATATATATTGCCTGACGAATGTATATCATCGGGCTTTCACAACCAAACGAGAAAGTGTACTGAACGTGCGGTTAGTTGGCTGATAATAACTATTTCTAAGAGCAATAGAATCATATACCCATGAGAGTATAAAGCACATGAGATATAATTTGAAGGAAAACAATATAAATATAAAACTACAATACATACTTTCGTAAGCCTATTCCTCCATTACTATCAATGCCAACATAACATTTATCACCGTAAGTAGTTGAAATCTTCTTTATAGATGGACTAATAGGACAATATTCAGATGTTGTCGTACTTTGTGAACTATGTGTTAAAGTAGACTCATTAGAAGGTCTCCTTGTCGGTGAGTTAGAATGACGACGTTTTATTCCTGATCGACGAGAAGTTTCACTTACAACTTGTTTCTCATGAACATCAGTACCTTTAAGACGATTACTTTTTCTATAAGTAATAAAAAAAATATGTAATTGAAAAAAAGGAATGTTTGAATTTAGTTCACGTGAGTCATATTTTTGAATCAAAGCAAAAAAATTTCACTTAATTTTGCAGCAACGAGGAAAATGGGATCATCGTAGAATTAAAAAAAATGCCTTTTGTCAGTTCCCACAAATCAAACCCCTAGCTTTTTTACCTAAGAACCTACCGAGACCTGTTTTATTTCAGCTTTAATCTAAGATAATAACGTTGTCTAAATTCACTAATTCTCTTTAAAGTCTATCCCTTCAAAATTTACTACTCAAAACGAGTAGACACAATCAACTACGAATCCTGTCTAATGACTAGAACGGTACAATTAGTAAAGATTTGTTCATCTTGAAAATGTCTTTTGGTTAGCATAAGTGACTCAAGTTTCAAAAACCAGTCAAGCCTTCTGTATCAGTGCTGAGGTTTTGTTAGTCACCAGACCATTTGCATTGATGCGACTCCCAAGAAAAGTGAAGAGGTAGACACACTCAACTACTTCAACATCGTAAGTAGAACTATTAACGTCATAATATCTGTGAATGCATCCACTTAGAACACGTAAAGATGAGTACAGACTATAAATCATAATGTTCACATTACTGGATGTTGCAAGTACACAAAACTAATACAACTAGTCAGCGAGGATGAAAGCACATACTAAGTTTGGTGTATACTACATAAATAAATAATAGATTTACCTATATACTAGTTTGTAAGCGAAACTAAACATATTTTCCACTACTCTCATTAGACTGACAGTTTAAACATATAAACTTTTGACTGTGTTTGGATAACGGGTTCACTGAATATTAGTTTATTGATACAGTTACCGTATTTTATCTTAAATATTTACTCACAGTCACAAGTGGAAGCATTTTCTGGACAAAAATAAATAGTAAGAAAATAATTTTGAGAAAATCAAATGGTTAGAATTTTAATAAAATGATACTGTAATAATACTTTCAAATGATGAGAATAATATACCTTAGTTCGCGGCCTGGAGAGGTTTGACGTAAAACTTCTACATCATTAAAAATAACAGCCGAACCTCCACCAGCAGTAGGAATAATGGCACCCTATAAGAGTACAGAAAATGAAATAAACGTTAGGAAATGTTTCGTACCATCATACAAAAATAACCATGAATAATGAACATTTAAAACTGCCTCAAAATTATTTGAATATATAAAAATCCTTTACGTTGGTCTTGAGATGGATGGCAATAATCTAAAATGACTTTAGAATTAATGAAAAATGAAAAGAAAACACTAAAGGAGAACAATCACAGACCATCATGAACTGTCAGTTTGAAATATCAAGTAACGAATGCTGTCTTGTAAACTTGCATTTCTCGACAAACCAAATGCAAATAATTCGTTTGTTGTACATCTAGCTATACCGTTTAGTTTCATGATATACTCTTTCCATAAAAACACTTGATGACCAGATAGTCAAAAGTTCGATATAACTAACAAAAGATTATGAAATATTTCAATACACAATTAAAAAAAATTATGACACTTGAAAGAATCAGTGCGTTATCTACAAAACCACTGAGTAGTAATGATAACCATTGGTTTTGTATCAAGTAATACTCTTTAATAGATGATTTGTTTATGTTTTTTGTTTTTTGAATAACCAACCGAAATTATCTACATTGCTATAATAAATAAACAGATGTTGGATAGTTTTAAAATGAAATAGTTAAGCAGTTATTTTCAAAAGGCATATAACACTATGATTTTCATATACTTACTTTAAAAAGACTTGTTTCCACATTACCATCTGAATCTGCTTCTTGATGATGTAGAAGATAATTATCTGCATTTAAAGTATCTTTCAGTTCAACACGTGTTACAGATTTTCGATGTTTCAAAGTTGGTGTAAACAGTGTCCCCAAAGGTGTGTTATTAACTTCTTGATGCTCTAACCAACGTGCATTATCTCCACCCACTGATCGAGATCGACGATGACGAGGGTTGAATGCTGGAGCAGCACGTCTTTCATTTGGTTTTCCAGGAGTTAATGCAACTCTGTCATCAGTTCTTTTAATATGATTATGATTAGGACGTGATAGTAATTTTGCTTCAGCTTGTTGTTGAGCAAGTCGTGATTCCCACTGTTTGGATAATGCACTGACTAAATTCTATAAGATTTCAACAAATATTTTTTACTCAGATTTAATGGATAATGTAAGCCGAAGAAAATAAGCTCTAAAATTCCACACATATATGTTTTTAAACAAACTCAATAGTTTCAATATATGATAATGTCACATTTCGCCCTTGTATTTCTATAATAAAACATACTAAAATATAACGCAGAATAACTAAGAATAATGATTATGGAGATATTACAATAACAAGAAAAGGTTGGTGATCAGTTCATTAGTTGAAACAATTCATTTAGTTTTGGATTATTATGTTATTCATCTACTTGAAATATGAACAAACATGAAAATTGGAACTACACCTTATAAGTTAAATTGAGATTTAGGTGAATTGGTTTTAATTACTATTCGGTAGCTTATTCTATAACTTATTACCAAGATAATTATGTACTTAATTATCAATAAAACTAAAGTATAACTTGTTTCAAGTCACCAGATGAAGGTTTCTAAATACAAAGTTATCATGAATTTACATGACAAACTAGCAACAGTCTCCTTAAGATCAAAAAGTGTAATATAATTCTAGACTGAAAAACACGACTTTAAACCGTGATATCCTCAATATAATTTACTAACTGTATTCGGAAATATACGAACTTGAGTTTGAAAGCCCTCAATTAATGGATACCATAGCTGAATGAAAAGTAGAGATACACTAACTATGGGTCCGAACTGTGGAAAATAAAAATCTTTTTCAGGAGCAACAGTTAGGTACAGTGTGGTTTTGTTCCAGCTTGCAAACTAAGATTCTAAGCCATACAGAAGATTAGAATTTATTCTGATGAAAATATTAATTGATAATTAGTCTACAAGATCAGTTCATATAATTCCAAGTACTTGAAGCATTCTGACTGAAAGTAGTGTTGATTTAACAGCGAGTAGATTCTTTCAATCCTGATTTCGAAGATGTTATTGCACGAAAATAATACCACTGAGAATGTGGAACTTCCTCAACTGAAATGACGGGCACGTACTGTAATGTTAAGGGTATGGGAAATATTCACTATTCAGCTGCAAACCTTAGTCTATGACGTATTTATTTCCTCTTGCTTATTTTAGCATCTTACAACTTTGGCTGAGTTTTCTGTTCTGTACGGAAGTGAAGTGTAACAACTAAGATTAGTACGTTTTTGTGCAAGTTTGTTTCAATACATCTGCTCATCTGAAATCATAAATAAATTGTCATATACCGATGTGTGTGGTGTGAGCTACTTATAAGTAGTATATGACGTGAGTGTCAACGTAATGTCTGGCAGCGGAAGATGAGGAGAGATCAAGAAAGGAAGAGTTAGAAAACAATGGAATTTGTATGAAACGCATGAATAGTGACAATGGATTGATGTTTTGCAACAGGAACAGTCCAGTTCGATATGATGAACTGTTATTTTGCAAATGAACGATTTACGACATGGTTTTCCAATTTTACTGAGTAACTGTAATTTTCGTCATATACGATTCGGTTGCCCCACCTGTGTTCCCTTTCACTACATAAGGATATAGTTCAGATGCTTGTGTGAATCACTTAGTTTAGATTGCACTGAAACAATGTGACACTAGATGAGTAAAATATTAACTCATAACATCAGCAATTGTAAGTGATATTGATGATAACATCCGTAGTTAATTTCCCCTTAGTAACGAATGGGAGTTCGGCAACTAAAATCGATGTAGAATCTCTTCAGTTTATGCCGGTTCATGACGAAAATTACCGTTAGGTTTAATTTTTCTCCACAAACTGTTAAAACAGATATCTCAACCTGACTAATAGTTCGGAAGGTAAAAATTTTTTTTCCTAAAACTCTCAATTCGATATCGCAAAATGCGGATGTCTGTAAATCAACAGATATATTTGCTAGTTATTTTGACTCGACACTTTCCCACATCTATGAAATCCAGTAGGAACAGGGAAAGAACGTAGACTAACATACAGAGACATGAAAACAGGCAATAAGGCTACTAGCTATTGGATGTAATGTGTGAAGGATTCTAGGTGTGAAACATTTAAAGTGCTTGGATTCCATGCACCATTCCCGGATTTGAGATCCACTCCACTTACTTCGGTTTGGGAAAGTGAGTAAATCATCATTACACTTAGCATAGCTTATAACCAAATATCTGTTGAGTAAATTAACTATTATATTCTATAGGTGTAATGTCTTACATAAAAAATATTAAAATTAAGAAGTTAGAGAATTACATGACGAAGCTCGAAAGCAACCACGATTGCATGTTATCTTGTTAGACCTAGTACCTGACATCTACTACCCCCAGTTTGTCCAAATACTTCATTCATCCTGTTCATTTCTGAAGTGTATAACTGTACTATAACCGCAGGTTGTCAGTCATCAAGTTTTAAGAGTGACGCCCATAGAAAACATATCTAAAATTACAGCTTATAACATTTTGAAGATTCCATTGGTTTCACATTCACAGTAACCACCCTGATGAACAATCAAAAAGCAAATCAGCACTCAGTAACTCACTCTTCCGGGTTTTGATTGATTTGTTGTTACAACTTCTGCACTGGTACGCTTTTCGGTGTTTGACATTTCGATAAATACAGCCTGAAGATTAGAAAATAATGCTTGCAAGGAATCATAAGCCTGCTTTTTACGTTCTAATCGATTATTAATCAAAACTCGAAGAGGATTTGTATCAATCATTTTCAAATCAAGGAATGGTCTTGGTAGCTTGTCATGTTCAGGTGCTGAATCTTGTTCACTTGAATAGACAGACGGATCGGAAGTTTGATCCTGTAAACCAAGACCAGCGCGTATATCAGAATCATTGAAATCAGTTATATCGAAGTCCAGATTTAGGCCAACGAAACTGTCGCCATTCGACATTTTGTTTAAAGAAGAAGTAATCTGACGATCCAGAAATTCCAAATCAGCGAAAATTTGAGTTGCTTGATCATCAATATTCTGAAATGGTAAAATCAAAATAAGTTCGATTGTTTCTTTATATATATATATATATATATATATATATATATATATATATATATATATATATAATTCCGAAACTTACGAAAGTCAAGACAGAATTCTCTGTTGTACTTGAAGAATCGTCAGAAACACGCAAGGGAGTTTGTAGTCGTGGACGACCATGACCATAGGGTGTACGGCAAGGAGTTTGCTGAGTGATATTGCGGTAGGTTGTTACTTCTTGACTTGTCTCAGCAAATTTAAGAACATGCTAAAATTAATTGGACATAAAGAGTTATTGGCATTATATTATAGGCATTTACGAAGGTTATTTTTGTGGTGAACTGAGAAGCACATAAATACAGGTAATGAAACCAAAAAACCATCTTCTAGTTACATATGAAATATTTTGTACGAAATCACCAAACCAAATACACAGACCGAATAAACCAATGCAAACCCAGACACAAAAGTTTAGTGTTTCAAGTTTCCCACGCTTATAGATTTCAACCACCTCTACTACTTTGAGATTTAATTGAAAATCCTATCTACCTCTGTGTGCTTATAGGGCATGAAAACTTGAACTGATGTACATACAAACAAAGTTCTACGCTGCAGATGACTGAGTGACTAGCGCTTTGAGAGTTGTCTTTACCAAGTGATCCTAGAACCAGAAGGTAATACGAACTGAAGTACAAGAAAAACGCTAAATACAGTCGGATCCTTATGTGAATATGAATCCTCATGAATAACCATTTATTATTAGCTAGGTCAGCGAAAAGCTTGATGTTTTACTCTGGTTCCTAATACGAATCTAAACGTTTTGCACAAATAGTTCAGTAAGATCACTTCCAATTTATTGATTTGAAAATAAAAGTATTGGTACAAATGGGAACGCAAATAAGTATGCGCTACACAATCAATCAGCTGTTAGGGGCCCAGTGCTACATAACAAACTAAGGGATCATACATCTCAGTGAAATTTGGTAGGTATCTGAGCGTCATAGCTCTTCAAATTAGTTACATTATATAGCCTACTTAAAAAATTCCACTTGGTATCAAAGAAATAAATATCACCACATGACAAACTCGTGAGATTAACTTGATCTAACGAGATCTATCAGAACTTGAATTCAGTAACAATATCTAACGAAATCCTTTGATGATTCCATTCTAAATCTCATAGATGGGATGAACATATTCACGGTTGACCACCAAAAAGCATCAAATTTCTAGGGTTTTATCGTTAATCAGCTACTACCAGACGAAATTATCTCGTAATAAATGGTTATGAATTACAAAATTAAATAAGTTATTAACTAAGGAATCTGAATACGCTATTGCAAAATCCTGCTCGATATATAGTTGAATTAACTAGATTTCGGTTATTACTTCTTGTGTTTCGATTTTTAAATTGAATGCACACTATTTGTGAAAATCCTTTGACCACTGATGAGACATCAAAATGGAGTTACACTTAGTGTAACGTCACCAAGCACTCATGACAAACGATTTAATGTAAAATTACTGTATTTATGTGCTAATGAATCTTAGTATTTAAACAATACTTGCATAAACAGGTAGGAAATATTATGTTTTGTAAGTGAAGTACGAGAGGATAAGTTAAACAACTGAATGCATACCATAGTCTCTTCGTATTCTTCTGGTGCTTGTTGAATGCAAACAAGCATTGCAACACGACCATCACCCTCAAAGAAGTTCTTAAAAAGGTATGTTAACCGAGCATCACGGTAAGGAACGACACGTGCGTGCCCAACAGGAGTAGCTGCGTTTCCACGACTTTTAATTCCATTAGTTTGAATATCACGTAAGGCTTTGATGCACTTCCGAAGATTCATTAGAGAATTGTTAATGTTGGCTAGAACGGTATTAAAATATAAAAATTTGAGTGGGAATCGGAATAAATTTATTTTAACTTAGGGCATTCAACCAGAATTTGATAGTAACATGATATATGTAGTTCTTTATAAAGCTTACATAAACAGTCAGTGAACTGATGACCTAATGAGATATCTCCTTCCGCTACAAACTTTTTTCAACTTCATATAACTTCAGCCAGTATCTACATTGAAGGAAACAGTAACATCACAGTTTATCACTTCAGGCTAATGATATGTGTTAATAACCGTAGTTCAACCTATTTGTTTAGCACTTTACATCGCTTTAACTGACTTAGTAATTCTTTCATTCGAACTAGCTTCTACAAACTTACTATCCATTTAAATAGAATATTCGAAAAGAATCAGAAAATGGCACAGTGATTAGTGAAACTCATGGACTAGGTCATAAGGAGCATTTACTTGGCTAGTATTACTACTCGGTTGTACAAACATCTTTGGGTGGATCGGAGTTCTAAATAGCGACTGTTAAAACTCAAATTCCCAAACGAATGGACAATCAATACTCAGTGCTGTGTACTTTGGAAGAAACTAAGGCATTATATCCGTTCTGAAAAGTTGTTTACATTAAACCAAGGGGTCTCAGGCTATTTAACAAATCAATCAAAACAAAAACCTACATGCTTCCTTCAAGCGATTTCCTTGCGTTCCACTTCGGCTTGTACGTTCAGAGCCAGCAAGGTCCACAAGGCATAAATGACTGATGACAACAGATTCCTTATCCTGCCAATTAAAATAATGTATGTACCATTATTGACAACAGTAGTAAAAACATAGTGCCAATTCCACTGATCATAAAATTTTGTCTATGGTAATGTGCAGAACCACCAAATTACGGTGCCTAGGATTTCAAAGGTCCGGTGAGTCCCTCTTATGGACACTAGCTTGATTCAAAAATATGCCACACACTGGTCCCGTTTTTATGTATGTTAATTGTATGACACTAAGATATCCTAAATAAGATCTTTTGCTATGAGTACCGTAAACTGATATAAAACAAAATCACAATTTTTTGCTACTTCATGATGAAATCATACTGCTTTGATACTCAGAACGCAACTTAAGTAGCACTATGGTGGAATTCCGTTCTCTGAGCTGGATGGTTTAATTATGGAGCTTTCGTTGTCTTTCTGAACATTAGCACAAATTTCAGGTAGAAGTGAATTTATTCAGAACAATGAAAGTTCCATAACTAGACCATCCAGCTCAGAGAACGAGACTACACCATGAACACCTACCATAGATATGAATTTTCTACACCATACGTAACACTACCCTCTAAAAGCAGACAAACCAATATAAGATAGACAAATATTAAGTTTGGCATTCTTACCTAGTCATCGTGAATATATGGTCCATATAATAAGGTTTAAGTGGACAGCTACTGTTAAGGTAAAATTACGCGCATTAAAATAGGGCCAAAACATCGATAACCCAAAAAAGAAAAGTGAAGAGCAGGTAAAATGCCAAAAGTACCAGAGAATAGAAAACAGCACATAAATTAGGAGTGAAATGGCCGGGTTGGACCGTGACTCAGTAATTAACAGACCCGATATAATCCAAGTGCAAAAAACATGATGAAAATCCATACTCACTTGAACAGCCTCATCATACTTGGTATCGTAACCCGTCCTCACCAACCGAATGGTGAATACACAATGGCTTCGACTGGACTCAACATTTAGAGCGGTCTGCCCTATTCGACGACGCTTTTGACCTGAAAAGTTTAAAAAACCAATAATCCCTACGCTAGTATGCGTTTGAAATAAACAAAGGACAGTTTTTTTACTGTTCCCGACCCTTCTTTTTAGTACTTTTGCAGCTAATACCAACATTCTAAGCTTTGAAAAACTAAGCAAACGAAAAAAACGGCCATGCGATTACCTGCACAAAACACTTCAAGAGCCTCTTCTGCCGACTTAACTTCAACCTCAACCCCTCCATAGACGTATACATTTCTTTGGGAGTCTTCTCGTAATATTCGGGTTGTTAAGTTCCTGAGTATAAAAACAATTGTATAAGTTACACTACCTTCCTGGTAGGTCTGAAACATCTTGAAGTAGATCGTATATGCTGTTGTTATAAACTTCAATAAGGGATATGAAGACAGCAAACAATGACTTCCATGGGATATTCACACATGTTGATTCACAAGTTCGCTCAACTTTGTTTACACACTTTACATCAGATCTACAAATTAGGTAAAACCTGAAATTTACTTTGGGAAGCGTGAACGCTGCTGGAAATCAAATCGATGACGATCCATGAGCGCATCTGCCTCCGATTGAATAATAAAACCATTTACACCATCGGGTTTCACAACCTAAAGTATTGTCAGAATTTAGAACTACGCACATATTTTTTGGTCTGGAACTGTCCAATCGAATTAAAGATAACATCAAGTGAACGTGGTAGAATGCCAGGGTCCTTTGAGGATCCTTCCATAGAGTAGGTTTTCCCACTTCCAGTAACCCCATAAGTGAACAGTAAACCTGTGAAGTAGCTTAGCTGAATGACAAACTTACCATTTTTCCCATGTAGAAAGTCCGTGACAATTGGGAATGCAACTTTTTGAAATACAGGACTTTGTCCTGCATCCGGAGGCAAAACACAAGTGAATGTATGCGAAGTCTAGGCGTAGATAATAATATAGTTTATTGTAGACATACTTCTTTACGAGTTCCGGAGCGGTGACCAACAGACTTTATGGTTTTTTCATCACAAACCTCAATACAAGGAATTTCCTGAGAAAAATAGGGCTTGACACGACAGAAAACCTCCACATTTTGAGTGTGTGAGGAATCGATCTCTTTCGCAACAGAAGAAACACGCATTTAAGAATTTAACGAGCAATCTACGCGGACACCTCCCCCAACAAAAATTAATCAGACGCCGAACGCTCTCAAAACCTAACTGTGATACACCTAAACAAATATGAATAAATTCAATATCCAATACATTTTACACAAGCTAGTATTAACTAATCAACTTATTTGCTCTTTATTCTGCCTCTATTCATATGGTTCCATGTATTTGGTAATATCCAATAAATTATGGTCTGCACTAAATCTAGTCCGTTGGCAGTTTGTGAATTTTTTCCCAGGTTCTGCCTGCGTTTTTCTCAGGGCTTTAGGGTTTATGAATACAAACAGCTATCACATAACCAATTCGGAGGTCAGTTAGTTTCAACGTTAAGAATGACAAGGATAAAGTAATAATGCTAATTGTAAGGGGAAAACTATGACTATGTAGATAAATAAATAAGGTAATTAACTAATTGTAAAGACTGTGTAGGAATACAGAATCAAAGAGGAATAAACGCAGGTAATTGGCAGGATAGAATAATTTAATTATCTGAGGAGTGGCATTGATGACAACTAGCACGTTTCTAGACATGCAGGAGGCACAGCTGGTACAAGAGGAAGATGATAATTCGTATGTGAGTTGGTGTTTATTAAGTTTCTTCCAGAAGTTTTCATTGAGGGTACTGTTGTCACTTCGGCCAAGAGAGTATTTCAAGTTAAAACGACTCTCGTTGATAAAAAAGTGTAACTTAGCTGGACTTTCATTCTTTGATGTGCAATTTGTTGAGGTTTACATCGAATAGTGTGATTGTGATGCTTGTATAAGATGCCGGTGTTAGGCTAACTAGGCTCACTTAATATGTTGTGTCATTATCAGATCACCTTCGATATCCCACGGGCAGGAGTCTTCTTCAAAAGGTTTATTTTTCAACCCTATCATCCATTTAGTTGCTTGTCACTGAACTCCGTCCAGGAGATTTGTGTCTTCTCTGACGAGATAGTGATGAAGTTTTGAAGGGTGGGCGTCTTGAATACTTTTATGGATAATTCTGGTCCAGTTGCACCAGTTTGTCTTTGCACAAAATATAGAAGTGCCTCAGTCTTAGCTGCATCCCTCAAATTGTTTAAAGTGGTGTCCACTCTCTCTGTGATTATGTGACCAAGATCGCGTTGTACGGAGACATTGTAGTGTGCCGATTTACTGCGTGTTCTTAAGCTCGGTTTATAAATCAGAAGATGAACTCCAAGTATCGTATACGTTTATTGTAGCACACCACAATAAGGATAGCAGAGAAGCGAATTGGAGAAGGCTGTTGAGCCAACTCAAAGAGATAGAGTATGACTAAGAATATATAGTCAGATAAGAATAAGACAGACATATGACAAGCGAAATAGATATGCACACACATGAATAAAAGCGACGAATGATTGACAAGATCAAAAGCAAGCGATACAAATCATGTGAGTTCATGAGGATATTAAGAGATTAACATTAAAGCGAAAAGTATGAATATGCGCGCAAGTGTAAACAATGTTCAATCATACCAGCGCATACAAACCACACAATAATAAAAGCCAACGGTACATATAAGTTATTGTTTTACAAATGGCTTGGTTAAATAAATTAATCGAAAGGGCTTAACCAAGTTAGATGTGAGAGAACTGAAATATATGTGGAGGCACTACAACATTAGGGAGCGGACTTTTACTGAAGACGTACGTTTTTCGTGTCATGTAGCACGGGATATCCATGGCGTGCATTTTGACTGGGAAGATATGAACCCATTATTCACAGCCCATTCCTCAGTCTTTATGAAGCTCAGTTATGCTGGCAAACACCTGATACTTTGGTCCAAATAGATGGGAGAGAAAAGATACCATCCAGGTACTATGCCTATTCACTTGCATAAAAAATAATCTCAGAATTCACTACAACGAAAAGATACAGGTAGTAAAATTCACTTTTAACTCTACCATCAATGACCTCTTATTATTACTGTTACGGAAGAAGGTTCAACATAAGTTGTGTAGCGTCAAACTGAAAATACCTAAGCTGGTTAGTCTCTGATACGTCTTAGTTAAAATCAATTTGGTATTGCTCATAGACAGAATCATAATTTCGAAGTATTAAAACTTGAAGAAAAAGGGACAATAAAACCAACTGATTCAAACTAGCCCGTGAGAAAGATATTGATAATTGAAATTTAGTCAATTTGAACACCGAATATGTTTTCGTTTCAGTGATGATTGAATGCAAGAACATATTAGCATTGTGCGATCACAAGGAATCATTCTCACCTGAATTAGATTACTTGAGAAACGAATTTGGTGATGATGGTAGTTCTGTAAAAATAGTAGCCCTCTGCGACTACTTTTCAGATCCCCCAATTTCGAAATATGAGCTACTCAGCGATATATTCATTACTGTCTTAGACTTAATATCAGTTCACGACATAATCATTTACTTTGTTTCGGAACTCACTTCTGAGTCATATAAATCCTTGATAAATGAACCACTGGAGTTAGACTCTTCGTAAGTAAAGATTCTGTGTTTACTACGGAGTAAAGTATCAAAAAATATTCTTTTGAAATAGATCCTCCTCAAAAAAATCCATTTATATCTGAGCCATCGTTCAGTTGCAATCATTTAATAGGGTTGCTTCCATTGTTTACTGATGGGCTTATTCCTAGAGCTTCATGTTCCAAAAAAGTGCTTTATATGTTCAAGAGATCTTCAATAAACTGCAAAAAGTAAGTTTATTCTAGGTGCCTTCAATATCTGTCCCCAATCTATTCGCACTCTTAGAATTTGAACAAACCCACTGAAACTCAATGATAATAACTCGTAATACCGGTTGTTTATATTTTGAATATTCTCTTGACAGTAGTTCTTTTCCGGACGGTGGAGAGGAATTTCCCAATCCATTGGTTTTCTTTTCCTGTCAACCATTATTCTAGCAATCAGCCAGATACATCAAATGTTGTGACGTTAGTCTTGAATAACTAAACACCATAAAATCTGATTGTTCTCAGTCTTCATGAATAAGGATAAGACGTCATTTAACGTGTATTATTTTTTTCAGCTTGCTTTCCATCAAAGATCTAGCTTCTACTAGAAACTTTTCACCGGTAGGCTGACATAACTCATTGGGGTAAATCGTTCTAGTCATTGACCACTCTATGAGAGGAACGGAACTCCACCATGAGTCTATTCGATTCACTTTTTTTAATCCTTCTTGCTGTGGTCTTGGAGGTGATTAGTACTGAAGAGAGCAAAAAGGTAAGACATTAACATCAAAACCCTGAGTTGTACGATAAGAGGAAAAGTTTTAGAAGTTTTAAGCACTCATCGTGGAGGCTCTCGGAAAGGCCCATCGCTAACGTTTTTTCAAAACGCTGAGCACAACAGCTTGGCTGCAGTACTCTAGATGGGATCTCACACAGATGAGGCATAAAACTCAAAATATATCCTTGCTAAGACATTTGAATGCTTCTTGAATAGACCATAAAACTCGGAAATCTTTGCAGACTGGTGCATTGTAATAGGTAGTTGTTTCTAAGTTATGGTTAATTTTCGCTCCTAAGTCTTTTCCTTCCTGTACGTGTGGTAGCGATCTACCTTTGATAGTACATTGGTAACTAATTCCGTTCTCGATGTGCACTTGGCCACTTTATAGTATTAATTACCAATCTCAAACTGTGGGACGATCCAACTAATTTGTCACCTCAGCTTGGAGATCTAGATGATCAGCCCCACTACTTATTGTTCTCCAGATTTCGACATCATCTACTAACTACACTGTCGGTTACATGTGAATTAGCTGCCAAACTCTAATTGTTTTTACAAGTAACCTAACTACTACTCTGGTTAGAGTGACAGGTCGGTGGTCAGACATATTTTATCCCTTGGCGTTTTTAAACATACAGTTAATTGTATCATATATTAATTTGCTAATAACTCTTTCTTAATATTTTCACCGATAAGAGAGTTAAGAAAAAATTTGGAGTTACCTATCTGAATATTAGTTGAATTGTTTCGCATTAATGAATTAGCTGAGTGCACTGATTTGATTCGAAGTTATCTTTCAATTAAAATATTCAGTCAAGATAAGCTTATTAATTCTAACCGGACTACTCGCTAATGATTTTTTAATATATGTTTTCCTGCAAATAACTGGTTTTAAGTCAAAGATCACTATCACAACTGGATGAATTAAAATTGCTATTGTCCAGCAACGGACTAAATGTATATGATTATGATAACTACCGACTCATTGCGTTAGTTATAGAGAATGAATTGGTGAAGTTGAGACAAACTTTGCAGTTAAGAACAGCGATCTGTAAAGGTTAGTTTATTTTTGTTGCTAATAATATCTTCCAAATTTATTTTAAAAATATTAAAAGGTATTCTCAAAATATTCAATTATTTCCAAAGTATTTTACATTTTCTATTTCTTTCCGTTGATAATAAACCATAATTCTAAACCATCTATCTAACACACAGGTCTCTAAAAAACTGTGTTTACTGGATAGGATGTAAGAGTATTGTTTAGTGATAATTTAAATCATGATTCTTAAGCATAGTTACCTTAGAGGAAATTTGTTTACCAGTTTAGAACTGTAGTCTATCAGAAAAGTAACCTGTGCTTACCACCGCTTGATGTTAACAGTTTTCTCAACTGGGCGGTAGACATTTCTGAAAGTAGAAGACAGACAACGAGAGATAATTATTTTCCCCGTTTCTCGTTTGCGATCTTAAATGAAAAGATTATTTATTCAGAAAAAATAATTCAATTTCCTATAAGCATTTAAATACCACGCTGGTTATTACCTAACAATTATCTCGTGAGTACAGTTGTTTGCTTAAAGTACATTTATTTGATTCCCCATAATTTATAGAAAAATTATTGGTTTAATAAAAGTACTAGAAATGTCCAAAGAGTTATCAAGTTTGATAACACTACTCATGGAAACTCTTCGGACAAAGTGATCCAAAAGCGAGTAAAACCAAAAGTCAAAAATCATCGACATATTTCGACCATGGGCCGATTTATTCCAGTATCGTATCTAAACTAGCTAGTCGTCAAGGAAGTTGCACGTGATCTAGTATAGATGTTCTCTCGAGAGACGTTAACTAGAATTGTTGAATTAGGATCGATGCCCTGGGTTCACAAACCTATTTAGAAGACGTGTGAAACTATGAGGTGTAAATTCACTAACTATACTTAAGCATTTGCGCCGAAACATTTTTCTGGTTTGCACTTAAAAAGACTTCATGGTATAACCATGGCATAAGCTATCTAATCTACAAAAAAATCGGTGATAATTTTAAAAAGGTAATCATTTGAAATATAATGCCTTTACATTTAAAAATTTTAACATATAATGACAGAGGATTAAACATTAAACATACAAACGGACTTAACTGCCTACGCCAGTTACGCTTTATGGAGCGTATGCTGCCGATCAGCGTTCTCCAACAAACTCTTTTCTGGATTCTCCTATTCAGCTGCTCCCAAGTGCCTTTCATTCTTTCACTTGTCTCCGATTCCCTACTTATTATTTACTTTGGTCTTCCGCTTTGTTTCTGGTCTTAAGGATTCCAAGTTAAAACTTGCTTCGTAACGCACTGGCGATTTCCGCAATGTGTCTCATCCACTTCCAGTGCTTCTTCCTAATTCCTTCCTCAGTTGGAATTGGGCTAATGATCTGTCCTAATAGGTCTTCGCTGATTCCGACTGACCAACAGATTCAGAGTATCTGGCGCAGACAACTGTTTATAAATACCTGCATCTTCCGGACATTGGCTTTCGTAGTTCTCCAAGTTTCCGCTCAATACAATACAACTGTCGTGACATATGTGTTGAATATCCTGACTTTGACGTTGGTTACCATTAATTTGAGTTCCGGATGTTCCTCAATTGTAGAAATGCTGCCCTTGCATTGCCAATCCGCACCTTCACATCTCTGTCACATCCGCGGAGCTCATCAGTGATGCTTCCCAGATATGTAGAAGTTTCCACATCTCCAAAGCTTCTCCATCAAGTGTGGTTTTATTGGTGCCCGTCCTGTTGCATTGAGGGATCTTGTACTTTTCATGTGAATGTTGAAGCCTACTGCTGCAGAAGTTACTAACACACTGGCCGAATTTACCTCCACTTTTTGCTGTGTTTGGGTCAGATGAGCTCGGTCATCTGCAAAGTGTAGATCGTCTAGCTGCATTTAAGCTGTCCAAATTATCCCTTGCTTTCCCTGAAAAGTTGAGTTCAGTCAACCGTCAGGGGAAAGGAAAGAGATGAGAGTAAGCAACCTAGCCTGACACTGGTCTTTACCTCGGACGAGTCTGTGACCTATCCGCCATGCACGATTGTGCAGTTAAGTCTATTATAAGAATTCCTTATGATGTTGACTATTTTCTCAGGCACGCCGTATTGTTATCGGTGAAGCCTTCATAGTGTTATCCTGTTCATGCTGTCGACTGCTTTTTCGTAGCAAATTGAGTTGATGTGGAGTGGTGAATTACATCAGAACGCTCAAGTCGTTTGCTGCTCATTTCTTGACTATTGACTTCAGCGTCTAGTAGAATCAACTTTAAACATCTTTTTAATTATTGGTAGACGTAGTGAACTGGATGACGTTCATTGTAACGCCCTATTTGTTTGTTTTGAAGGATGCTTTGATAATCCTCGTTCCATGAGATTCCCATCCTATTAGTGCTTTTTGTGCTTGTTTGGACAGCACCAGTGCAACTCCTTGTGTATAAGTAGCATTTCATTCTTCATAGACGGAGAATAACAGCAGTTCTCGTCTTCTTTATCCAATCTGCCCCCAATGTGTTTCATTTATTCGAAGTACCACCGGGTTGCATATTTTCTTTTCTGCAGCAACACGGGTGATTTTACCGGTCTGCAACAATGAGCGAACATTTCGTGTGCCTAAATTATTGGTTGCTTTGGTTGTGAGAAGAGGCTTCGACCCAGTGACTTTCGAAGAAACTCGGCTTTCATTATGAAACTTCATAACTCTTCTAATTACAGACCTTATAATTCCCAGGGAAGAATTGAAATAGTTTGATAAGACCTTCTTTTTAGGTTAGATAAATCACATCAGAAAAACGACAACAAATGGCTATATTTGAGTGTGACGTTGAATGCCGTTTAACATATTCAACTACTTTACTCCCTATCATTGATTCAGGAGCTGATGCAGGTCGTTCGCTGAGTCAACATTTTTGACTTGGAGGGAAAGAATCGCATCCCAAACATGCTTGTATTGTTGCTTAAGGTAGTTGAAACGCTCTGCATTTCGTTAGCGGCTTCATCAAACACAATTGTGTAATATGCGTATTCTAATTCAACAGATGAATCTCTTGGTAGAAAGTCAACCCTTAAAAGCCAGACAATAAAATTGTTTACTCTAAAAGTATATTATTGACTAAGTTGAATAAAAGTGAGAGAAGCGGACAACTCTGTCATAAACCACTAGGCGTAATTAATTCCGATGACAGTTCACTAAATGCACTGACTCAACCAGTTGTTTGAGTAGAGGGATTGTACAAGGTTAATGTACTTCTTTGTACATTTTTCAATGACAGACACTGCTACAGAACATCACTATCAACAGAGTCAAATAACTCCTTAAGGTCAAGGAGTACAACTATTCTTGGACGTCGAAAATTGTGTCTATCTTCTAGAACTTGCTGTGGCATGAATATTTGATCTATACATCCTCATTTGAGTCTGAAGCCCGTCTGTTTTTCTCTAGTTTGTTCTTCATAATCTCTAATTATGCGTTTTAGGGAATTTTTACAGGTTTATCAATATTAATATCAACAATACAGTCATATTGACGATTTGTTCCGTCAGATATAGTCAAAATCATAGTCCAGACAATCCGAATAACTTAACTTGTACAGATATTATTTTTTTTATTACACTACAGATAAAGAAAATCATGAACCAAAGTCAGAGTTCGTCTCATCAAAGCAAATTAGAAAACTGGAGGATATTTTGGATCAGTTTTGTTTATCAGCATTAAAAGATGAAAATGATTCAATCCAGTCAGTAAATAACATATTGGATTTGTATAAACTTGAAGAGTGGAGTTCTAAATTAAGAAGAAGTGATCAGAGATTAAGGTAATATCAATGAAATTATTTAGAACTAACTTTATTCCCTTACCTTTATAATTATTTATATGAATAACTAGTATAACTGATAAACTATGTGAACAGTATTTGGACCGTTTAAGGATGAGCCTAGTTGACAGACATAGATTACTAAATAAATGTGTTGATATATAAAGATTGTTAGTCAGATCAACTAACTCTTTTCTTGTGTTTTCCAGCATCCGGTTTGCTAATAAGATAATACGTTCAGTGAAATATGATTAGTTGAATTCCTATCATTTTGATAACAGTTGGATAAAAAATATTCAGTAACCGGAAAAAATAAGTCGTAGTAAAGATTTCAAACCAAACTATTAAAAAGTTAATCTTTCAAGTTCAAAATCACTTACTCAAATACATATAACCGATTTTGATCATTTTCTGAATATAAATACCGAATAAATTTATGAATCTTATGATAACCAGTAACATCAAAAAAGGACATTCAAATGAGCCGGTTGTTGTAAAGCTACAAATAAAAGTCATTTGTTTGCAGTCGGATAAGTTTACTTTTTGGTGAATTCGTTTTCAAAACTGTACAATCATAAATATATAGCCTCTTTTCACATGGTAACGATTACAGTAATAGTAATGATAAAAATTTTACTAAACATGGTATTAATCAGTCAAATTAAACAAAAGTGAAGAACCATGTCTGGCAAAACTTTATTTATCGTTATTATTGTCATTCTCACCATGTGAAAAAAACTAAATATTTGCGATTGTACAACTTTGAAAATTAATATGCAGAAAAGAGAACTCTTTGCTGAACTAGTCTTGATTGTTTCACGTCTCAATGTCTGTTTACTTAATTCCTACTTTGTTAAATTTTCCAAATGCTTAAATAAAGTGGTTTTTCCAATAATTAAATGTGTCCATTCTTCTTCATATCTATCTTTTACATTTAGAAACATTTCTACAAAACCTCAACATGATACATCGTGTAATCGAATTCTTTTAATTACTGGTCATCCTGGTGTAGGTAAAACACGATTTTTAAATAATTGGTTAAATAAGAAGAAATCGAATGGTTTTACTTTTATAAATCATGATGTTAATACCAAGGAACTGATTACAATCACAACTGTAGACAAAACTAAAAGTAACACGTTAAGCACTAAATCAAATATTATTTTTATTGAAAAATTTATTGAACCAGGCAAAAGCAATTCAGATATATGGCAGTTGTTAGATGATTTAAATCGTAAAGCTAGAAAAGCACGACGTAAAGGTAAGTTATATTTTTAAAGCCGCTTATGTTTACTAGATTACAGTAAATGTTCTTGTAGAAATAATTCAGTAAAAACTAAATAATATGATTAAACTCAGCGTATCGAACAAAGAAATTTATCGCTTTTAAAAATTTGACAGTCCGCAACCAAATTATCAAACTTTTACTCTATCACGTACCAAAAAATTTAATGAGTTAGTGAGTCGTAATCCTTTGACACTTAAGTGTGCTTGAACTTGAACTAAGCTGAAAGAGAATTTGTCTGATGGCCATGGTTACTTCTCTGGTTGCTAGTGGTGTGATATTCATGGAAAGGCCTGCAGGTACTACTTTGATGTTATTTGAGTTCACTGAGGCTGGTTTATTCAACAGTCCTTCGAAGTGCTCTCCCAAGCCGTTCCGTTTTTCTTACACGTCAATGGCTTCTTGGTTATTGAATGATTACTTTGGTTTAAAATATTTTCCAGCGAACTTCTTCGTTATATCGTGTAGTTGTCTCATGTTTTATTCTCTTGCAGCTTGTTTACTATCATTGTTAAGTCTTCCACATATTTTCGCTTATCAGCTCTGATGCTCCTCCTCACTCCTTTGTTTGCTTCTGTTTCTCCAGGCAGTGACTTGGCTTTTGCTACTGTTGTTCCACTGTTACTGACAGCTGTCTTTCTCGAATCTTATCCAGATTATCAGCAGAGATCGATCCTTTGTGATGGTGCCTCTTGTGGCCCAACACCTCATGGTATGCTGAAGTTAATTCTTCTTCAACTCCTTTCTAGTTGTTTTCCACGGTAATTTACTCTTCATTGAGTAGATCATGAAAGGCTTGGATTCGTTGAATTGGCCATTACCCCGAGGAAGTATTGTACTAAACTTTTGTAATGCTGTTTGCTCAGTTGTATATTTTTTCTTTAGATTCAGTTTCACCTTTGCCACCAAATAAATGTTGATCTGAAGTTGTGTCAGCCCCTTTCTTGGTTCTCGTCTTCGTTCCGTTCTCTCAGTCAGTGTCGTCCGATAAAATCTTCATATCTGGTGTTGTCCATTCAAACCATGGCGTTTATGTTACCAGTCAAGATGGTCAGACTTTTTTATTGATAAATCTTTACAGCTGACTGCAGCCTCATACAACTGATTCTCACCGTCTTTGTTGCTTTCATTGTGCTCTTGAAAAATGTATGCTAGTTATATCCAGAGAACCTTTAGTCATTACATATAGCCGTTTGGACGTCTTTGGATCTTCATTTTAACATCCAGTTGAAAAGCTGGATGATAGAACTTAGTAATATGTACCTCGGTATGTGCAGTGGTTATGTTTTGGCCATAGAATTCAACAAATAAACAATAGAAGAGTTTCTAAACTTAGACAGTAAATAAGTGGTGATACCAAGATATTCAGCGCATATGTAACAAGCAAAATGTTGTAAAGGATTCTGTTATTATTTTAATTAATTTTATTTTAGATATTTTTTAAAACAGAAATTATCAATTAAACCCGCATTTTAAAATCTTTAATAGGTATACTGGTGATAGGAAATATTATTACTATGTTTCGAAACGATTTTCATAAATATCATTTGTTTAATTGAGTTAATTACACCTTTCATTGGAAGTAACAAGTCTGTATAAGATTAATAGTATTTTTCGATTCTTAGCTTGTGTGTTTCCATATTTTTCAACTCGGCCTTTTCTAATCATATTCTCAATGTTTAGTCTTTATGATTTTCCTTACCACTACGCTATTGCCAACTGTCACCATTTGTCTTGCTAATTTCATTTGGCCCTACTAATGTGGTTTGACAATTTGGACCAACTTATGTCTTTTCCAGCCTCTTCGTGAATGATGACTGACAGAGTGACGTTTGTGTTTACTGATAATCAGTTGTGTAATATTGTCTATTACATCATACCAACCAAAGCAGTATCAGTAGTGGTAAAAAGTAGAAAAAAAACTGAGAAATTCTGTAGTATATATTAATTAGTATGTTGCGCTCAGAAATTTAAGAAAATAAACATTCTATTCAGATCTCTTCAACACTTACACAGTAGTTTATCGATGTTAAACAGAAGGAAACATACGTCATATACCTCTATTTGTATATCAAGAGAAAGGATATTAGATATTGACTCAAACAACTATTCAAACCCATCACTAGAATTTACATTTTATTTTTAAAAAAATACTAGGTAGTGAACTGAATTCATCTCTAGCCACTGTGTTGTCATGCTTAACTAGTGAACAAGAAGATTTTGAGAGAGCTCGCCAACTTCGCCAGCTTGGATCTCGACTGTTCACTTCACTAAGTCCAACTAACTCAATTGATGAACGGTCACGTTCACCAGTGATTTTAATTATAGATGGCATGGAATACCTTGAAGATCCTTTAGCAAAAACAGCTGAGACAGTAAGTAATGTTTGTGATATCGTTTATAGAAATTTAAGGTAAAATTTGTTGCAGTTTGTTGTGATAGTTATACTCAATTATTAATAGTATAAGAAGTTTTCGTATACGTAATTTGTATACATTCTGAACAAGAAACTAGCACATACGGAAGTTAAATCAAGATTTCGATAATTAAAAACCCTCATCCAAAACATCTGGTAAAAAAACGGAGCAGTGAAATGTTTCTTTTCAGTTAGTCTTCCATCATGACTCTTCACTAGTATATGCTTTACCACGATACTATAATACTAATCACATGGAAGTACTATACAACTATAGCTATGCTTCACCATTCATCATGCGGATTATGTGAACGTGCAACTAAAAGAGAGGGAAAACAGGGTAACTGTATGTCATAAAGCATTTGATTTTAAATGAGTTAGAATGTGATAAAGTGATCAACAGATTAAAAAATATCTACTGTGAGAGATGCCAAAATATTTTTGATGATAAGTCAATTATTATTACTATTATTATTTATACATGAGCGAAAATTCGAACATAGCAGTTATGTAATAACACGAAGACAAGATAAATTTGGGACAAAGAGGACAATGAGTGTGTTTTCACTAGTTCTGGAATAGATGATTTCAATATTCAAAGTAGGAGAAGTGATTGCAAAGGTTTTGAGGTGGTGGAGAAAATTCGCAGCTCAGGTGGATGATTCTGTTGGTGTGTCGTTCTCTGAGCTGCATGTTTTGGTTGTGGAGCTTTCATTGTTCATCTGAACAACATCATCAACACGAACTTCATTCAGATAGACGTGAAGTATTAGAATTTCTCCATGTTTGATCCGTAGCATGTTCTGTTAACCTCGACCTTGATTGGTTGCTGTTGACCTTAAATCTGTCGTTGTTCACATCTTTACCTTGATTACATACCCCTTTGATCGGTTTCTTGATCCTATGTCACCTATGATTTTTCTGATTGGTTGATAAATTGGGTCAATGTCGATGTGCTTGTTAATTGACCTGAGTATCAAGCTTCTGAAAATTCTTTAGTGTTCTTTATACTCCCCCTATCCAGTATTTCAACATTTCAACCAATCAAGATCGAGGTTAACAGGACATGCTACGGATCAAACGGGGAGAAATTCTAATACTTCACGTCTATCTGAAGTTCGTGTTGATGATGTTGTTCAGATGAACAATGAAAGCTCCACAACCAAAACATACAGCTCAGAGAACAAAAGTCCACTACAATTGTCAATATTTCTTTTAAACGCATACTTTTTCTTTGTTGAGATCAATCCTAATCGCGTGATAAGTCAGGGTTTTCATCAAATTTCCCTTGCACTGTAGGAGTAAGAATATTGCCTATTTGATGAATAAATCTCTATGTTTCTTCTGAATGATCAACCTGAACAATAATTTTATCTATTTTCGCAAACACAAATTTTTCAAATTTTTTTACCCATAGTATTTAATTTCTATCTTAAAAGGTTAAATGCATTGATTGGTTATTCAGTTGTCATAAACGTACAAAAGAAACCGATATGAATGAATATATGGGAATCAATAGCGGTGGTCTACCTATAGTTCCCAATCGAACTCGATTTATTTTAACTTGTTCTTCATCTCATTCTATCACTCAGCAATTAGCTAAATGTCCGCTAATCACTACTATTGAATATTCAAATGTATTAGGTCTTAAAGAAAATATGTTTTCAGAAATTTTTCAAAAGTCTGTTGGAAGTTTAGAAGAAACTAATGAGAGTTTAAAAGAAAATAATCCAGTGATTAATCCGTTGTATAATTTAATTTCACTATTTTCTCCTTTATTAAACAATGACACATTAACTCATAATAATGCATTAAAAATGAACCAACCATCTAATTTACATACATTACTTAAATATCGTGTACAAATTGTAAAAGATCGTTTACAAAATCCTGTCATCAATAAATCATATAAATATTGGTGTTTAAAAGAAAATGCTCTAGCTCAGGCAAGTGCTTTAGAGATTACTTTTTTTTTTACCAGTAAAAACATGTTTATTTATTTCTGTATTATTGTTATGGCTAATTTGTTTGAGAATGTGAATAACATATATGTTTCCTCATACAAGTGATCAACACTCTATACCAATGCTTTCATGAATTGGTATGGGACTCATCAGCAGTGCGCATCCACGACTCCTGACCCCCGCAGGACTCGAAACCAGGACCTTCGGTATTGCGCGAGAATGCCTAACCTCTGGAGCACTGTGCCGGTATCTTACGGTGTTAATGTCTAACTTTGATCAATTCATGGAGTATCGCAACCTCATGCACTGTCTTCGGTAGTTAATGTCTACACCCGAACAGGTCGAACTTCACTGGTCATGACTTCCCACCAGAACTTGGAGAAGATTCCTCACGAAGCCAGTCATTAGTGAGCACAGGTAATTAAATTACGGGGTTGTGCTCTCAGGTTTCTGATGGTGGTCTGACATTGATCAATTTACGATTTCAAATATGTAACTTAACAATCTTCACAACCCCGTCATGCAATCAACTTATTATTTTAAGATTTAAACACAATTTACACAACGAATAGATATGAGTTTATTGTCGCGTTAGTGTGTTACAGCTTGTTTCCAGTTTGTGATGAGACTCAATCTCCGCCTGTTAATGCATATTCAGATTAGCGGTAAAGAGGTATATGTATTGTATATTCATGAAGAATTCTATAATAGATTAGTGTTTAATAGGAAAAAAAGTACCAGAAGCCTTTATTACGAAATATTTATCTATTTATACAGTAAACATATAATTAGAAGAAATATCAAAATCCTGATTGAAGTAATCCACTAAAATACTTAAACGCAGTCACAACTACAAATGTTCTAAGAATTTATGATTACAGACCATCATTGAATCCTATTTTCCTCCTTAATTAGTTTTCATATTACATAGCTGTTTTGGATAGATTTCACAATCGATACCATAATATTTCTGGTTGAATATGATGGAGCTCTGCAACTCACTAGTCTGGTGAGAAAATTCTGACGAATTGAAGCTTAAACAATAGTAGAATATTCGCTTGACAAGTCCCAAGTAAACGTAAAACGTTTCTTGCATTCTGCTACGCGCGACCACTAAAGTATAGCGTGTTTCCAAATGCGCAACCTAACTGAAGAAACCAAGTTGATATCCATATATTTAGTTTGAAGTTATTAGCCAGTTATGTTGCCAAATTTTTGAACAACCTAACATTAACTTTAATATCGCACCTAAAGTTAAAACTTCGTTGCGATAACTACCTACCAATTGTTGCACTAAAGAATGCCCATGAGCAAAAAGCAAATAATATGTGAACATATTTCAAATTTCTTTATAAATTTAAAAACCTATTTTAACTGAAGGCACATTTTGAAATCAGTCAGTTAAAAGGAATCGACGGGATTGTTGTGCATATACAAACTAACTCTTGATTGTGTTTGCTCATTATTTCGTGTCAATAGCTTTTTCTATTTACAGATCAAATATTTACCTCTTAAGCTAAGGCTACTAAATCTAAACCTGAATCAAAAGTAGTAATATACCTTGAAAGCAAATATGTGCAGATATACTTCACAAAATTAACCAATTAACTGTCATTTAAGTGAGATATGAACTCATTAATGAAATAGGTTTCCGTTTATTTTTATTAGAAAATATTTATTCACGAACTGTACATCACTTCATTTGGCTTTGATTCGATCAATAATCGTAAGGATATTTTCAACTGGAATGATTACATCGAACGTTTATTGGCCACGCAATCAATAAGACAGTTATTATTATGTTTGTTAAAACGATGGGCACTTGAGTTTGAATTTAATATCATAACTACAGAAGAAAAAATGTCATTGAAAAATTCAAAGGAAAACAGTGAAAAATCTCCTAGATTGTCTCCTTACAGTGATGATAAGCAGGTGGCAAAGCATAAAACTGATTTCAAGGCTTTGCTACAAAAATCTATGACACAGCTTTGCAAAGGTAAATTTATCATACATATAACTGATTTGAATATGTGTATATTCAATCGCATAGGGGGAAATGATATATCTTAATTATTGTGAAGTTGAGGTTGGATTTCTTTATTAACCGACATCGATTAAAAAACCAATGAGCTCCTAAAGCCAACGATATTACGTACCACAATCGAATTCAGTCACAACTCACGCTTGGCAGTAGCTGCCCAACTAGCTGAACGCAGTAAGAAGACCGACGTGCACAGAGAACTGTATTCTCAAAGGCCAAATTATTATTTACGCATTTCGTGTTTATACGAACAGGATATTGATCTAATCTAGACTGGGTTTTGTGAGCTATGATTTTAAATACTTATTTGTTTTATTTATTTCAACACAAAAAAGCCCAAAAGTATATGGGGGATATTTCTGGGCACCCGTATCACAACAATTGGTTTATTTAGAGGGTCACTCCTCGAGCTTTCGACCTAGAGGGTTTTCAACTCCCTTAGATGGATCCTCTGTACCCAATAGCCCTGTTCAAGCCCCGGTCGGACATTGACTTCTCATCAGGGAATTTGAGGGATATTTAGTCACGAAACATCCGCTCAGTGATGTATAATTTTATTAAAAAGAGTATGTGATGCGCTCAACTTTTATCAACGTAGTAACTGTATGAGTTTTTCGTTTTGTTGCGAGATCCTATGACAGAATGAGCTCATTACTTGTGTGCTAACCGGTCGATATATAATGATTTATTATTTCTAAATCAAGTCAGATTGCTATAAGTCACAACATATTTCTATGACTTCAATGATTACCTACTTACTTTTGACAAATTCGAAATCCTCAGGTGACGATTTTAATCAAAGGGGATAATGATGATATACACTTTATTGAGCAAGATTCGTTAAACAAACCAAATTAACTTAATAATTTATGTTCGATCTCTTCATTTAGTATGTCTTTCAGTAGACTATTTTTAGTTGCTGATGAATACCTTAAAATCTTAATCATGAACGGATGTTGGCTCTGTTCAAGTTGGGTGCATACTGCCTACGGGAAATCATGATAGTTATGAGGTGTGTAAAAACTTTATTGATTAAAAACGGTGTCTTAAAATCAGACAGATTATGGAGATGAATCCGAACATCTTTCTTGTATATTTACTGAGGCTTACATTCTTACACCCGTATTTGTCGGATTTTGACGGTGCCATAGGTTGACACGCGCTTACTTGAGAGCAAAAAATCGTAGCAAACTTGAATTTATGCAACTGAAGTGTACTAACGAGTTCGTTAAGTGTTTCCACTACATAATTTCAGATTACTGACCGGTGTCTGAAAGCTTCATGTTTTTTAAGAAACCGGATGCTAAGTAGATATTCATATTCGTTTCAGAATCCCAAATAACTGCTTTTTATACATGATAATTGGTAGACAGTAGTTTTTGTCATATAGATAATTCCATTACTAAGAATGACAGTAAACCAAACTGTCATAAAACATAACCATTTTTAAAACAGACAAATTCTCTTGCAAGTTTGATCTCTTCCTGACAGGTCTCAGTATCTAAAAATGCTTCCAGCATAACGTAACTCATTCATGTAAACCTTTAATTCTGAAAATCGTTCATATTGAAATTTATATTGTGACTGATAAATCGTCGTAATTCACCGTTTCATTTTGTGTTCAACAGTAATGTTACTAACACTTTACCAAGTAATATGGCTGTTTTGAATAAAGTTTTTCGCTAACATTTAATCTCAGTCAGTTTAATAACTTCAATAAGTGTAAAGACTTGAAATACGTACAACAATCCATCAATTCGTTTTCTAATGCCAACAAAGTTAAAAATCTCCTATATACTGATACACTTTAGTTGATTGTTTCAAATAATCTGATCTGAGACATTATTAAGTGGCTTTTAGCAATTAACAAGTTAAAAACACTTTTAAATGGCATACATACATATGAGGTCAGCTTGCTCAGGAAGTTGTGAGATAAGAAAGTAAACATTTCAACTAATCTACCAAATATATAGGTCGAACTTGTCGATCCTCATCTGGCAAAATCTTAAAGTGTGAGCACTTGGTTAAATTTATTGGGCAAAAGTTATTAAAAACCTTACACTAACAACAGTCTGAAACAAACTAAAAGTCATGCTGATCAATGCAAACATTAAACACAGAGATTTTGATTTAAAATCAAATACATCTTTTAATTCAAAATCGATTTTCAACTTAAGAAAAGCTATACTCTTATTGTAAAACTTATCAAGCTTTAGTGACCCAATTAAGGACAAACTATCGTGTCGAAAATAATGTTCAATAAATGATTCCGTTTCGCTGCACGGCATCAGATAAATAAACTAATTTAAAAACACTTCGCCGTTTGTAAACCTACATAGAAAAAGTTTCTGAAAACGTATTATTATTTAATTGAAACTATGATTCTTCTTCAGATTCTTAGGGGTCTATGAGCAAGTTTGTGACAGCATAATATATAACCAGTCATTGTATTAATAATTTCCCTTGACGATTGTTAAGTTATACGAGAGTTTAATGGAAAGGTAAACTAATGATTGGTTGAAACTATATAAAAATAATAATAACATAATAATGATAATAATAATAATAATAATAGAAAGGTTGCTCGTTGAATAGAAATAAGAAACAGTGCTACAAGAGAAAGCCGACAGTCGAATGCTGGTTAACGAATTGTCAAATTATTGCAGATATTAGTTAAAAAACGTTTCGAACTGCAAAAAGTCATTTTATTGTGCAACTGACAGTTTTATTTATAGAATAATGTTACGAGAAAAGTCACATAATTATGATCTCTTGTGGTAGAAACGGTTAATTAACAATTTAAGGACCTATTTCTGAGGATAAATTAAAATTTCTATACAAAACACCGTTGAATTAAACATTCCACACTACACTGATTTACTGTGATTTTTTTGCTAAAGTGAACGCCAACGATTACATGACTGCTTCAAATATAAATGGAGTTTTGCATAGTTAAATGCATTTGATTATTCGTCAATATACTGTATCTGATTTGTTAATTTCGAAAAGTAATCTTAAAATAAAAAAAAGACGGATCATTAACTAAGTTCTGAAATCAATGACTAATAAATTCTCTTTAAGGAAATAATGCTATGAAATTTTTGTACGGTTTTATCTTGAAATATAACGTTTGTATACATTGAAACATAGTTAAAGTTTGATGATCTTTGATTTTCTAGATTGGACTGTAGGGTTGGTTGGATTAGTTTTCCACACATTAGTAACTGCTTCTCGATTTACTTGGCTGAAAGAAGATATACATCCGGCAGAAGATGAAAGTAGTGGTTTGAAGCTTCAAGATGTTCTACATATTCTTAAGAATATGAAACTACCGAAACATTATGTCATGCAGTCATTATTGCCATCTACCTTAATGGCTTTACATTCACCGTTATTAGGTTATTATTGTTTACGTATTTTACATCGTGCTGGTGCATTTTCTCAAACAACCGAAGGTGGAATTTTACGTCAAACCAATCTTGATGGTTATTTAAAATTTAATCATGAAATTATATATTCAATAATGAGACAAATACTTGCACGTGAGTATATGTATGAAACGTTTAATTAATCGTAATCTGAAGAATATTGTTTGATAGTTTACGCAGTAAACTTGTATTTTCTTATCAAAGTAATCAGTTCAGATTAACTAACCCGTTTGGAAAGACAAATAAAATTAGGTGAATCCGAGCTCAAACTGTACTCACATATTTCTCAGTCTGTATTTAAATTTCCCAAAGCGTAATTGCCTTTTAGATGTTAACATCTTGTTTAGTTCGAGATAAATAAACTAGATAATTATTGATAATGCTAATTAAAAAAACATGATGATGATGATGATGAGCACTTTAATTTGCCCTTTCATGTAATTTAGACTATCAGTTGGTAACATCCATGTTAAAAGATGATGCTTGTTTTTAGTTAGTATTCTCAACGTAAACTTCACTAATATCGTAGTTATACAGTAGGAAAATCATTCGGACTAAAATTTCTAGAATCCTATGTGATAAACTTAAGAACTATAAAATGACTTTCAGTAAGACGATCAGCTTTTTAAGATTATTTTCTGCATATACCCTTTTAAGTGCCTCGGCATAGTTGTACGAAATCTGATAGAACCTAACTGATTGTTTTGTAACGTTTTGGTTTTGTTGATTATAACCTCTTAATTCGCGCTGGATAATTATGAAGAATTACTAGATTGAAGGATGTTGTTGATTGAGTGTTTTCACAAAACCAATCACATAACAATAATAAATTGCCCGATAGATAAGTCAACTATAAGTTATCATATATTAAAAAACTATATATCACAATAATATATCCAAATCGTTTGTATTCAATCACGTTTTTCTGATTGACGAAGTAATTAAATTTGTTATAATCTTTTAATTAATGTTTATTAATACTAGTTCTGTTTGTTAACGATCTGTAGGCAACTTTAGCTAATACTTATTATTTCGTGCAAAATCTAAATGAACTCTGTTTTCAAAAAAAAAATAATCTTTGATGTTAAAACATTCACTCACACAAAAACGTGGTAGGAAGACAGAATCTTTAATATCTTGAGGTAAAGATCACTGAGAGAAGACTTAAGATGATGTGTCAGGATAAGATATTAAATGTAAAATTTACACTAATTAAATACAGTTTTTATAAGATTAAAAATTTATTAGAGACTTTGTTAAGTATTCAGCAGAACAATTTTGTCTGAGGATTTTTCCAAGAGAAAGTAAAGTTGATCTGAATGAATGCTATCAGTAAGTTAAAGATGTATTGAATGATATATTCAACAGAGTTATCAAATAATATAGTGAAACTCCTTTTCTAATGTCCCTTATCTTCTTTGTTTGGGACTAAAACGTTTAGCTTCTCATAGACTTCAGTCTATCCTGAATATATGTTGTGCACTCTGTGGCGTTCAAAGCGAAATGTGTAAGAAGATCTTGGAAACAGAAAAAAAACAGTGGTGACCCGACAAACCATGTATGATTCACTTGCATTTTATAATTATATTAGTAGATAATCATGATTAACGGCTTAAGCATGAAATGAAGGAAAACAGATAATGGAAACTAGAAATTGATAGATTAGTGTTTCGATCGCGTTGAAGAAGTGATGATAACGCATTAGAGTAGTAAATCAAAGAAAAATGAAATTTTTTATTACGGAGGAGATTGTTGCACTTCATAGTTAACATCGTTAATTGACAAGCAATCAAAAAAATAAAAACACTGAACAGCTGTTCCGTCCTAATATGAGACTAATTGGAAGTGAGCATTCACAACTCCATCATGGAGAAAACTCAAGACCTTCAATCAATCCGAGATATCGTGCAGTAATTTCCCATCTACCTGCATACTAGCGGTTAATTTTGTGCAGGGATTCTGCAAGTTCTAGTGAGTTACGATGAGGAGTAGATTTCAACTACTTTTTCTATGGAGACTGTTATCTATCAGTGACATTGGAAAATGGTTGAACGAAACCACAGATTGACTGAACTTTAAACTATAAACCACTGGATGTGCTTACCCTAATGCTTCATGCTTGATCACTAGCGTAGTCACAGATTAACATTACTGAGGATTCTTACACTAAAAGGAAACTTTTATCCAGTGCTTTCTGGTTTTCAATAGTAGTGTAGCAAATGAAATTCGGATCCTTCAAGCTATTTCACCACAAGAGATTGTGTTTACGTTTATTACATCTCTTCTAGGTGATAATGGTGCTACTGGGATTAGTCTTCCTTTAATTACTACAGCTCTTAATTGGTCCAAAGGAGGTGAACAAGGCAATACATTGTTAAACATCTTATTACATGGTCATATTCAAACTATTTCGAAAACATCCAATCAAGCATTATCAAATTACTCTTTATCACTAATTGAAAGTAATATTTACAAATCAAAACCAAAAATTACATTTAAAAAGGTTGGTCGTACAATTAGTGCAGCTCTTTCGTTGACAGAATCTGGGAATATTCTCTATACAACTAATCAATCTGGAGATGAAGCGAAAAGTTTAAATCCAGTACACGATTATGATACTTTACTAATTCCAAACAAACTGAAACGTTCATCATCATTAAGAGCATCATTTCAACTAATGCCTGATATTTATCGAATTACTTTAAAATTCACTAATCTTTTAACAATCAGCCATAATATTGATTCAACTCGTCAATTTTCATCGGATGATTGGGCTTATACACGTCATATTTTACTTCTTACTGAAATTATGAATTATTTAGTAACAAAACCAAATTACCCAATAGCATATGGTTTTCTATCATGTTTAGTGATTACACAAATTGAAATGATTTGCATTGTCAATAATCTTAATGATATTAAAATAATTCTTAATAATTTGGAATACATTTTACTTCATCCATGGTAAGCAAAATGCAAAAGAGTTAGCTATTCAACTTCACAAGTTAAATGATCGTATGTTTTTAAATTAATCGTTTTTTTATTATTATGGGTATAGCTGGTTAATGTATTCATTCAGGTATAAAAAACTGCAATGTGAATGACTTATTGTTTGAGGCAACACTTTGGTTACAATTCGAGATAAGCGTTTTACTAAACTGTACGCTTGTTTCAACAACATATAAAAGGTAAGATCATGTCAAATGCTACGAAAGACTACAAGTTTAGAATTTTTCAGCAGTAGAAGCCCTTGAACAAATATGCCACGCAACATGGAATATCAATGCATCGACAGGTCGAAATTTGAAAAACTGTTTGAACGTCAAGGATTTAATACTAAATTTAGAAGTATTTTTATTGGCACTTCAGAATTAAAATGCTAAATGCTAAAACATTTATACCTCCAAACTAAGTTGGTATTATAAACATTACATTCGATATAATTAATATACTCGATTCATTATGCATAAAACACACTCTATTCACGTATCACTTTTATTTTTAAACATGTTTCACATGTGAAGTAGTCATAAGCTAATGCATATTATAACCAGTTGATAATAATAAGACTTTTTGAATGTATTTAAGGATACATAATAGTACCTTTAGAGTTATATTCGTTTACAGAAATCTTACTATCTTAAAAAATCTTGACACGTTTCATCTCTAATCCAATTGACAACAATCATATGATTTTTATCTGATTAAGAGAATATATGCCTTTCGATTACCATTTAATCATGACTAAAATTTACATAGGATACCTGTTATTGTTGACAGATTTATTTAAACGATCAGTGTATTTCAAGTTTCATTACTCAGCATTCTATGATCTATGGATGATTAAGTAGGCTTTAGATCATAGAATATGTTAATATTTTGAGTTTAAAATGATTGATTTGTTTGAAGAATAATGTTACCTAATTATTGAAACACTAGAACTTTTATTTACTCATTAAAATCATCAATCAATCATTGTTAGACTACCATTAGGAACCTGGAAGTACTGAACGGACGTTTCGTCCTGGTATAGAACTCGTCAGCAGTACACAACCACGACTCCTGCTACTCGTAGGATTCGAACCCAGGGCCTTCGGTCTTGCATGTGATATGTTCGGCACTTAGTATGCTTGAGGCTATTACGAGTTTACCTTAGTCGATAAACGCGAACGAGACTTTTACCAGCTTCCAGGAAGGCTATCCTGAATCCCAGAATCGAAATAGAAGACTTTGTAGGCGTAGAAGTATATTCTACAAGCACCCAGCAATCCCAGTACAATCAAGCATACAACTCTCGTTTATTTATACAACATAACAACGTCCTTGAGACAGTTAAGAAAATAGCATACTAAAATACACTGTAGCCAATCACAGCCATTGATTTTGCTGGTGGGAATTGAAATCTCAAGGTCATTTGATCAGCCCCTGCTGGCGAACGTGAAAACCGAAATACGGCATTATCAAGCGAATTTTGGGGATCTAACATCCCCAACAGCATGCTAACACCTAACCTCTGGACCACTGGGACTGCACACATCGGTGTTAATGTCTAACTCTGATCAATCTACAGATTTTGCGCGACCTCATCCATACCAGGACGAAACGGCCGTCCAGTGCTTCCAGGTTTCTAATGGCGGTCTACGATGATTGACTGATGGTTTCAATGTGTAAAAACACTGATCTCCCTAACTCTAATTAGATAAAAAACTTTTATTTAGTTTGAACCTCATATTTAATGAATTATTTCACTAATTCTGTTAGGTTAAATAATAATTTTTATGCAGTTCTATGTTAAAGTTGAGTAAACTACTAACTAAGTATACATTTAACTTTCATCTTCTGTAAATATTTTTTTCAAATGAATTATTAACTGATCTTAACATAATTTTGAATAAGTTACTTCTGAGAACATAGTACCGTTAGTTAGATTTCAATTACAATAAACTGCGGTAATCCAGAAGTAATGTTATTGGAATTTGTTTGTTTATATATTCTTTTTCCATACTAATGTATCTCTCTATATTGGTAAATATCGTCAATCCCAACTAATTTTTATCAGTCAAATTGGCTAACAGTTTGAGGGAATTGTTGTCTCATGCATTAGATTTTTATGTCAAGCAGTTGAAAACAATCAGTTTGACACTTTAATTTGAATGTGAAAATCACTGCATTTCCTGAAAACAACATCATGCACTGGCATACACTGATTCTTCTACTCCGATTTGTCAAGTTATTCAAGTTGAATTTCCAAAATCGGTCATTCGAGTGATTATTAACTGAATGTTAGGTACACACAGTTCAAGTTCTGATAGAAAGCTATGGACTATAAACTACTAAATAAAATTAAGTAGTTTTCTGAGGTCCTATACATTTCATCAGTTACCAATCTAGCTTCTAAATTTCTATGGAAGTTCTCGTAAATATAAACCTATTAGGCATTTACTAGAGACATCCATCATATACTTCTATTATCATATTTATAAATAGGAATCTTAAAATGTGACTGGTCATTCATTTTAAAACTATGTATTGTTTCTTTTTACAGCTTTCTTCTATGTTTAGCATTTCCAACATATTCTACTAAAATATTTACTGGTTCAATAAGAAATTCACATTTATTAATTGCATTATGGCAAATTATTCAAAATTCATTTACACTAATTGATGACTATGATAAACATGAAGAGATAAATAATAATAATAATAATAATGATAAAGATAATGATAGCAGTTCATCATCTGAAAATGATTTCAGATCAATAACACCAAAATTGGATCATTCACATGAAAGTAGAACTAATGCAACGAACACAAATAATAATAATTTTAATATTAATAATACAATGGTGAAGAGAAGCATAAGAAAACTGAATGAACTTGCTGAAAGCGCTTTAGATTATTTACAGTTTATAAAGTATTCGACAGAAAATATTGTAAGTTAAATTTATATGTAATTATGATAAAAATGATATAAATCTCGCTGATGCTCCAATGAGTAGACAAATCCCTGACTGATATTGTGTTTTGCAGACAATATTTAACATTATGTCATTCAATAGAAATATCGACTTCAGTTAGGAAAATTTTCTGTTTGATGAAATCATTTACTTTAGCAGTACATTCTTAAACATTTTGTTTGTTTGGAGAGATTGCAGCATAAAAGGATCAGAGATTTCAAATATCTAAAGGATGTTACGTAATTATTTAAAGGTTAGAAGAATAGCGGAAAGAGTGATGGTTAAAAAGCCAGAGTTGCAAGCGATTACTGTACATTTGACAGGCATGAAGAAAGTGAAAAACGAATCTGCCATCCTAGCCTAGTAGCCTTTTCCAAACTCCAGAATTGCCTACTCGATGGTCCCAGGATACACGAGTAACGCATCAAAGACACTGATGATCGAATGCTAGTAACCTATGAATATCCTTTAATCTCAGTGGCCATGTTTCACAATCATATAGTGGGACAGAGAGAACAGCGGTGCGCCATAAGTGAGTTAGCGAAAGCCAATCGGTCTTTATGTATCTGTGCCGAGATTTCGTCAGACACCAGGCCGTGAGCACTGATGAAACTCCCAAGGTAAGTGAAGCGGTCAATACGCTCAACTATTTCACCTCCTTTCGTTAGTTTAGGCTCCGATGTAAGCTAATCCTGAAGAAACACTTTGGATTTCAAGGGGGAGAATCGCATCCTGAACATGCTTGCATTGTTGCATAAGGTGATCAGAAGGCTGAATTTCGTCAGTATCTTCACCAAATAGAACTAAATCGTCAGCATACTTTAAGTCGGTAAGCGTGTCTCCACACCTGAGGAGTCAGACAACGATAATGTTAACTCTAAAAGCATGTCTATGGCAAAGTTAAACAAGAATGGAGAGAAGGGACTTCCCTGACGGACACCATTTGAATTAAAGAATTCCGAAGACAGTTCGACATAAGCTCTCCTTCGACCAGTAGTGTTAGAGTAGAGAGCGTGTATAAGAACGATGTACTTCATTCCTACACCTTTCAATGACAGAAACTACCATAGAACCTCACGATCGACAGGGTCAAAAACCTCCTTTATGTTTATGAATTCAACTATTGTGGGGGTGCCGAAAATGGGTCTTTATTCTAGGACCTGCCGTTATGTGAATATTTAGTTTGTACAGCTACGTCAGGTCTGAAACCAGCCTGATTTTCTCAGGTCTGCTCTTCACGAGCTCTAATAAAGCAACGAGGTTTTATTGAAACTAATGTTTTAGACAACAGGACTTTTGTCCTTTCTTATGGATTTGCGCGACCGGTAACTGAGACCAGTCAGATGAGATTACGTCCAGTTCCCAAATTCTATTTCGGACCTCAGTCCATTTCACTGCTAAAGCTGGACCACCATCCTTAAAAATCTCAGTAATTAATCCATCAGGACCTGCTGCCCTCTTTTGCCTTAGATTGCCTATAACCTTTTCAACTTCATTAAGATTTACAAGACTTGCATCAAATTTCCATTCAGGTTGAGTGAAGATCGTAGGTAAGTGAAGTATGGCTGGTGGCCAGTCGAACTATTCGCTAAAGTTTTCTCCCCATCGGTTTAATCTCATCGAGTGAGAACGGATGTCAGTTCCATCTTTCCCGCAGATAGTCTCACCAACAGCAGGATTTTTAATAACCATTTCCTTAACAAGTCTGAATAGTTGTCTAGTGTTACCTATCTCTTTTGCCTTTACATCTCTGTCCACCACCGTTTACAATCATTGAGTAGCCTTCTTGTCAGCTTGTGTTTAAACTGACTCTTCTCCTTATCGTATCTGGAGCCAGACAGAATCAATTTTCAAGAGTCTAGCAATTCAGTAAATGCCACTGAATCCACTAACTTTTCCTAACCATTTAGTTTATCTTACTGGCAGATATCACTACTGTTTCCATAGCTTTTTGAATATTATTCCCGTCCACTTCGGATTGCGTATCATGTACACGATTATCTAACTGGTTTTCTGTTTCTTGCTAAAATGTATCCTTAACTTTTACTTATTACTATTCGATCATGGCTTATCATACTAATGTGTACGTGGTGTTTTATACTATTGTTAATATCTATCCCCAACACCTTGTAAGACGAATAATGTACACCAACATCTCAAGTCTAAAATCTTCTCCTAATGCCTATCACAACTAAATCTCTGGTTGGCAATGATTATTAATGTATCACATAATCTAATGATTTAACTATTTATTCTTCATTATTGAGTTTGTTTTATTTTTCTTATTTCAGAATGATTCACCACATGTATCCAGCAATTTTAGTCAACTTTTTGGTTAGTTCTAAAAAGAGAATAAATTTAATATTTTGAAATCCCTAAGTTTTCGAATAGAAACTGATTTAAGTATTTTATTCGCTATAGTTCAAGTAACACTTCCACTGCTTCTTCCCGATTCCCTTCTCCATCGGAATCTGGTTTGTTCTTTCTCACAGTAAACTGTTGCTGATGGTGTCTGGCTAACGGATCTGAAGTATTTTGCGTAGACAACTGTTAATGAATACTTGAATCTTTTGGATGATGGCTTACGTAGTTCTCCAAGTTTCCGCTCCATACAGTAGAACTGTCTTGACATTTGTATTGAAAATTCTGATTTTGGTGTTTGTTGACAGTTGACCTGGTACTAACATCTCATTAGATAATCATTTGTGCATCAACGTTGATTTAAACAGCTTGATTACAAGTTAGCTATTTTTAATTGATTTAAATTGAATAAACACTATTTGGCTACTCACCTATCCGTAACTTTCATGTTCAGCATTTGTAGATAGGATTTGTAAATTAATCTCTCTTATCAGAGATGCAAGTATAAGACTCTTATTTATGATATGTGTGGTGGCCAATTTCTACGTGTTCTTAGTCTTCGTAATTAGCTCGTCCAGACAATCGTTACTAACTAGCGTCCGACGGTTTATGAATCAGAAGGTAAACTCGAAGTATTGACACACCACAAATAGGGATAGCAGACCAAAAGCAGACCGGGCAGGCACACTAGCGAGCGAATGGGCGAATGTGCGAGTGTAGTAATAAGATTAAAAGGTTCGTATATATACATAGGAAAATGTCTGAGTCATCGTGATATTTAAGAGATCAATATTAAAGCGAATAGGATGCATATGCACGTAGACGTTAAGCAATGCTCAGTCATACCAGCTCATACAAACCACACAATAATAAAAGCCAATGGTACATATAAGTTATTGTTTTACAAATGGATTGGTTAAATAAATTAATCGAAAGGGATTAACCAAATTAAATGTAAGCGAACTCGAATATACGTGGAGGCACTACATATGAACTATGTCAGTAAAATTATTCAAATGATACTTACTTGTCTTTCAAAACCGTTATAACAGACGAAACCCTGTTTCATTACTATAATGATTTCCAGTTATATTGTGACAATGAGGCTACAATGGAGATATTCCATTAGAGCTGTCATCTCATCATATATTTCTCGTATACATTAAGTGTTTTAAATCGAAGGAATCTAAATATCTAACGAAATTCGATGTCATTTAATTGACAATTACTTTTTCTCTAAATTATATATAATTTCATCAATTCCGATTTTTTACAGATTTATCAGGTGAAAATAAATTAGAATCACTTATATGGATTATTGGTGAATTAATTTATTATTTAGGTAATGAATTTATATCTGTTCAAATTTTATCAAAATTAGCTAAAATTTTTATAAATGTAAGTTGGCTTTTTTGTTTAACATTGATGATATTTACTGGTAATCAAATTTAATGTTGTAAAAATCGGCGATATTGACTAAAAAAATAACCATATTGTTTTCAGTGTTGAAATCACGAACTACTCTAAGCTAGATCACTATTAGAAATATGGAAGCACTGAACGGCCGTTCCATCCTGGTATGAGATTCCTAAGCACTGCGCACTTCACCACCCATTCATCTAATACTTCCAGATTTCTAATGGTGGTCTGGTTGAGATCAGATCATAATTTTAACTAGGAAAATCATACAATCTCCATAAATGCTCTTTCATTAACAACACTACTGTTGAATGCGAAGAAGTAGATAACAGACCTATTTGATATTATTATGTTATGTTGATATTATGTTATGGTATACATGGCTGATTCGTCTTACGATGACTATTGCGTCCAATGTGGTATGGAAACTTGAAATGATGGACGTACGTACGAAGTTCTACGTTGTTAAAGACTGACTGACTGACTGATGTCCTGTGATAAAGACCAACGTTCTAAGATTACCAATTAGTTCAATTCATCAACTGTCATTAGATGTTTATTTCTATGAAGACTGTTAAACTAGACAATAATCAAGTTTTTAAATAACAAAACATTAGGTTGGCTACAAAGTAACTGTAAAATTGTTGTTAAGCTTGAAATGTATGGAAACTAATTAGAGTTCAATTTGCAGTGAAGTAAAAATTTATTGTTCAAATAGACTTTATCATTCTGATCTCATGACTATAGAGTAGGCTTCATTGAAACAAAACGTTATAAAGGTTTATCAATTTCTATGAAGAAATTCTAGTGAATAATTATATAGTCTTTTCTACAATAATTAAATTAACCCTATTTAGATATCGGTTTTCTTTTATTAGAATGACTATATATAATCTTACAATCAACATTCTCTTTTTTTTCACAGAGTACAACTTTCAGTAGTGCAGATAGTTTACAATTGAGTCATTTGGGATTCAGTATTGTAAATAAACTTCGTTATTTAAGAAATGAAATGAATGAGTCGATTGATAATCAGTTATTATTATATCAATCTATTGTTTATGAAATTGAATTGAAGATAATAGAAAGGCTGGAAGAATCATTGATGCAAACGACGACATATGATACAGAGGAATCTATGTTGATAGAACAAAGAATTTTTACAGCTTTGGGTATTATTATTATCAGTTTAATTTTATTGAATCATTTCATTGTTTTATTAAAATACATTCGTACTATTGGAAATACTTGAAATTAGATTGTTATTAATTAGTTCACTATTTGGTTTCAATGTTTTCGATTCGAGTGTTGTGCTTTACTCTGGGATACTCACTATGAAACAACAACATTCTACATACAGTTTTATGAAAATCATTAGGTACAATGTTACGTTAATTAATTATCATGAATTGACATACTTTCCTAAGAAATCACATTGATTCAAAAGCTACTGAAATTTTAGGATGATCCGTTTATCGGTTCCTGTACTAGATTTCACTTCTGTTAACGATTTCACTTGATGTTTTTTTGATGAAGTTGCGTGGATAGGAGTTCTTTCAGAAGATAATCATAAGATGCTTCGCCTCGTTTTTTAGTGCTTCATATGTACTGCACTGTGTCTCTTGAACAAAGTTTGTATGCAGTTGATTTTATGAGTCCATCCTACCATACATAAAAGACATATCGGAACATGCAGAGAGACTGTTGAGACCATTTGGAATAGGTGTGGCACACCAACCAACAGAATTACTTCAATCGATCCTATCTAGGCCAAAAGGACAATGTGACAAAGGAAGAAAAACCAAATATCATCTACAAAATAAATTGCTCATATTGTGGAAAACACTACACAGGATAAAAGTGGACGTCCTCTTGAGCTTCTTTTACGTGAACACCAATCAGTAGTCAAACGCCACGACAATTCTTCGCTTATATCAATACACACGGACAATTACGGACATAAATTCGATTGGAACAATGTTGAAATAGTGGATAGAGAGAGTACAAAGAACACTAGAGAATATTTGTAAAAATGACACTCAAGTCAATCAGCAATCAACAAACATATCGTCATTGACCCAATTTATCAACCAATCATAAAAATCATAGGCGACATAGGATCAAGAAACAGATCAAAAGGAAGATACAATCAAAACAAAGTTGAAAACAACGACAGACTTAAGGTCAACATCAACCAATCAAGATCGAGGTTAACAGAATAAGCTACGAGGCATGCGTGGAGAAATTCTAATACTTCACTTCTATCTGAAGTTCGTGTTGATGATGTTGTTCAGAAGAACAATGATGGTTCCACAACCTAAACATCCAGCTCAGAAAATGAAATACCACCACAACATAAAGTTAATTAAGTCAATTACATACTATCTTATCGATTTCAAGCTAAAAATCTTTCGTTTTTGAGTACCTAGTTTGAAAGTCATAATTCAGGACGGACTGAACACAAATTATGTTGATAGCGGTCTAACCCAACAAGACAATATTTACTCCTACACAACAGTGTAGACCGATGTTACATTATACAGATTCATTCATCTGTGATCGGTGAGTATAATAGTACGAATTACAATTAACTAATCTAATTTCCTGAGGGTGATTATTCTTACTTTTTGGAAGAGACTGAACAATATTGATTACTGTTCATCTCAGTGTTTGAAGTTTTACGAGTTTTATTTCTAGACAGTGTTTGAGTTCATGAACAAATTTTTGGTATTGTTTTGGCATTTGAAACCGTGTCGCTCATTTGGCCTCATTCAGTACTTGTCAGCTAGATATGACTGCATTCCAGTCTCAGTATTTATATGGAAACTTGAACCTGGTGTCCTTAATTTCATTTCTAAGTTTGTATCAATCGATACCTAATGATACATGTGTTGTCGCTTGTGATAAAAGAAGTTTAGAATTATGGAAACGTCACAAAAAACTAAATACAGCTAGATGAATAAGAGTTAGAACTGATCTTTATAATATAAAACAATAATAAGAAATTTATATAAGATTGACATAAATGTACAAACAATTATCAGTTCAACAAATGTCCAGTAGTTAACATCAATGCAAGAATAGTAACTATCAATTCAAAAAAGTGTCTTCATATCGATAAATTCCAATCTCTTATGTATTTCATGCTTGATTACTAAATTGGGAAACTTGAATTATTACACCACTTGTATATACTGCGAGGTGCAGGAGTCGTGGATGCTCACTACGGACGAGTCCCATAATAGGACGAAATGGCCGTCCAGTGATTCCAGGTTTCTAACGGTGGTCTAACATTGATCGATTCATGATTTCAAATGTATAACTTAACAATCTTCACAACCCCGTAATGTGATAGGTTATTTGTTTAATTCTCAGTAGTCTTACCAGTTATGTAACAATAATACAACAGCGAATAAGCTATCACATTTTTAAACCTTAATGAAGATTACTTGATTTCTAAATGTTCTAAAGTTTTCATTCTTTTGTATTAGTTGCTGGAATTTTCACAATGGTGTTTACGAATGCACTTGATCGGTCTCTTTTGACATAGGCGTGGTTTGCCTCAATAGTACCTACCATTGAGTTGTAGTAAACATCAATTGTGAAATGAAGGTACATCTAGCTAGCCAGTTCCAATTAGGCTGAAACGTGCATTGTGAATTCCATTGTTAGCCACCTATTTCTGGTTATAATATTTTAAAGTTTAATTTTATTTTCCCCAAGGAATAAAAGTGCCTATTATTTTACAGCTTATATAAAAATGTATCGACTAGAATCTGTTATTGGATTAACAGAAAGTGGTAATGAACAGTTAAATTTATTTGAATATGAAATTTGTCAAGCAATTGAAGATGTGAAACAGTTCAACGCTCAATCAATCGACAAAACTTTATTAGCTATTAGTATGTATCTTTTATCTAAAATAAGGTAAGTTCGTAAATAATTTGTTTCGAAGTTTACTAAGTTGGTTAGAGTATTGCTTATATTTATAGCATATCTAAGTATACAGGCTATTACTTCACTATCGAGAACAATGCAATTATCTAGAATTTCTCTGAAACACCAATTAATTAGTGAAATAAAAATGCTTTTAACTTTGAAAAGATTAACATTACACTTACCATACAATAAATCAATTGAGACCTGATTATCTCAGTAGTATTACCACACTATGAGGCTGGATGACAAGGGACTGAATCCATCAGGAAGCATCTATTCCATCAAGATTACACCTATACCCCACTGATAATTGTTGACTACAATGAAACCTTGATTCAGGGTTTTCTATAGACTACCTCTAAGTACCTGACTTCTTAATATGATGGTTGTGTTATCCAGTCACGCAAACTGGTGACCACATTTTCAACTTGATCTATATAATTCATTCAGTGCTACAAAGACTGGTCAGTGATCAATCAAGAGTATAACTTTTTATTATCATACTAACAGTCAATAAATTAGGTGTATATTCGTTTCAATTCTATTTATCTTCTCAAATCCTTGGTTGCACAATAAATATTTTGCACACTCGTCATCACATGGCATCTAACCTAACTTTTAAAGCCGAATACTACCTACTATCAAGTTTAATAAAGCTCTCTGCGTCTCATTTCCAGAAGAACCTAAAGGTTAGACAATATTTTTAGTCTGCTCAGTTTAGTCAGTCAGTTACAACGTGGAACTTCGTACATGAGTACATTAGTTCAGGTTGCCATACCGCATTAGCACAGAGACTTAACTTTCAGTTCAGATCCAAAAGTGATAGCGATAGTAGAAGTATTAGCAGTAATGGAGAAGATTAGGTCTTTAAGGTCTTGCTTTAAAGGCCTTACCGCCGGAGACGGAAATCCGCGAGGTAAGGTGAGGTATGACATTTTTAGGGTCGACCTTTTCTAACCCTTCCTTCCTTGTGAGAAGGCAGCATCTCTGTAAATGCTGGTTTTTCGAGGAAAACGCCTTGTTGCTGTCACACACCTCCGCAGTCAGCAGTGCAACTTCGCCCTCAGACCTTGAGCAGCTGCTTTTAGTCTCATGGTAGAACCTTCAGGAACATATGTTCCAGCCAATATAGCTCGATTGGGTCATCACGATAGGCAAGCCCGACCACCATGTTAAGGTAGAAGCTACAGTTTCGCTGTTCAATTTAGTTCTAGTACCTCATAGGCTGTGGTTAAACTCGCCAGTTAATCATGTTTAGATCAAATTTTCTGATTTAAAACAATGTTCTCTAAGAATTTCGACTAGACTTGTAGATCACTAATAAATAACCTTAGAACAAGACTTGTAGTTTCCTTGTTCACTAGCTAATCAATCGCATGTCAACGTTCATACTAAATAACAGATGTTTTTTTCCTACCTTTAATACTTTTAAATATTTTTCTTATTAAAACTGATTGATGACTTACCTAAAAAGCTAATCTTTAAGTACCATATTACAATTGTATTAATTTCTATGCCATTTTTTGTACATTTCAGACTGTTACAAATGAATACAACTGAACATGAATCTCTCATATTCCAGGCTATAAATGAATGTATGACAGATCAAGGTGAATATCATCCTTTATTAGCTGAATGGCTAATCATTTTAGCATTATCTTTACAAAAGCCAATTAATCATGATAATAATAATAATAATAATGAATTCAATGAAATAAAGTACGTTAAGTTCAATGAAAATATTTGTTTGCTTTTTTTTTCGTCTAAATATAGAATTTGAAAAAAAATGACCAACACATTCTAAAGTTATTTAGTGAATTGAATTTATTATTTTTGGTTATAGTGAATAATCATAATAATGAACTGACAAGTAATTTAGAGTTAAATACAGTAGCTTACACTCTTAGCCAATGATTTGATAGTTCTGTCTTCAGAAATCCATTCCGTAGAGGTTCAAAGATCTGTTTCATCAGAATAGCACCAGTTTAGCTGGTTAGCGTCTTTTTGGCAAGTTAGTTTTTGACGGGATGGGGTCGCCAACCCCATGCCCAACCCTCCTCCTTTATCCGGGGGCTTGGGACCGGCAGTAGCCCCGAAGGTTCTACTGGCGTAGTTTAGCTACCTCACTTAATTCAGTAATTTCTCAAATCAATTAGTGTATCCTAATATTCATGAGTGTTTTTTTCTGTCATTCTTTGCTTGAAGTAAAAATTGCTAACTATTTGCGTATATTTCACCTAGTTGGCTTCCTTTATGAATTTGAATAAAGCCAGAATGATAATCAAGACAGAACAATATGTATGCACGTTTAGTCACCTGATTACAAACATATATTTACCACTATCATTTCTGGGCTTTAGTCTGGGTAAATTTTTATTGACCGAATGACAATGAGATTGTAGTATGTTGTATTTGATGACTTCAGAGCTTCCAACTTATGAACATCACTAATAAAATAGTAGATTATTCGACTGAAAATAATTCTAAACAATATATCACATTGGTTTAAGTGTAACAGTAGACGGTTCGCTAATGAGAGACTGTCAGTTTTGATGATTTCGACATCATTAGAATTTCATTCCCACCATTTCGATAAAACGGTATTACGACCTTAGTTTCAAAGGTGACTGTAACATTTATTAGATATTTTAAATATATAGTTGTTTAGGAATTCCCTGGATGCTAAGCATCTAATTTGCTCGATAAAAATATAGAACTGTTCTTCATTGAAAGATACTTCTAGATCCACACTTTTTACTCATTTTCTACCATCAAGATACTCTGGTTTCGCATAAAGACTGGTTCACATTCAAATAACAGGTTAGAGACAAATTGTTTTTGAGAAAATTAGATTGGTTGACTCAGAAATCCAACAATAAGGTAGCACAATATCTTAAAGTATTTTAGTTGATCGAACAGTAATAAACAGAAATTTTAAAAATATTTATACAAAGCTAAAAATCAATTTCAATCAATGACTTTGTAAAACGTTTTATTCTCTTTCGTTTTAACTATACAGCCATTCAACACTAGCCTTTTGGAAAGGATACGAGTAGAATTAATTGTGGAGATAAGAGAGATATTAGGGGGTGTAGGAAGGATTGGATTTTGACCCATTTGGTCTCGCGTGCTGGTACGGGTATAAGTGAAGTTGCCACTTCCCGGCTGCCCACACCGTGGAAGGTTGTTTCTTGACGAACCTGAAAAGGAAGATGGATTAGTGTTGGTGCGTGACCGCAGAGTCCAAGGGACAACTGCTTGAGGCCGGTCACACATAGCCTTTTTATGTAATGTTTTTTGAGTATTAGCTCCGCTCTTAAAAGCCCTTAGTGGGCACCCTTACAGTCGGAGATGGAAATCCGTGAGGTAGGGTGAGGTGTGACATTTTTAGGGTTAACCTTTTCTAACCCTTCCTTCCTTGTGAGAAGGCAGCATCGCCGCACGTGCTAGTTGTTCGAGGGAAACACTCTACTACTGTCACACCCTCTGCATTCAGCAGTACGATTTCGCCCTCAGACCTTGAGTAGCTGCTTTTAGTCTCATAATTCTCCAGTCGACCTGCCTGGCATGGTAAAACCTTCAGGAACTTATGTTCCAGCCAATATAGCTCAGTTGGGTCATCACGATACGCAAGCCCTATCACCACGTCAAGGTAGCAGCTACGGTCGGGTTTGGAAAGAATGAGATTTGTATTGTGAAATCACATAGCTAAGCTAGACACAAAATGAATACCCAATAACTTTAAAAATATGTGTGAAATTTTAGAAGAAAATCTAACTTAATTATTCTAGAAAATAGAATGAATACTGTACCGTTCCAGTTTAAATATAAACCTATTATTTTATACACATCATTATAAAAGCTTATATAACTTGCAGACAGCATACGTAAACATTAAACAACCTAGACAAAATTTGTTAACGTAATTGTCTGCAACCAGATGAATATAAAATTTTAGTTTCTATTGTTCTACATAGATTGCTCACAGTATATATATAAAAACGAAAGTAGGCCAGTAGTAGAGGTCAAATAATCAATGTTTCATTGATTCTACTATTTTTCACTATTATTTGAACTTTACACCGATAACAGATGAAATAGTTATATGACAAAGAAAACAGTTATCCGATACTAATGAAATTTTCTTTCTGATGTCAGTTATTATTTTCTAAAGCTGCTACACAATCGCATTTGTAATTAGTCAATGCATAAACAAGATTACTATTAGTTAGTACGTCAGAGTTATGCTATGAACAAAGTATTCGTTAGTTGAATCGATTAGTATGTTTCTGAATGTCACGATTGTTATTATTTGTTCGTTTTTGGCCTGAGATACATTTTATTAATATATCACTTAGGACTGACCATGTAAGTTAGATTTGCATGCTTTTAGCTCTGAAGAGAACATACCTTGGATACAGGCAATGATTTCTAATTTTCTTCCTATTATTCAAAACCTGCAACAGCACAATTGTTTATTGTAGCCTCTGCTGTCTACTGATGAAATCCCGAAAATAGCTCTAATATAACTGATATGTTTGTTTTCCTAGAAGCAGTGATTGATTAGTACGTTTTATTCTTACATGGTTATATGTGATATCATGCATTACAAACACTACTTCATAGATTAAACTGGCTAGTAAAAGATTATTCTTCTGTTTAAACCACTTTTCATCTACTTTATTATTATGGCGTTTCGCTTTTGTACCAAAAAACTTTTCAGTAAGTCGTTTCAAAATGTAAGGTAACTATACTGAACATATGTGGAGAAAAAACAGTGATTGGCAACGAAGTTCTTAATATTACATGAAGTTACTATTGTATTTCCATTCATGATTAAACCATCCAATGTAGAGTTTTCTTTAGCTGTCGTTTTGTTATATACGTCACCATTGTACCACTATACCTTAATAATTACATTTCTTTTCAATTTGCTTGGAAAAAACAACAAGTTTTCTCCGAAAGACTTTTGGAAGAACACGTGCACAAGAATGTCTCCGATGGAGTTTAGATATAATGACGTATAACCAAGAAATTTTAGTAAGACAAGTTATTCCTCCGCCAACATCTGTACTTTCATCTTTCAAAGAACGTATTTATACAAGATTACATAGAAGTATTCTGTTACGTGCACCTAGATATTTGATAATACCACATACTCAGCCTTCATTATCATCTCAACTTGTATCCAAAACCTCTAGAAGCACAAGCTATAATCTGAGTAGTTTTAGTTCTAGAAAACAATCAAATCTATCAAGTAATCGCACAGATATCACATTGTATTCAAATCATCAACATTTATTTAGTAATCCAGATGTATACCAAACACTTCCAACAGAAATATGTTTACAATTAGTTTTCTGTTTATTAAAAGATGAACGTCAAATAAGTTTACAAGAAGCTTCTACACTTGCTGCATTTGTTTTACATGAAAGGATTTTATTTTTAGGTAAGTTAAAAGTTTTTTTCATTTTATTACAAACAATGTTATCTACGATAAATATCTGGATGTACACTGTAGTTTCATAACATACCTTGATGCTTTTAGTGATTTCCGTATTTTGTGATGTAAATTTTGAACAACAGATTAACTGTAACCACATGGAACAATTACAACGAGTAAACTAAGATATAACTGTTTAATAATTGTAACGTTGTCGAAAAAAAAATCAAATTCACGAAGGAGGTGAAATCTGCTGACCTCAGATTATACTAATTCTGGACTGTTTAGTTGGAAAGAAGAGTAATGACTGTATGAGACATATTAATACATATTTCGAAACCCAACATATTTGGGACAATATCTGGCCTATAGATCAGTATATTTCCATTCCACCAAAGTGACTGTTGTTAAGAATTTGATAAACACAGTTCAGAAACTTGTCACTGAACCAAGTGACAAAGAAAGCGATATGAATTTAATTATATCCACTTTGATGATGAATGATTATCCTAAGGAATTTATAAACGGAATAATTAAGAAACACGTTCAAGGTGATCAATTAAGATGTCAACGAAAAGAATCAGTTAACACGGTAGTGATCCAAAATCATCAAACAAATTTCGGAACAAATCAGACGGACCGTAAGTCATCAAAATATCAGAGTATTCTTTTGAATAAACATTATTCTAAGATCGGAATTAATAAAAATCAAATATTCACTATCGAAAGAGAAACTGCAAAAAAATGTGTATATAAGATACACTGTGATGACTATTAAAGATATGCTTCTGCATGAAATACCAAAACATCTGAATATGACAGTGAAGGAATACAAACTTTACTGAAAACACATTCTTAAATTCTCAGAAGACATGAAAACACTAGTGAACAAGTCAGCGAAAGCAATACACGCCATAGAATCTGGTCATACAAAAAGGCTTTGCTTCATTTAAGAAATAGCTGACGTCCTGCCTACACATATGAGATAGTCCAAGTAATATTAATAAGAGAGATAAAATACAAATAGCTGTCCCATGACCATTAATGACTAAATAGATAAAGTCGAACTCCTTTTTATCTGTCACTTATTATATGAACAATAACAATTGTGTTCACTTACTCGAATCATTTGGTTTATCTGAATGTATGATGAACAATCAGCTTGATTGGAAACAATAACACGAATTTTATACATGCTCTGACATGTTGGACACATTTCGTTATATCAGGTTATTTGATTTCATTCATTCAACGTACACCACAGTATAATGAATACCACTTCTACATTGTTAACAATAAAAGAATGATTTGTTTAGCTTTATGCATAAACAGTGAACCATGTATTTATATTCAGTAATTTTTGGATGGTTGATTATATTTCTTTGAAAATGCTTTAGCCCAGATTGCTTTAGTGGAACGTTCAATTTACTTAATAATTTCAATTATTGAGACTTAAAAATATAAAATTGTCCTCTTTCATATTTTACATTATCTCAGCAGCCAACTACTGTGAAACTTTTTGTTCAAATTTAGACGAAACTTTTCAACCGGATTTCCTACAACTACTTACAAACTATGTTGATAAAAAATGTTATAGAAAATTTAATCAATTCAAATTCGCTTGCTTTTGAACTACTTTTAATAGTCTTATGTTACTATCATAACGTTTGATAAACAATGGTCTCAGTTTTGAACAATAATTTATATTGTCATCACAGGTTCATCGTGAATGAATTAAAATGTTTAAGTCATGTTTGCTTCAATTGAAGATCCCTATAGTTTAGTTCCAAATAGATTATGCTATTTTTCAAATACAGTTTGTTCAATGCGTGAATGTACTGATGAACACAGTTAAATGGAATACAAAAATGTGGTCGCTGATTTTTGTACGTTTATTTGACTAGCTAATCATCTAATTAAATTCTTCTCAATAGTACATTTATTTTTGCTCTCAACCTTTCATCGTTACTTTTTAGTCGATAGTTTTATTTATATATATCTTTTAATCTCTTAGACAAGCCATGTAAAACATGTAAATCTCTTTTCTCATTAATACAATTGTACTTTTAGTTCTTTAACTGACTTCACTACATATATTTATCTTCCGGATTCAGTAAAAGCATTAACTTTTTTTCAGTTATTACTTTGCACTACTGACGGGGGTTTCCAGAGGTTGTTGAATTTCATAGACTTATTTTATCTACACAACCAGTGAAAAACAAATGACACTTAGTAGCTAGTGAGTCCTAGTATGGAACTCCTCAGTATTGGACGTCCATTACCTCAACTAAGATCGAACTAATGAGATACAAGATGTGCGGTGAGCAGTTAACCATCAGACCACTGAGCCAAGACCAAATGATTTACGTTTCTAAATTTTTTTTTAATTTGTTTGAATTATCTGAATACTCTGTAATAAATTTTAACATAGAAATTGTTTGACAGTGTAGGCAGTTGGTTAACAATCTGCCCAATTTTTTTACACATTATTGTAAAACAACATTAGTCAACTTGAAATCTTATTGTGGATTTATGAATGTATCATTTTCCATAAAAAATGTTTTTTTTTTACTTTACTCAAATCCAACCGATAGGTGTTGATCATCCAGCTACTATTCAAATATCTAAAATTTTGGATCACATAGAACATTATCTTATTCATGGTCAGACATCCAAAGAAACACTTGGTAATGAAGTGAAACATCCACTGACTAAATCAAATGATCACAAGTCAAGCTACGTGTTTTCGACAAATCGATCACATGATAAATTCTCTGGACAAAGTCAGTCGACACAACATTATGACAAATGCACTAGACTGTCATCACGAAATTCGTTATTCGATGAACAGCTGTTGAAAGATAATTTATCAACAAGAAGTTAGTGGTGGTTTTTTTTTATTAGTTGATTGATTGATAAATGCTTCGCACATGTTTACTTCACTTTATTTGTATTTTAATACCATCTATACACGTATTTGTTTATCTTGTCTCTATGATCTGATTTATTAGGTATTACTGTCAAATTATGTTTAGAATAGATAGTTGGATTAATGTTTAAATCAGAGTCACCTGAAATATTATTCATTATTCGATTATTATTATTATTATTATTAATATTTATGAAATCTCTTTTCAATAATTAAAGTAGATTGTCGAATTTTAAAATCTATCTATCTATTAAAAATATCTGAAAAAAAAATCTTATTGAAATGAAACTTATCTACGGTTTAGTTATTGGAAGGTATGAATATTATGTGTGTTGCATTACGGGGTTGTACACCGATAGATACAGGCTCAGTGGTCCAGAGATTAGGCGTCCGCGCCCAAGAGACTGAAGGTGCTGGGTTCGAATCCTGCGAGGTACAGGAGTCGTGGATGCGCACTGCTGGTGAATCCCATACCAGTTATCCAGTGCTTCCAGGTTTCTAATTGTGATCTAACAATGATTAATTCATGATTTCCAATATCATGTATAGATCACGTAAAGTTTGGAAAAGAATATCCTCATCTACAATTACGATTCTCCACTGTATTCAATAGTTAAGATGTCAATCATATAAATGAACCCATGATAAAGTATAAAAAATAAAACAATAGACAATGTTCAATTATTCTAAAATGAATTGATTCGAATTTTATTTCTTATTTTCCATTCATTAGTTACTAGTAGAACTGAATCTTCTTCTACACGATTAGATCGTCGACAATTGAAAATAAATACTGCAACAGTCAAATCTACAGGATATGAGTCTAATTTAAAAGATTTAGGTAAAATTCATTATTTTCTATCGAAGAAAATCAACCGAATAAGTAATACACAAAAGTATACTGATTTAAGTATACATTTTAGACGATTTGAAAAATCTTTAGCTATTCAAAGTAACCGAATATAGGTAAGTGTTTTTGACAATGATTTTTTATATTGTTATTATCTATAGATAGACTTTATGTGTTCCTTCTAAAGTTAAGTCAATCTTGAAATGTTGAATATGATCCATTTTTATTAAAACTAATTTCATGTGACAGAATGAAATTATATTACATTACATTTTACTGTATGAAGTTGTGACGATTGTTAAATTCCTCAAGCGGTACGTGTTCATAACCCCATTCCCGCCCTATAAAATGAGAATCCACTGTTTCCAAAATTTCAATGATTTCCTGCATTGAACTAGTTAGTCACGTTATTAAAATTTTATTATTTTTAATTACCACGAAAACGTGTGATGATAGGATTCTAAATAACTGATTACAAATAAGGAAATGTGTTTGTGCGTAGAATTGATGGTACATCGCGGTTTACACACCTTATTAGGCTTTTTCATTTGTTGAGAGATAAATGAAATAAAAATCCATAGTTAACCGTAGCTGCAAACACCTTAAAGACTTATAGAAATACTTGTAAATGCTTATGAGTTTTAAATGTTAAGCATATTCAAACATCCGCCTATTTTACTTGAATTACTAACTATTAAAACACTTTGCTGACATTAGCTCAATGATATTTTGTTTACACATTTGAAACCATCAATCGATCAATGTTAGACCACCATTAGAAACCTGGAAGGACTAGACGGCCGTTTCGTCCTGGTATGGGACTCATCAGCAGTGCACATCCACGACTCTTGCACCTCGCAGGATTCGAACCCGAAGATTTTTGTATATTTATATTTCATGTCATGACAAATCAATACATTATCAGATTATTTTGAAAAAAATAATAAACTGCTATATGATAAGCTTCATTTCAACTATGATTTCTCAACTTGTTATCGAAAATAAAAGAGTGTTTTTGATTTGAAATTTATACATATCGGGTAAAACAATTTAGCTGGACATTTTTAAAGCTTGAGATTAGTTTTCAGCTCACATTACCATTTAAGGATGAGTTTGTCACATTGGCGAAATGATGTGTTGATAAGTTAAGTAGACACAGTCATTGGTTTTTCGATGTTATATGAATTTATGCATGCTAAATCATGAATATTAGTTTCTTATCCAGTAACTGAATTGTTACAAACTCATTCCAAAAATGCACACATTCTTTTTTTTCTGTATGTAGTCAGAATTACCACCTAGTCAAATTTACAAATGTATAAAAACTAATCTCCATAACTCTAATTGAAAATATCGTAAAATGTGCTCACTAGTGACTGGAGTCGTGAGGAAATTCTCGGAGTTCTAAGTGAGAAGACGTGACCAGTGGAGTTCAACCCTGACAGGGTGTAGGCAGTAACTACCAAAGACAGTTAAGGGTGAGGTCGCGCAAAATCCCTAGACCAATCAAAGTCAGACACTAACACCGTTGGATGCCGGCCCAGTGGTCCAGAGGTTAGGCGGTCGCGCGCAAAACCAAAGGTCAAGGGTTCAAATCCTGCGGGGCACAGGAGTCGTGGATACGCACTGCTGATGAGTCCCATACTAGGACGAAACAGTCGTCCAATGCTTCCAGGTCTCTAATAGTCATCTAACAATGATTGATTGATGACTTCAAATGTGTAAAAACATTAATCTCCATAACTCTAATTCAAATTAAATAAAAAAATAGGTGGCCAACTATTAGTTGTCTGATGATAGTCAAACTAATGAAGCTGTAATATATATATATTTATCAAGTCAATCAATTTGCATAATCAATCCAATACAATAATTATTTATGTTAACAACAATCAGTAAACACCAATAAAACGCACTTCAATAAATAATGATGAAAAGGTTTAATCATACTTTCAGGGTCACAAAATAATGTTTAGATGAAATTCAACATTCAATTGTATTTTATATAAACTTTAACTGATTGAATAATAGTTTTAATATAGCATCATTATTGTCAATTATATCGATAGTTGTCAGTGTCCTTTAGTTAAAAATAAATTATTCGTTTACATTTTGTATGTGTTTGTTTATTAAACAATCATCAATAATAATACCATGATTGATGATAGCCACTGTTATGGTTTAGTCATTTCTGTCAGTCGAGTTCTGTTGATGATAAGAATCGTGTTTACACAATAATATGATAACAGAATGCAGTCTCTTCAGTTTAATCTACAAACAAATAACACTTTATGTAGACTAGTAAAACAAAGCTCCTACTGACTAGATTAGAAAACTGACTGCGTTAATACACGATAAAGATACATGTCAATAAAGTAAGACAAGTGTAGCGGTAATGTCATTTCAGAGAACAGTAATTATTGATAAATGAGTATGAGTGAGTATCAAGCCCTCAAATCATTACACTAGGGCTAGGATGCCGAATCTCCCAGCATGATATCATACTTTGACGTTTGTATTTTCTTAACATGACAATGAGTGGTTGAAACTAGTCGTCTATAGTGCATACCAACATGAAGTTCATTGTACAATGGGATGTCACGTCGACCTGAGTACCCCAGTTTATAGAGTATGATATATGGTCATCTCTTTGGCATTACACCAGACCGAATAGGGCACTGCAGACGAAGATTTTAAAAGGAATACGTAAGTTTTCGTCTGCCATCGTTTTACCTAGAGAGGTTTATCAAACTTTAGAGACGAAATGAGTTAGTTTTAGATCCTCAGTATACGTTACGTGTTAATGTGCAATATACAAGTCAAAGACTCATTTACTTCTGAGTATACATATCAGCATAGATATTGTTTCTACTGTTGTCGTCTCCGAAATTAAATCTGAACCGGATAGCGTTATTACATTTTCCAATGGTAGGACATCATTCGCTACGTTAGTTTATGAAACACATTCCCACTATCTTTAATTACCGTGTAATTCTTAAAGTTCGATTTTGCCTACGATGTAGATTAGTAAATTTTTATTCTTATTAAAAGGCATTATTTATTTTGATATTCAAACCTGGATATAATAAATATATATCACTGAGAACTATGAGATATGACAGATTTTACTTTTTCAATATTTCTCATTCCATTTTCATTATAATTTGGTAAAATGTTCTGTAATCAGATTTCCGTGGTCATTTGTAAATGAAAACAATTGAGCTCTAGATTTCATTATCATCGGTTGTAAAATAAAGTCCAGGATATTGATCGATATCTTTAATACCTTATAACTAATAATAGTAATATTAATTATGATTATTATCATTATTATTGTTACATCGCGTATTTCAGTTTCTGTTAATAAAATTTAAACTAATTAATTTTAGCGTTTGGTTGGTTGAGAAGTTAGAGAAAATCAATATTTGACATCGGTACGTCAACTATTTTACGGAAATTCTTCAGAACAAAGAAATATTATCATTCATATATTGTTCGTTTATGTCTGTATGCGTAAAAGTGATAATTCAATGTCTGTGTAAGTGTTATTTCAGTAAATATGATTATGTATATTTTTTGTGGTGAAAATGAAATAAATGACTTCAATTCATCTTATTGAAATAAATTTTAGTGATAATAATTCTTTGCGTCTTTTTTGAATAATTTTCGACGGGTTTCTAAAGAAGGTCATGAGTTAAATGACAAAGGTACAATGTTCTACGTTGTAACTGACTGACTAACTAAATTATACTTGGTCATTTTATTAAAAAGGCTTATTGATCGAGGTAAGCTTCAGTTAGATAATCTTCGGTAAGTTTAAGTCATTTTGATTCCTAAAAACAACTAATTAATAAAAGAAAAATTTCATAAGCAACTAGAAACTAACTAAAACATGAAGATTTACAACCAAAATACGACTGTCAAGATTAGTTACTTGTGCCTGTTACCCATGATAGAGTATAGGCCGCTGGCCACTATTCTCCAACCTGCTCTGTCCTGGGCTTCCCTTTCCAGTTCTATCCAATTTTCACTCTTCTTATGTCCGCCTTCATTTCTTGGCGTAATGTGTTCCTTGACCTGATTTTTTTCGTTTGACATTGGGGATTCCAATTGAAGGCTTGTCTTGTGACGCAGTTAGGTGCTTTCCACAATGTGTGTCCTATCAACTTGCAGTGCTTTGTCCTGATTTCCTCCTCCACTGGATTCTGGTTTTTTCTTTCTGACAGTAGGTTGTTACTGACAATGTCTGGGACTGTCAAGATGGTTTTCGTTTATTCTATCAATACGGTTAGTCAGTGACTTTTAGTCCGTATCGATTTTAACTTAAACACCCAAAAAGTGAACCAGCCATTTCTCTACTTGAGATTGTAATACCAATCAAACAACTCAAACCAACAGACATTAGTCATAGATAATTATGTATAATGGCTTGATGACCACTCTTTCAGCTCTGTTTCTGTTTGATATAATACTATTAAAGGTATACATGGCTCATATATCGCTAATCCAAATACATAACCTTGTATAGTCGCGTACTTTCCTGTTCATAAATTCTCAGTTTTCTATCAGTGTGGTCATCATTTTGTCAAACTCAATATTGTCAAGTGTTCAAATCAACTCATTATCATTTAGCCGCTTAAATGAAATCCTTGAGTACACAACTTCAGTCCATTCACAATATATGATCCTAATTCTGTCTTGGCTGGTAGTTAATTTCCTACTCAGTTTACTATTGAAGTCACTGCTTTGAATAATGACTTGAGTTAACAATAACCGTACGCTTGTTAACACTAAACTTTGACTAGGATCCTAGAAGTTCTAATGGAACATCATAAACTGAAGCGTAAGCCTACTAGAAAGTCAAAAAGTGATTCGTCATTCACTTGGGACTAAGATCAACTGATTGAACTTGAAAACATATACCACTAGGTAGGTAAGGTAAGTTACCTTATAAAACACCATACGGTCCTGCGTTTAGCAAATATCACCACTGGGACAAACTTGATATTCTGACTCATCACATCATTATTGAAAAATTTCTCTTTACCTTCCTCCAATGTGACCCTAAAACTAGTCGTCTTATAATACTGATTACTTGGAAAGTTATTTTGTTACTTTACGATTAATATATCGAACTTAGTTTGTTAATCGTTCAACTTTCTAACAACTATGAGCCCTTGTCATAAATCTCTCACTAGTTTGAATCACATTTTGAACGCTATCACGGTTAAGCGAGATTTGTTCATGAATATGGAAACTAGTTAAATCTGAATTTGAAATTGTGAGACTTCCGGTAATTTCAGAAATAATTCAACTTAACATAGAGGTCTTAGTTTACTTCTCATTTCGAAATCTGTCATTTACGTAGGATGATTCCTGTATGTGACAGTGTTTTTGCAGTCAGTCTCCCCCCCCCCGGTTAAATAATGTCTTTGTTTGAATGAATGAAATTAAGAGGATTATGATAAACTGTGAGGTCATGTGTTTTTTTGGCTTGGAGGATCTTCTGAATATCGGTTGAATAAATAAAGGATATACAATATTATTTGTTGGCCGGGGCTGATCAAATAAATCTGACCAACTGTTTTCCAAGAAGCTTACAAAACCAACAGCAAACGATCGAAACGTCTTTAAAATGGCGACAGGTGATCCGATTTTTATCATTATAATAATAGATTAGATGGTGTTGCTTGAAAGATTATGTCGTATAAGAAAGTGAAAAAATAAAACTTTTATTTCGCCTTCCATTTACTATTACTACTGCTGAAGAGCGCCATTACTGAGCTTCAATACATCAGTTTACAAATTCTTTAAATTGTATCATTTCATTTATAATTTACTGTCAGTTTGATGTGACTCAACTATTTTATGCATCTCACCTTTAACTACCAACAATTAAGATGTATTTGACGGTACAGACTATTTAAAACTTGTAGATGACCTGTCTGACATAAATTTCACAACATATGAGAAATTATTTACACCAGACATACATGATAATGAGAATTACTGTTTTGAAACATACAGTGAACATTTTATACATAAAAAAATGAGAAAACTTGTACTATACGGCCTATTCATAAATATCACTTGATATTTCTATACATAGGATTTAACAAATACTCTGATAGTATTGTTTCGAAAACATATGCGTTTATCACCAACACGTAAGCATTCACAATACTGAACAGTTCCAAATGACTATAAAACACTTGTCGATTGTTTCTTCTAACTTCCTCACTGATCTCGAATTGGTGTGAGTTCATGATGAAAATTACCATCCGAGTCAGTTGTAAAAAAAATCTTTTAAAAATGAGTAAAATATGATTTGTAAAGTTGAAATAAATTCAATTTCATCACATATCCATATCCTTATTTATGTATATATCTAGCTAACATGCCATTCTTTCTTACTGATTCATTAGTTAATTAACTAGCTAGCTTAAATTATAAGATTTTTATAAGTTTTTTAAATATGCCTATAAAATAATGATTAATAGATTAACGGAACTAATAACAGCTACATATACATTCATCATTATTATATTATAGATACTTTGAAGTAAACACACACACACACACACAGAGAGAGAGACAATGATGACCTTTAACCATATCATATGAGAAAAATAAATTCCAATAAATTAATTCATTAGTAATAATAATATTAATATGAATAATTTAAAAATTTATGAACAAATTGCAGAATTCAAAGTTTATTCTTATACTAAATAGTGTTATAATAACAATCATAATAATATGAATAGTACTAAGTTCAAATAGTTTATTTATTCATTTAAACAAACTCAATAAGACTATGTATGAAAGTCGAATGTGAATTATAAGAATTGAGACTCTTAAGTACACGTGTACGTACGCACTATGCATTATGAAACAAAATTGAAAAGCTCATCGAAATAAAACGTGATTAGTTTGTTTGTTTTTTTTCACTAAAAAATAGATGATTATTTGTTTGTTTATCTGTTTTTTTTAGTCTTAATCTTTAGGATTATGATGAAATTATTGCATTATTTTATTGTGAATGAGTTATGAAAGCGTTAGAGTATCAACTACATTGTGAATAAAATAACAGTCAACAATAGATTCTGTCAGACACGTATATCCTAAACTGAATAACATCAAATATTAAGTGATTGATTATTACGTACAAATATCCGATGTATTACGAGAATGTTTACTAATACTCAAAGTGCTAAAACTATAGACTTATGAAAATTAAATGAAAGGGTAGATAATTGAAAACTAGATATATTATGATTGATACAATGTGATCACTCAGTTTTGCCATAATCCGTTTTTTAACTTAAAAAACCAATCGTTTAGTAAAAATGTTTTTCCTATGTCTTCTCTGACTTTCGAATTTATAGATCTGTTTTTGATTCACAATCTATTTCCCTTTAGTAACGTAAAATGTCAACATTGGAAACTGAAAAGACTGGAATGTATGTATGATCACATTTTAGTACTTTAAACATTTTATGTCGCTCTCTGAAGTCATATAAAAAGATGTCATTAACCAGTACTTACTTATTTATTAACGCCAGTTACCTTTCATGGAGCATAGGCCGCGAACCAGCATTCTCCAACCTACTCGATCCTGAGCCTTCTTTCCCAGTTTTATCCAATTACTGTTCATTCCTTTCACGTCTGATTTCAATTGTTGGTGTATTGTATTTTTTGGTTTTCCTGTTCTCCTTGAGCCTTCAGGATTTCAAATGGAGGCTTGTCTTCTGATCCAGATGAGTGATTTTTTTTTATTTTGTACCCTATCGACCTCCAGCGATTTTTTCAAAAGTTCATCATCCACTGGAATCTGGTTTGTTCTCTCCCACAGTAGATTGTTGCTAATAGTCTCTAGCAAGCGGATCTTCAGCATTCTGCGTAGACAACTGTTAATGAACAGCTGAATATTTTGAATAATGGCAAAACACCTCAAAATCACGCATAGTTCACAATATTCTCAATACAATTCAGATAAACGCGCTGCTAGGCTCTCAGGTATTTTTGTGTAGACTCAAAAACATTGGAGATGCAATAACCTACATGCAAGAGCATATGCTAGCGGAATATGGAACTGTTTATCATTTGGATAGAAATGCTGTATAGTCAGTCACAGTTCAAAAATACTAAAGTATATGGCCTTCTGAGGATCGAAGTCATTAATGATATATTCACTAACAACTATCGCTACATTCGAACTATTGTGGTCTACGTGTATTTATTATTGTGAATTTTGACGAAACATTCAGCTATATTTTATATTACAATATAAACACGTTTCGATTAATAAATCTTCAATAAGATAACAATGTAATCAAACATCGATTGTTGGCAAATCCTTGAATCTCGTTTCAAAGTGAAACTAACTTCAGATAACGAAAAGCAAATATAAATCACTATATCGGTAGGTTTGATAAGTCAGCATTACGAAATCATCATACAAGTATTTCCTTTTTCGTTCAGTCTATTTATTTGCATACAAGTATCAGAAATTATTCTTTATCACAATTATTAGAAGTAAGGTTCATTTGACTTCAGAAAAATCTCTAGCTCAACTTAATCCAAATCATAATCTAAGTAAACTAAGAAATTGCAGTTATATTTTGAAAACTTAACTGCCAAACACAACAAATTATGCATTCAAACTGGACATGATCAGTTTATACAATTTTGTATCCTGTTAAACGAATATTTCCCAACAAATCACAATTAGTAGTGTGCATTTTCTCAGTGTATGGCATTATAACAGCGGTCAAATTAAGACAAATTTTGCATTAAATGCTTTGGATTAACATTCAAATCAATACACAGTAAAAATGCAAAAGAACAGTGCATAAACTCCGAAATCAATTACCTCATAATTACTACGATACTGTTAGTAATGACTAAATAAAAAATCATTGATAAGTTTACTATCAATCACTTAGAATTATAGTATCTTTTTTAGCAACTGAATGCTTAGAAATCTTGAATCGAAAATCATTTTTTATATTTATTGTTCAATCATTAATTACCCTTTTCTTTTCACAAATGAATCTTAGTATCGTTTCGTTGTTCAGCTTCCTAAAGTGAAATTTTGGAAAACAGACATTTTCTCCATAACATATGCTTTGTTTGAGTGAATGTGTCCTATCTTCAAACCAGTGGTAATTCTTCCCATTCTAGAACCTCGACTAGTCTACATAGTTAAACCAAATAAATTTTTTGAGTTTGACCCCACCAGTCAGAATTTACGTGGATAAAGAATCCGACGGGAACCCAACAAGACTTTATAACCCCAGTCGAACCTAATAATCAGCTACGAAAGGAGATCAGCTGACCAAGGAGCATTACAGGCAAATATATAGAGCACTGAACAGGTATGGATTATAAGTGGTGATAATGGTTCGGTCCCAGAATAGACTCGGTACTAAAAACCATAGCTTCTCTAGAGTAAAAGTCTATTATGAATTGACCTATTCAGGAAGAAAATATACTTCCAGTGCAGTAATGAGTTACAGTTTTCAATAGAGCTAGCATATTGTAAAGTTTTTAAATCAACTTGTTCACAGGAAAACAAAACCCCTTTCAAATACAAACCACTATACTAATTAAACGCATAATCCACCCCAACAGTTCAAACTATAAAGCGATATGATGAAACAACACAAAAAATGTCATAGGCGCTGCCATAAAAAAAAACAAAATATCGACAACTTTTTTTTTCTTAAAACAATAAACTTATATTTTCCAATAAAAAAAAAACAAATTCAATCAATAGATGCGAACAAAATGAAAATATCAATCGAAATTATGCATCGAAAAACGAACAAAAACCAAACCAAACAAACAACACAAACAACACAAATTAATTATCAACGGAGTTCATGGAAGAAAAATCTATTCGATTGTAATAGAAAATGATCACAATAATCACAATCATAATAATGTTGATGATGATCATAAAAATAAGTTTCTAATCAATTATGAATTGTTCACACATGTATCTGATTCATTTTTATCATTATCACCAGAAATCTGAAAAGTAAATATTTTTTTTAAAAAGAAAAGAAAACATTTAAGGATAATAAAAATATATAGTAAGAAATGAATTGCATATCTAATTAAGGCAACTTAATACTTACAAATTATTTCAATATTATAATAATTATACAAGATACAGTTGTTCTAACATCATATATTTAAACTGTTAACGTTTAAATATATCAAAATTGAAGCAGTCACTTAAAACGATCGGATTATGAAATTATCACAATATATCATGAGCTGACTGAAGTGTTAAATTTGGCATGTTGTGTTCCACCTGAGTGGTTCTAAAGATAAACTACTCATTGTGAAATAAAAAAAGTCTTAGGTCCAACCACTGATAGGGTTGTTAGTTTTATACTAATGAAGAAAGTCACAGACTGTTCTGTTTTCTGGTTTGTAATAATTGTTCAGTTAATGTCAGTCGGTAATGAAAATCTAGACTGACAAAATATGATAAGTATTTATAAACATGGCAGTTTATACGCATCAATTATCATAAGACAATGTGAGTGTACAAAATGAATAGTTATTCACTAATTCTCGTATTTCAAAACAACGAAAACTGTCACAATAACAGTGGAAAAACAAATGTCAGATTTATAATCAGATCACCCATAAATATTTTGGAAAAATTAAAACCAAGGTATTAAAAACGTTAAATGTAAAAATCAGAGGTTTTAAAATGAAGGGAACTGATGAGCGATTAAGTAATCGAATTGAATGACAAATAATATCAAATCAACATAAATCAGTAACATATAATATGTAATTTACATAAGATTAAATCTAGATATACTAACTTTTTAAGTGTACAAGTTATTATTTACTAACTATATTCGTTAAAACCCAATATCTGTTCATTATGAAACAATTATAAGAAATGCTGTAAAGTGCTTTGTTCAACTGGTTGAACTCAAAATCTAATAGCATTACAAACTATTTCTGATACTTTAATACTAGTCAGACACTAGTCCTTGGTATTACACTATTTGAAAATAATCATTCATCACATGAAGAGCTCTGTCTCATTGGTGTTTCGCACTACTCATAGATAGTGAGACAATTTTTATGACTGTTCTAATCTTACTATATTTGACAACATGTTCCTTTCGTGATATTATTTCCTATTATCTAACTACCAAATGATGACAATGTATTTGAAAACTAATTGTTATTGGAATTCTGTAAAATTCTTTTTATATTTCCTGACCACCTGACTGAAAATATTAATGAGTGTTCACCGAAACGCTACATGTTAAAAAATGAGCATTTTCAGACAAATCAAAAGGATTTCAGGCTAGTTTCTGGGATAAAAGCAATATGAAGGGGGAGGAAGAAGCACAAAGAATATTCATCTCAAGATGTATAAAAATTCCTGGTAAAATACAAAGAATTGGGATCGCACATCAACGAAATCAATAGAAGTATGATTTATTATTCAAAGAAGGGATACATTTCTAAATATTTATGCATTTGTCAGTCATTTGCTTTCAAAAGTATTGAACAGTTAAACATTTTTAGTAGGTAGAAAAGAAACTAACCAGAATATTCTAGCCTAATTTTCTCACTGAATTGGTGTTCATACTAAGTAATAACTGCTATTGAAACACTTAACCGTATTATATAGACTTCAATATAAAATATGTTGAGGTGAGCCCATTCGTTGAGTTTTCTGTCTTCAGTTCTGGATCATTCATGGCTTTCAGAGTATGTACTGGTTAGCTTTAGGAATATATAGTGTGCATGTTATGTTATGTTATCATCACCATGAAACATCTCAACCATCTAAAGCGGTTATCGACTAAATGGGTACATATTACCGCTATATCAACAACAGATTTAGCATCATCCGACAGTAAAATAAGTGTTAAGGTAACTTGACAGTATACATTTCGTAACTATTTTCACTTTTTGAGAAACTATGTGACAATTAACTGGGTTCTCTTGATATTCAGTTCATAAGATAACGTATGCTGATCGCCAAGATTTTGTGTCCAGCTGCGTGTCAATATGTGAATTTTTTTTGGCTTTCTATTCATTTTTTTTATACATAAAACCTGATTAGATGCCTTACGAACAATTTAGAACTAGTTATATATTGATTATCATTATCAGATCCAAAATTTATCTTAAATGATTTAATGTTTTTCCATATGCGCATAAACAAAACTGTATATCTGAGTAAATGACGACGAGGATCACATCTAATTTACGCCTACCGTTTAGATTCGTTTTATGATGATATGAATAGCCATAATTCTAAATACATTTTTGAGTAGAGTTCTACGTTAATTTTGCTTTTATATATTAACCAACACGCTTATTTATCTTTAATGATACCCACCCATTTGATTATCATGAATGACATCAAGCAATTTTAGGAACTGAAGATGATGAGAATTTCAAACTCGCAAAATGCATTATTTAATATGATTGAACTACAACTTCACATATTGCAACAAACACACAGCACAATGAAAGGAAAAAAACTCCAGATGAGAAATAATTATGTAGGGAGAAAAAACAATATATGTACACCGGATGAAGAAAAATACATTTATGTGCAAATGTGATAGAACCTCAAAACATTCAAAAATTACGTGGCAAGTAAGAACTCTAAGTGTAGTGAAATTAAAATTAAAAAAAATAATAAGAGTCACATACTTATTCTAAGATGTTCAAGGTAGCAGTAATTATCGAAAATAATTTTTTAGTTTACATATTTTGAAAGAACGTTATTATTTTGCTATTGACTAACGAATGGAATACAGTACATGTATTTCGTTCCATTTGCAATAGATCATAAAAAGAAAGTTATATTTGTAGAAACCTCAGTTACTGAAATTAAATAACATCAGCATTTCACTTGGCACTCTCTAGTTTGAGCTTCTTCAAGACCAGACTATGGAGTGAGACGTCGAAATTACTTAATTTGCTTAACTAAGACTTCTATAAAGGATAATTCGCATTTACACTCGGTTAGCCAACAACTGTAAAGCCATCTGTTCAAAATTGAACATTTTTTATAAATGAATCAAGAAATTCTCAGTTACGATGTGTTGCCAAGGTAAAGAGTGAGCTTGAAGCCTAACTTCGAGAGTAGAAAACCTAAACAGATGAGGATGATTTTTTATCTAAGTAAAGGTGGACCAATATTATTTTTATTCGCCTGAAGATACAGAAAAACATGGAATAATGTCATCACTAACAACTTATTTGGTTGCTAAAGACAAATTCATTATGTTACTAAACATTTTATTTAGACTAAAAGATTTTTAAGGGCATTTTGGAAGTTTTGACTCCAAACGAACCAGCAATGTCAAATTACATCATTACAACAACTTCATATACACACTTGGTTTAAAGTGGTCAGTCAGACAGCTACAAAGTAGAACTTCGTACGTACGTACATCCATTCACGTTATTACATCACATTGGCACTGAGATCAAATTGCCAACTCAAATCCCATAGTGGTAGAGATGGCAGAAGTATAAGCGGTAAACAAAAAGATTAGTGATCGAAGATATCACTCGAGAAGTGTATCCCAGTGAAATAAATTTAAAGAAGAGAAAAAAGGTCATGAGGAATTTAGAAGATTACGATTTCAGAGAGAAGACAAAGAATGAATGTACCTACTTCATCGCAAACGATTTTGAGTCATGTAATTTCAAGTCTCTAACCATCGGTTACGATTATCTTGCAGACACCGACCTAGTAGTATACACCTATTAACATGGCTCAGTCCACTTGTCAGTGACTTCATGGATTTGTGCCACGTTTTGGTTTAGCTGCCCCTAGCTTTCTTCTAGCCTACCCCTACACCACAAAACATAGCTCGTCGAGGCAGTCGGTGGTTGAGACTTTCTTTGACCCAGCATTGCTTACTCGGTGGTGCCAGGATAAACGAGCAATGCTTTTTGGTTTAAAGTACGTTGCTGTCATAAGTTTTTAAAGCGGTAAATTCATACGAACATATGAACGAAAATGTGAACCACAAATATAAAACTTATAAAACGTGTAGCCAGTAAAATCTCAAAAGATGTAGTGTGATTTGAACCCATAACCCTATAATAGATTCGAATACACACGTCATCCGTAAATTTTCAACTTCTCATCGATTTTACTTATAGTGTGACTTATTTCTTTAGCAACGTTATAAACCGGCTTAAAACATGAGTTTAGAAATACTTGCACTTACGAGAGAAAACGATGGCTTCTTAGCGATTGGTTCGAGTTCGATTTCTGTAATTACTTCTTGTCCATCCAGGCGTTCTTTCATTTGTTCAAGGAAAGTCACTAGTTTTTTCAAGTCCATCCAGTTTATTCGTTTTGACTAAAGCATAAAGTAGAGACAAAACTCAGAATAATAACTAATAATAACTAAACCTTTTATAACTTAATCAAATACACTTATCCTGATCAACCTAACCAGCCTGAGGCTCAGATCAACATACACTTAAAACAAAACAGTTTTCATGGATGACAATTATTCCAAATAAAAGAAAGAATTCGTTTTGAAAGTTAAAGGTTCCAACAAAACACTTATTACCATATAATAAAATTATTCCTAGTTAAAACATTTTCCTGTTTCTGAGAAATAAATTTCTATAACTAACGTGAATTAATAAGGCACAAACCTCTCTCATTTACGCTACGCTTAATTACGTTATCTACAGAGTGACTGTCACAAATATTGAAAATGTTTTTATGCTCTCAATATGAATCTAACTTCTGGACTTGTTTCTCAATAAGATACGTTAGTTTTATAACAATAGTTTAACAAACTTTGCAATTCCGAGCTGTTCCTGGTCAGTAATTGGTCGTCTCATAAAATGAGTTCATTTCAGTGAAGGGATTGACTTTTTTCCGAAATTATTTGGGAAAATGCATGAACTCAAATTTAGAAAGCCTACTGAGATAGAGATATGTTGACAGAAGTCGGAATAATACTTTAGCAATACTGTAAAAATTCTTATATTATATTAAATATTCCAAAAACATCCGCATATACTAACACTAATGATATTCATTCTCGTTAATCAGAAAACTACTTTATTGAATTCTATACGAAATTTCTATACAAATTATTATCGAACCGTTCATACCTTACTGGCAGTTGATAGAGACCACCAAACAAACGAGTAAAAATGTATACCCCGAAAAAATAGTGATGAATCACTAACCATTGACTAATATTTCAAAATTGGATTTGTGAATGATTCATTTTGAGAAATATAGTTTACTGATTTATCGCCAAAATGTAATAAGGCGCATTAATTTTTTAAGTCAATAAACATTATTAAACATGATTTGTTTCTTGTGTTCAGTTTAACTAACGTACACATAGACCTGCACGGTCTAGGTGTTATTATTTATTAGGCTATACTGGTGGCCTTTACAAACTTGACCCTAATACTTCGAATTATGATATGGACCTTATTAGTAGGCTACATGGAATCCAAAAAAGACGAAAACTTTTGGTCCTATCAAATTTAATCAGAAGTACTGAGATTTTAATTCCCCAATAATATTTTACTTTAGTTTATTTTATAAGAAACCATGATTGGTAGTTGTTTTGTACTACTTTTCACACTAGTAACTGTCGTCTTCAATCAAAACTTTGGGGCATAAAGTCGTAATTTTAGATATTTGAAGAAGTGAAACAGGAAATATGTTTGCATTAAAAACTCACCTCTTTAATTTGGTCGTCAACTTTTCGAACATTTTCAAGAATAGAAGTAATACAACGTGCAACTATAGGAAGGCTTACAGCCTTAGCAGTGGAGTAAGCTAATTCATACAGAGAAATAGCTTGTGAAAGGGTATTTTTGATTGTAGCATATGAAACCGTTTGATTTAGGTTACTTCCATATGTAGCAAGCGCAGATAGAAGTGAATTGGCCCGATCAACTGTAGAATGAATTAATGTGATAGCATGTATTGATGCTCTGTGTTGTAATCGCACGAGTCGTTCTGCTGGTGTGGCGTCGCCTCCTGAAGAAAACTTTGGATCCTGTGAAATGAAAAGCATTAGACAATGTGTTTAAATAAGTAATTACTAAAATAACATAAAATCTCAACACATACCAACGATTGTTTCAAAATTTAAAAAACTTACATCTTCTTTTGGAAGATATAGATTGGCACAAGCCTCAGCAATATTTAGTGCACAGTTTGCAGTAGGTAAAATTATTCTTTCATTTGAAGTGTTCTTAATCTGTAAACATGCTGCTTCAGCACGATCCAACACATGCTGACAAGCCATATCATCGATTTTTTGGACGATTCCTGGTAAAAACAAGAATTATTTGGGTTCAAACTAAATGTATAAGAAGATAAAACATTTTCACGAATAACCAACATATTCTGAAATCCGAATATAACTGGCCTTTAGAATTTATGTAAATGAAATGTACGGGCTTACCTGCAAATTTCACTAACTGATAAGCCATAACTATGTGATTCATGTTATTAGAACGTAACACATGTGAATTTTACAGTAAAGAAGTGATATAACGGTTGTTGAAAGAATGGCTCACAAAAGGCAAACCTGTTAAATCCAGCTGTAGTGACTAGAGAATGATACTCTCAAACAGATATGACAAAAAGATACCGCAAAATAGCGTCAAAGAGTCAAAAATTGTCCAATTTGAGTAGACACATATTTATCTTATGTTTCAAGTTGATTGGAATTGAATACATTGAATGCTTCACCCTATAAACCTGGTATTCTTTGTTCTATACATACTATTCTGTATGATTCAGTTTGCAAAGGTAAAGATTGATCAATCAACTTATATTGATTCTTGCAATTTATATTACTGTGAAGCTACAATCTCGTTTTGAATGTATCAACAGAAGGTAATGACAGTACGTGTTCTGGTAGAGAATTAAAGTAATTTACTACTTGCAAGAAACGGAATTCCAGGCACAAACGATTTGACATCGGTTTGGAAACTGTTTTTACAATACCTTTTCAAAAGATAACTCTAGATGGACGGAAAAGGTAGGACTTACTATTACGAAAATCATTGCCCAGTATACGGTAAGCCAGTATCAGATCACCTCGTAACCTAAGGAACGATGACGGGAACAATGTGAGGTGTCCGGTTGTTTTAATAATGGAGGTCAGGGATACATCATCTCGGTTACTTGCTGTCGAATCCATAGTAACATATTCAATTCATAATTGAGACAAGGAGTCGCTGCTTAGAACCTTTATTTCAAATGCGGCCTTTAAAAAGTCAGGTGTAGTACTCCTAACATCTCTTCATTCAGTTAATGACGTGACTTACGAATAGCTGCAAAGGTGCTAAATCCGTGGGTGATACCAGGCTCGAAATTGTCCTCAAATTATTAAAATATTCAAAAATTCCAGGTCGATTGCTTCAACTTATCTAATTCCTAAGACTGGGATAGATTGGCAAGCATTGATTAGTTGGAATCAGTTTTGAAACGTGACTATAGCGAATAAACAATGCCCGGAATACTTATACCTCATGAAGCTAAGTAGTATTGAGCTTCCGATTTCCCGTTATAAGAATAGCTGGAATAAATTCATTTTGTATAAAGCAACCAAGTTTAGGCACAGATAGGTCAGACTGAACATATCACATGTGCATCAACATTAAAAGTGGGATGAAATATATTATACTTTAAGAGATTTAAAATAAACTTAAAATATGATCTTACCACTCTCAACAATTGGTTTAATTACAGAGATAGCTTTATCTTCGGCCGTTTGGACAATGGGACCTACGGACTCTTTTTTCTTGACCCAGTTGTAAACATCTAGTGCAGTTTTGTAGGTGTCACCAACTACAGAATAGCCGCACAAGCGAGTTGCAAACGTAGTCATCACGACTAATACTGACGACCAACCAAGAACTCAAATGTGATCCTTGTCCCCAGATAGTCAAAACAATTAAATAAAACTAACCGTTAAATATCCAATATCTTGTACAAAATACAATAGCACTGTCTTCACGCTAGATATAGTAGGACATACTTTTTCAATTTTATATTCTTACTGAAGAACAGTTAAAGACATGTTAATATTGAAACCGTTAATTTTTATACAATTTACACCGAGTTTCTAAAAAGTTTATTTCCAGTATATATAAATTAAAATATATTAGGAAAATATGAACTTTGGTAATATCTTCATGTTCAGAATAGCTTTTTAATCGAATATCTGGTATAATCCTTAAATACAAATCAAATACATGATATCGTATCAGAATCTAACAATCGTTAACTACAAAATTCTCGCCAGTAGCTACTACCTTCGTGTGATAGTCATTTTTTCCATCTTGATGACTCATACGGGCCATGCTGGTTGTTCCTTTGGGTCCTAACCTGTCAGGTAGGTCGATTGGAGAACGGAGAAGCAGTAACTTAAGGTTTGAGGGCGAAGTCGTACTGTTGGCTGCAAAGGAGTGTAATAGTCGTACGGTGTTTCCTCCGGACAACCAGCATCTGCAGCAATGCTGCCTTCTCACATAGAAGGAAGGGATTAGAAAAGGTCGACCCTGGGTATGTCACACCTCACCCCTACTCTATGGATTACCGTCTCCGGCAGTAAGGCTTTTTGAAAATCAGAGCTAACTTCAGGAGCTTTCCATTAAAAGGATGTGAGTGACTGGCCTTAAGCAGTCTTTCACTGGGCTCTGACATCACACTAACAGGTAAAAATAAAACCAACGCCGACTCACTTTGCTTTACATGTTCACCGAAAGTACCCTTTCATGGTGTGGGCACCAGGGTCGCCCTCACTCTGGACAACACACAAGGTCAACTCTTACACATCCAAATCCTCTCACTTTGACCTCCTAATAACTCTTTTATTTACAAAACTAACCCTTTTTGAGTATCTCTATAACCTCATTCAGCTTATACCGACGACATGTTTTGTGGTTCCTAGTCTCTTCAAACCCTGCTCGAAATTACGTGTTGGAGATTTTTAATGTTCGGACTTTGTGCCAAATAGAAACCAGGTTTCCATAGCTAGGACTCTAGAATCTCGTGCCATAATAGTAAGCTGAGACCTCGGAACATGCATACAGGATTCAAGTAAAATCATTGTTTTGACTTCTTATCATGATAAAGAATCATCGTTATTCTCAGTTGGTGTATCTGCGTCCTTCGCCAGTGATACTCATGGCCTCGTGGTGTATTTATAGTCATAAAACAGAACTAACTATCTTAGACGTTATTTCAGTAGAAATTCATTTGTGTGCTGTCCCACTGAATTGGATAGTGAGAACGCGGAAATGTCGAGACACTCACCGTTACCTCTTAGTTGTCTCTGCCTATGCTCCAACTGGCTGCAGCTCAGATGAGGTTAAAGACGAAGTTTACGGCAAGCTTTTGAACCATCCTGAAAAAGCTAAACAGTGATGTGATAATACTGCTGATGGCTTTGATTCTCAATAGGTGAACTCAGCCAAATTGAAAGATAACTGGGTTGATCTTATGAAAACTTTATAGCACCCAAGAGGAAATATTAGTAAGCCATGTAAGTCATGTCCACCCTGAGTCAGCCTGGGATGATATCCAACAAACAGTAATATCTGCCAGTAAATCAAACAGTAGGGTTGGGGAGGAGTAGTCGATTTTAGTGGCATCTACAGAACTAATAGATGCTGGGAAACTCACCCTACCTAGCTCTGAAAATGATGGGGAGCAGAGTCAGCTGGAGTGCAGGCTGATAAAAAGCTTATGTAACGATCTTGAACATTAGTGGGTCGATAAATCAAAAGAGATGGCCAAGGCAGCGCTGACCGGTAACAGTAGACAACTATTCAGGCCTATGAAAGAAACCAAAATTCAGAATACGACTGTTAGCAAAACTGTCTCGGAGAAGTATGGGACTATCATTCATTCTCAGTCCAAGGGATTGGACCAACAGGCAGAACGTTCAGCCACACTTCGGTTATCCTCGAGCTGCAGTCAACCTGAAAGGCGAATCGGAATAAGTCTTCCCAATCTTGCTGAAGCTTGGGAAGTTATAGGAACTCTAATGCGAGGCTGGGCAGCGAGTCTTGATAGGCTAACTCCTGGGACTTTTAAGGATGGTGGTCCAGTTTTAGTAGTTAATTGACTGAGATATTGGAATTCGGGAACTGGGCATAATCCCATCTGACTGGTCACAGTCACTGAGTGTCCCGGTCTACATCATAGGACAGAAGTCCTCTTGCGACAATCACAGAGAAATCAGTCTAACTTATATAGTATCTAAAATATTGGCCTCAGTAATGCTCCGACGTTTAACCCGAGCTCATGAAGAGCGGATTCGAGAAAATCAAAGTGGCTTCATACCTGAACGTGGATGTACAGACCAAATATTTACATTTTATCAGGTCCTAGAACACAGACACATATTTTGGCGTCCAGTCATAACTGTATTCCCCAACCTCCGCTCTGCGTTTGACTCTGACGATTACTGGTAGAGTTATCGCTTAAGATGAACTGTCATCAGGATTAAAATTAATTGTAATAAAATTTATTTTCAAATAAAAAGTTGGTAAATGCGATACACCAGTTTAAGGGTAAGGTCAAAATGTTAAATATGCTAACTCGTTTACTGTAAAAAGTTGTTCAGCTAGATGGATATTTTACATGATACTCTAGTTTTATGTGGAGGTCTAATATTTTTCACAGAAAATTTTAAATGTTTCAGACTCTGTAATGAACATTACGATCATTGGCACGAGTTATGTCCGTTTCGTTGCGATGGCTGACTGATGACCGAAAATCATTGCAAGCCAGTTCATACTTTATATATCGAAGATTGACAAATTAAATGTATGTTAATTCGAAACGTATCTGACGAAAACAACTGTAAGTCTCCGGGAATACCAAGAAAAATATTAAGTACGTATGACGAACTTCTGTTAAAGTTAAACAAAGAGGACGAACGGAAAGCAGAACCGAAATTATTCGTGATTATAGCTGAGTTATAACTCAGCAGATACTTTTTGGCTAAGTCATGGAAGTGGCGGCTACCTGAATTTTTCTTTTTTCTATTAGACTACCTACTGCACACTTGCATTTAAGCTAATGAAGACAAGTTACTAGTCAGATAGCGAATGGGCAGAGAAGATTCAAAAGAACTAAATTTTTAGAAATTATGTTGGTTTCCAGAATATATTAACGAAGATACTGTGCTTTGATTCACTAGTGATAATGCACTTACCATTTCTTTATTATTTACGAAGTCACGAGTGAACTCTACAGAGTGTTACCCGAATAACAGGAAGACTACGCATATCGGCCCCAAATTTAAATCTGAGCCTACAGCGAATGTTGAAAATTACTGACCTGTATATATCACCTCAGCAGAATCTCGGGTGATGGAGAAAGTAATACAGGAGGTGGTAATACGACACCTATTTAGTAACAGTTCGATTTCACAGCATAGTTACCTGAGATATATAGTTAACTGAACAAGCTTTTACAAAAAATATGTTAGCAATTCTAATACTTTGATCTTGCTTGCAAATTGGCATACCTCTTAAACAATTTTTTTGACTCGAGAACAAATAATAATAATTATTATCATCAGAAGAGATTTGATAAGATCGCAATCACGGATCTCCCTCGTGTATCAACTGTACCTGATGCATGTCGTGAGACCTGCCGGTTGTTATTACCGCCATTTCCTCAGATCACTAACTTAATCTATCTCGTTAATTATCTCTGTTTCCCCTCCCTCGCTTACAATTCGGTCCTCTCTCACAATCCTCACTAACAATTAATAAACTAAATTAAATTTTTATTTACTTAGTTCTGAAATCTTCTTATTAGCATTAGAATTTTCTCCTTATTGTTCTCCACATTGCAACTAACTGATCTGTAGCCTGGCAACGGGATGGCTGCTGGTATCCAAAAACTCTGCTTTCCTTAAAAAACCGTACTCGAACCAAGGGACATTCAAACTCGCTAACAACTCCCAGCTTAACAGAATTAGTTCAGTCAAATGGCTAGACTACCAGACACTAGGCACCAGCAAACACCTGAAGCCGTACCAAAAGACAAAGAAGCGGACGCAAAGAAATAAATTGGTCTATGTCAGCTCGTGGAAAAAATATTGGATACTGTATGTGACTGATTATCTCAATGCATGATGGAGGCTTCGTCAGTCAACTCATTTATAAAAAGTTAGACTGTCTGTTGTATTTTAGTGAAGTATGCCTACCGATCAAACAGTGAACGCATCTCCTCTCTTCAATACCAATTAAAGTCATCGTTATTTGATATTCAGTTTCGTTATTGTTAGTCGTTTGATTAAATTAATAATCAAGGTCGATAACGATGTCTTGTAAGTTATTCAGTTTTCTTTCCAATGGATCAGCTTGGACGGATTGATGAACTTCCCAGTGTGGAAGATGTTTTCAAGTACAGTTATGAAGTGTACCGGAACTACTCACTTGATGTTTTAAAGTACAAAGAGTTTTGTCAGTATGGACTAGCAGAAAGCATTAAAAAAGTTCATGATTGGTGTATACATCTACAATGTTTGAGTGAAACTGATCCATGCTCTCCGATGAATAATACGGAGTTCGAAAAAAGGTATGAGTTTGATACATTGGTAGATGAAAGGTTTATAATCTTGCTGGCGTCTTGATGCCTCAGACGCTTCAGGAGTAGGCCACTATCGTAGTGTCCAATATAACAGTTTTTTCATATTGTGACGGGGTTGTTGTAATTTTTTCCTAATGAAAATGTTATAAAATACACCAGCATTTTATAAGGAATATTAAGGATCTGGATTTTAATTGCTTGTCACAACTTCAAATATTCAAACAAGGATCGAGCGCAAATAAATCATATGGGTCACTAGCTTGTAAAAGATATTGCATATTGACACTGGTAGATATAAAACGGTGACTTTGTCCAAGTTAGTATTTTATTTCGTTAGTTTTCACCGGTTGAGTCATTCGATAGTGATTCATGAGTGGACCATCACGAAAATCATAACCAGTACGATCGTAAATTAACTTTCAGGTTTCTTTAATCGTGTCTACCTCGGCTCGATCATATGAATGAAGTCAAAGCGTCTTCCTTAAAATGCGAATTTACGTTTTTTTGCCGCCATTCGTTTTTGTTCATGATAGTAGGTTGTACTTGTTCAGAAGATCCTTGAATAACATCTCCTAGCCCTAATCTTCCCGGTTACTGCTTATACTTCTACTACCTCTACTACTATAGGACTCGAATTGTCAGTTGCCTCTCTATGCTAATATGGTATAACAACTTGAATGGATGTACGTACGTACGAAGCTTACCTTGTAACTGACTGACCTTTGAGGTGGTGAGTAGAACTTCCCTGGCAGTGGCTATATACACACAGCCTTATGAGCGTTTCGATAGTGAACTGTCCACACTCTTGGCCGTATCAGTACGTTTGGGGGCAACTGACTTTTACAATCAAGATTGCTTACTCCAGTCTTAACTTATGATCATGTTTCTTTAGTTACTTTGATGTGATTCATTAATTACTGGTAAATTTTTCTTCACAGCGTAGTTTTATAAAAATGTCTGTTCTTTGATTTCAAGTAGATCCCTACGTTCCTTAGATGTCTTTACAAAAGTAATTAATTGCACAGTTTCATTCTGCATGATATTTCATTGTTTTAACTTGTCATATACACATAGTAAACATCTTTTCCGAAAATAGAGCCTTTATAATTTGAATAATATTGAATCAATGCCTGCTTTGCTAATGTGAGACTGTAAAAGTTGATAACATGTCAATTTCCCATCATCAATTAAGTTCTTGGATGTCTAATCACTTCATTTCTGTTCTAACAATTGGTGTTTTTGTACATGCCTTAACTGACAAAGTGATTATCATGTTCTCAATGAAAATGTTCATTTATCCTCTTGTTCATACTTTATTGCTGAATAGATCAATCACTCCAGTCACTTCATCATATCATAATATTAGTCTGCCAGTGGAGGAATCATTACCAAACTCATCGATATCGGTTTTTGAGTACATGCAACATATTGGGAATAATATAACCGGGTGTTATGATGACTATATATGTGATAAGCCGTACAACAGTTATCCAAATCATTGTATTTTGGGCGTTGTTTGTTTCACTTTATGCTTATGTGGAATTATAAGCAACATAGTTCTTTTCCCAGCTTATAACTTTGGATTAAATCGTTCTGGAGCTACTGTTTATTTGAGTGCAATGGCAATATTTGATTGTGTCTTCATGGGAGTATCATTATTAATTAGTGTTGTTCATTACCTACCATCATCATTTGCTGAACAAATGGAAATGTATGGACAATTTTCTGGTTACTTGATTCCATATGGTCTGCCTGTCACACAGATATGTGAATTGTTAGTTGTAAGTTATAGTTAATTCATTATGCTCTGATTTTCATTATAAATGTAATTCAGTAGCTAAGCATACACGCACAGTAGGTTTGAACCGCACATGTTAGATGACAGTTTAAGAACGCTATTCAGCTATTCACCTTGAATGCCTAATATTCTAAGTAATAAATTCTAGCTTCGAGCATACAACGTTTGGTGGTTAACGGAAAACCAACTAATTAAAGTAAATCCACCCGTCATCTGTTTATAAAATACAGTGTTCGCATCATAATAAATTTTACACTTCTCACTGATAAGTTAGTTAGTGGATAAGGTAAACCTCTAGCGGTTGTAGAGAAACCAGCCATTCTGAGATGCTATAAAGAAATTTTTTGTTGAACAAAATTCTGTAAGAATAATGTCAAAGTAAGAATACAAGAGTAACTAAGTCCATTAGATTTACTAACTAAAACTGATAATATGCGGAATACATGACGATTTATTTGTAAGTGATAAATGCTCTGTAGGTAATCTTTATGATCGTTGACACGATTACGCAACGATAGAGAACAGTAGTGCTGAGCGAAAGCAAACAGGATGAGGAAAGCAGTGTCTCTAAACAAAAGTAATGAAACGGGCTGGAAATGCAGCTGGTAACGAAATATTGAAAAAGATGAATATATGACTGAATCTTAGATCAAGGAACTGAGAAACAATCCCACTACCATGATCTTACCACCCAGGTATCCGCTACTACCTAACAGCCATAAGATAAAACTCTTAGGCTGTGAGAAATAATACAAATATTGTGATAAACACACGGGAACCATATGTCTGAAACAGTATCTATGATAATTAACAGACGCTTGGAGAAAACAAAATACTTCAGAATAACGGGCTAGATAGATGCACAGACCAAACGTTCGCTTCTGGGCAGATTTCGGGACATGTATACTGACGTTCAACTGTAGTTGTCCTTTTTAACCTCAAAGTTGCATTTTATTCCGTTCGTTAACAGATTCGATAGAAGCATCTGTTACTGTAGTGTCTAGAAAACGTAAATGAAGCTGCTGAAGGTTCCTTCAGTTGAAAACTATTTAAAGAATCCGAGGTTTTAGCAAACTGTCATCCTAATTATTAGTAACGTCAACTGGTGTTCATAAAAGCTATCCATTTTGTCACTCAGAAATACGTTTAAAGGTAACACTATTCATGGGAAATCTTAGGGCTTAATCTCCTTTCAGAAGATTCACTTAGATTGGGGACTTAATGTACGTTTAAAACAACAAACTAACTACAAGATAATCTTGTTTAATTGTGTATAGTCACTATCTTTAGTATTGAAAATAGTTATAGCTATTGGTTTAAAAATGGTTCACATCAGTATTTGAGGCAAAGTCATTCCGAATTACAGATCAGTTAACCATTGATTCTTTCTAGCTGAGCTATTAATTAATAGTAATAATAGCAGTAGCTGTATATACTACGATAAGTTTTGTTATCGTAAAAAGTTAGCATCATTTGTGCAATGTATAATCAAATCAAAAGTAATAATGAACACCTGTTTGTGCTGCTTTTAGCTCCACTCAAAATACAAGTTAGTTGTAGTGAACGCATTCCGACATGCTCTCTACAAAGTTCCTATATTCGACGAGACATCTGATAATTTTGGTCATCCTCCAAAATCTGTGTTGAGTTTCATCAAGTGGTAATACCAAGCGGACAATATTTCTAGTAATTCCTACTTTTTTAAACCTTATTTTAGGTTTGGTTAACCATAGCCCTACTAATCAACCGACTGCTTTATCTGAATTTGGGCCCACACTCCAAATCGTTATGTTCACAACTTGAATCTGTGAAAATTGTAATAGTAGTGTTTTTCCTGTGTGTTGCATATATGGGATGCAAATTTTTTGAGTATACTTATTTGGAATATCCAGAAAAAATGGTTGTACGTGTTTTACTTACCCAACTTGGCAAAACGGAGATGTTTCGGTAAATAAATTGTAATAATCCTTTCATCTATTAGGTCTAAGGCAAATTTCTCTTCAGATCTTTTTACGTAGCATAATTCTTTGATTTGCCACATGGATATTTTTAATATTATAAGTCTCCATATTGTGATAATGTATCTTCAAAAATATATATTTCATAAATCTGCGTAAAATATTTTGTAGGTAGTAGAGGGGACTGATTCCCTGAATTTGGCGTCAGTAGTGATGACACATAATTTTTGCTTTCGCAGTAAATACATTCAGTAAATTAGGGCGTAAATATGCTCTAATTGGCTTGTTATTGTGATGCACTTAGTTAATTACGAACAGAGATCCAAGCAAAAGTTGGAAAACTACTTAGATTAATCGATATAAAATAGTATATTAGTAAAGGTACCTTTGTTTTATTACATGATAAACTGCTTAGTACAATAGCATATTAAGAAATGTCTCAAACAAAGTGAGATAGCTATTATGCGATGCATTAGGAAAAAGTAGAAAGTTTAACAAATATATTCATCAAAACACTTTGTCAGGATGTAATTGAAATACAGCATTTTGTTGTTGATGAAGACCGCAACAAAAAAACGTCGAAACTAGTTAAATAAACATATACTATACAAGTCATACACAATTAGATTTTCGCTAACTAATCACATTTTTTTATTGATTTTAAAAAGGGATTTGATGGATAACTGGTTAAAAGTTCCACTTGAAATGTTTTTACCATATTTGGCTTGTGGATTGTTAATAACTAATATCGTCTTAAAAATGGTCAATTTACATACATCAAAGTGGAAGGCTGTAGCTAGTTTATGCAATGAAACTGCTTGTGCATGTGTTTGTCGAACAGGTGTGTGTGGTAACGAATGTCGCGAAGGTGTAAAACCAGACGATCTATCTAAATCTTGGTCATCTGATTTCAATAACCAAGGAAAATCTGGAAAAGTACCAACTACAAAACAGCCCACTCCTGACAAGAATGATACTCCTCAAAAATCATTAACTAGTACCAATCATAATGACAAATTTTCTAACTTGGATTCAATTGAACAAGAATTAGCCTATTTATTCTTTCAATTGCCTCAATTAGACGAAACACGCGAAAATGCTAATGTTATAACAGCAGTTTGTATTGGACTCATTTTATTAATTTGTAAAATTCCAAAATTTCTTCTACATGTAATTTCAACTGAGAATTATATCACTTATGATTCAGAAGTATTTAGAATGATCGATCACTTATTAGATACAATGTTTGCTGCATGTAAACCATTAATCTGTATACTAGTCGGAGCACATTATCGACAAGTTTTAACAATACCATCAACATGTTGTTCATCCAATGATACTAATATCAATACTGTTACAACTACAACTACTGTTACCAACATCAGAGGTGATACATTAAACATTAAAGACAATAATAATAATAATAATAATAACAATGAAGTATCATCAATGAATAAGAAGGAAGTAGACAGCAATCAGAATGAGATTATTTAATATTGACAATGATGCATCCAAGTAATATTAACAGCTCATTCTAATCATAAAATAATCTCATGCATTATATGAACAAGGAATTTTTATTTTATTTCATTGATTTATTTTATTACAATCAACTAAATGATATTTCTTTGTTGATGTTAATTGATTATTCATACTCTTCATTTATTTTAGCATTGATTCATGTGTGAATTGAATCAGGTAATTTGCCAGAAGTCATTTAGTCATATTTCTTTTTGTCGTTGTTGCCATATTACTACTAATCAATGTAGTCAGCGTAGATTTATTGTTTTTTTTCTTCCTCTATTGACTTGTTATTTACATTCTGATTTTTTTTTCAATGTACTACTTTATTTCGTGGTTTTTAGAAAGATATCTGTGCTTTTACTATCTTGTTAATTTCGATTTATTATTATGGGTTTTCTTTCCACGGTTCTACGTTTAAAAAAAATAGAAGACCACTTTCTTCTCCTTTAAAGCTAAGGATTTTAAGTTCGTAATATCGTATCTACCAAAGTTCTTGGATACAGGTAGAACTAATGACCTAACTGTCTGTGTAACTAATGTACCAAAGTCGATTTGTATATATAACACCTTCAAACAACAATTTACAGGGATGACTAGGATAAATTTATCCGATTTTTCCGTCAATTCATGTTCCGAAAAATTCGCATTTTGTTAATCGCGGTGAATGTATATTTAACTTATCCTAGCCTCTGTAGAATATTGAGGTAAGCGAAAATTCTGTACAAACCAGCGCATTTTACAGAGGTTTCAGCTCATGAACTGATATACATTTTGAAAAAAAATTAAAGGCCGTCTATTTGATAGACTAACTTGGAGCTTAATATATGAGTACTTTGAATAAAACAAAAGCCCACATTCGGTAAGACTAAATAAACGTTTTGATTTAGGTTGGTATTTCGTTGATAATCACTTCAAAAGGACTGATAAGACTTCCAAGTCATAGAATCATCCCAAACTGTCAAACAATACAAAGATGTACATTATCCGTAAAGCGTAACTTTTCATTTCAGGAATAGGGAAAACATTCGAACGTTTTGTTTTCTTTAGAGAACCTTACGTTTCACAGATCAACTTACTTTGTTACTTACGCCTGTTACCCCCAATGGAGCATAGGCCGCTCACCAGTTTTCTCCAACCAACTCTGTCCTGGGCTTCCCTCTCCAGTTCTGTCCAATGTTTGTTCATTCCTCTCATATCTTTCTCTATTTCTCAGCGTAATGTGTTCCTTGGCCTTCCTCTTTTCTTTTTGCCTTGAGGGTTCCATGTGAGGGCTTGTCTCGTGACGCAGTTAGGTGCTCTTCGTAGTGTGTGTCCTATCCACTTCCACCGCTTCTTCCTGATTTCCTCTTCCACTGCAATCTGACTTGTTCTCTCCCACAGTTCGTTGTTGCTGATGGTGTCTGGCCAACGAATACGAAGTATTTTGCATAGACAACTGTTAATAAATACTTGTATCTTCTGGATGATGCCTTTCGTAGTTCTCCATGTTTCCGCTCCATACAGTAGAACTGTCTTGACATTTGTATTGAAAATCCTGATTTTGGTTATGGTCGAAAGTTGTTTGGAGTTCCAGATATTTTTCAACTGTAGAAATGCAGCCCTCGCTTTGCCAATACGCGCCCTCAAATCTGCATCCGATCCACCTTTCTCGTCGATGATGCTGCCCAGATATGTAAAGCTGTTAACGTCCTCGAAAGCATCTCCATGAAGAGTGATTTGGTTGGTGCATGTTGTGTTGCATCGGAGAATTTTGCTTTTTCCTTTATGTATTGTGAGACCTACTGCTGCTACACTGGTCGTCTTCTCTTGCATTTGTTGTTGAGTGTGCGATAGAAGAGCCAGGTCATCTGCGAAGTCCAGTTCGTCAATCTGCGTCCTAACTGTCCAGTTGATACCGTGCTTCCCTCCAGATGTTGACGTTTTCATAATCCAGTCGATGACCAGGAGAAAGAGAAAGGGTGAGAGTAAGCAACAATGCCTCACACCGGTCTTCACCTCAAACGAGTTTGTCAGCTGACCTCCGTGCACGATTTTGCAGTTGAATCCATCATAAGAATTCCGTATGATGTTAACTATTTTCTCAGGCACACCGTAGTGTCGAAGAAGCCTCCACAGTGTTTTCCTATCCACGCTATCAAATGCTTTCTCGTAGTCGATGTAGAGTGGTGAGTTCCATTCAATTGATTGTTCCACAATGATCCGTAATGTAGCAATTTGGTCAGTACACGATCGATGCTTACGAAATCCAGCCTGTTGATCTCGAAGTTGGGCGTCTACGAAGTCCTTCATTCTGTTTAACAATACCCTGTTAAAGACTTTGCCTGGTATTGAAAGAAGAGTGATGCCTCTGTCGTTCTCACACTTGCTCAGGTCGCCTTTCTTTGGTATTTTGATGAGGTATCCTTCTTTCCAATCTGATGGTACTTGTTCCTCATCTCAAATCTTCTTGAAGAGGATGTGAAATATTTTCGCAGTTGCTTCTACATCTGCTTTCATTGCCTCTGCTGGAATGTTGTCTGGTCCTGCTGCTTTGCCGCTCTTGATTTGTCTGATGGCTATACTGATCTCCTCAATCGTAGGTGCGCCAATATTAATTGGGAGGTCCTTGGATGCTGCCTCGATGTTGGATGGATTCAGTGGAGCTGGTCGATTCAAAAGTTCCTTAAAGTGCTCTACCCACCTATTTCGCTGTTCGTCAGTGTTGCTGATTATTTTCCCTTCCTTGCTTTTCACTGGTCGTTCTGGTTTACGATAGTTCCCGGCGAGCTTTGTTGTTGTTTCGTACAATCGTCTCAAGTTTCCTTCTCTTGCAGTCTTTTCCGCCGTCATTGCTAGATCTTCCACGTATTATCGTTTGTCAGCTCTGATGCTCTTCTTCACTTCCCTGTTTGCTTCTGTGTATGCAGCTTGTGCGGTAACTTTCTCTGCTCTTGTTCGGCTGACATTGATTGCTGCTTTCTTGTTCCTCCTTTCTTGAATTTTTTCAAGAGTACCAACAGAGATCCATTCCTTGTGATGGTGCTTCTTGCGACCAAGGACCTCCTGACATGTTGAAGTGATTGCCTCCTTAATCCCTTTCCAATTGTTCTCCAATGTTGCTTCCTCTCCATTGAGTAGATCCTGAAAGGCCTGGAACCTATTGGTGAGGGCTATCCTGAATTCGTTGAGCTTTACAGTATCCCGAAGTAATGCCGTATTAAACTTCTGTGATGTTGTCTGCCTCGTTGTCCAGTGCTTCTTTAGTTTCAGTTTCATTTTGGCGATTAGCAAATGGTGATCTGAGGCTATATCAGCTCCTCTCTTGGTTCTCACATCCTCCATGGTCCTTCTGAACTTTTTGTTGATACAGATATGATCAATCTGGTTTTGAGTAGTGTGATCCGGTGAAATCCATGTAGCTTTGTGTATGCGTTTGTGCGGGAATATTGTGCCACCGATGACCAGTTTGTTGAAGGCACATAGGTTTGCAAATCTCTGACCATTTTCGTTTCTTTCTCCCAGTCCATGTCGTCCTATGATGTTCTCATATCCAGTGTTGTCCATTCCAACCTTGGCATTCAGGTCTCCCATAAGAATCGTCAAATCCTTTGGTGAGCATCTGTCGACGATTGACTGCAGCCTTTCGTAGAATTGATCTTTATCGTCGTCATTGGTAGGTGCATAACATTGGATGACGTTCATTGTAATGTCCTGTTTCTTTGTTTTGTAGGATGCTTTGATGATCCTAGGTCCATGAGATTCCCATCCTATCAGTGCCTTTTACGCATGTTTGGACAGCATCAGTGCAACTCCTTGTGTATGTGAAGCGTTTTCCTCTTCATGACCAGAGTATAACAGCAGTTCCCCTGAAGCAAGTCTCAGTTGTCCTACCTGTTTCCAATGCGTTTCACTGATGCCGAGCACCTCGAGGTTGTATCTTTTCATTTCTGCAGCAACTTGAAATAGTCTTCCACTCTCCCACAATGTACGAACGTTCCATGTACCTAAAAAAATGGTTGCTCTGGTTGTCAGAAGAGGCATCGGCCCCGTGACTTCCGAGGAAACTCGGCTTTCATCACGAGACGTCATAATTCTTCTTCCAACTCCCAGGGCAGAGTTAAAATGGTTTGAATTATTTTTTCTGGTTAGCGTTTTTTTGGCAAGTGAGATTTCAACGGAATGGGGTCGCCAACCCCATGTCCAACCCTCCTCATTTATCCGGGCTTGGGACCGGCAGTAGCCCCTAAGGTTCTACTGGCGGATCAACGCTTACCAAGATTTTATCTACCTTTTCCAGTCCGATCACAAAATTTCTAATTAAAAGGCAAAGTGATCAAACATTCGGTTACTGCATCAAAAGCAATAGATGAAATACTAATATTCCTCAAGATTTGAACAAACACACTGACTAAGACTGGGCGCCGACTATACAGCACATATTTGTGAAAATTATACTCTAAGTATCAGCAACTGAGGATTCAATAATTTGAACGTTTCGTTCAGCAAATTTGTCTGAACTTCTTCAGGGTAATAATGAAAATCATAGAATACGTAACGTTTGGAAATCAAATCTACATTAAGTGCTTATTTAATCATATTCAGATGTAGACTTATGTAAGTAGGATAGCATGAGTTAATAAGATGTGAAAGGTACACAATGTGAATAAGAATGAATGTGTGTAACTTTATGTTAGTATTAGTTGATATTTGGTTAATGAACGTTAATCGTTTTCTCATTAAAAAATAAAACTGCGAATTGAAAATGCTTTTAAAACGTCTACGTATACACAAAGTGAGCACCATAAAATATATGGTTGCGGTGTTAAAACATTTAATTAATTTCTGTTAAAAAAAAGTCTGCGTATGAAATTAACAGGATCGACTTCTTGAACAAATTGATTTCAAACTTAACACCGTCTCTTTTTCAACCGAACAATCGAGAAACTCTAGTTTGCGGCCAATGGATTCTATTTTCTTGGTTAGCTAAATGTTATTCATTAGGTTGTTTACGTTTCAATTATTTCTTCTAAGCCATTTCGTTTGATGATGACGAAAATATTTGAACACCTGGCAGTAGTATCCCAACCCACACAAATTCAATTGTGTTTAAACAAATAAACACATTTTTTATAGGATTAGAGTATCCTAGTTGAGTATTTCATTAGTTTATTTGTCGGTGAATTTGTAAGATCAACCACTGGTCTCAGTGGTGTATCACTTTTGTGAATGGATCTTTGGTAGTCCATAGAATCTACGAGGATTACTATTTCAGTCAGTCAACAACAACATAGAACATTGTACGTACGTACATCAGTTCAAGTTGCCATACCACATTAGCAATTGTCACTTCAAATCCCTAGTATTAAAAGTAGTAGAAGTATTCAAGAAGTAAAGTCTAGTGAAATAAACTTCGATCCAGATTTTATTCTAATCGACTGTAAAGCTGCTCGTCTGAGCCTTAAGTTTGTTAAGTATAGTCCTTCATCTAATATATTTAATTCATCTGTATGGTGTTCTCTGATCTTTAGCTTACAGTCTAATTTATTCACAATAACAACCGGGTCGTATTGATAATTGTCTTATTGTTTTGTAAATTTTAATGCATATAACTCATCTTTAGTGAGTTTAGAAACTACACATTTCTAATTAAAAGTAAAAAATTATGACATGAAATTCAGTAATAGAAAGTCGATTATCTAAATCAGTGTGAAAAGTGAATGCAATTAGGTATCTGCAGTTGATGACTTATTTCCTGATTAGAAATATAACATTGTTGGCTTGATAACCGTCCTGCTGACGACTTCCAGGATACAAAACTAGGAATATTAATAACTTGAGATTCCCTTAACGTTCCTAAACATTGTTGAGGATAAATGAAGTCTTTACTTAATTCTTATTAAGACCACTTCCTATAATATTTCCACTATTATTGTTAATTTTACCAAAACAAATTCTAAGCACCTAAAGTTGTGAAAAATGAAATAGAATGTAACTGGGATCCGTTTCTCATATATTTGGGATTATGTGATTAACTCACTGGTTAGAAGACATACATCCAGTTTCGTCACTGAATTCAACGAAACTCAAAATTAGTACTTTTCATGCAGCTATAATTTTCCCTGAATTGACTCAGGAAATAAAATATATAATATTTTACGATGTATTTTTTACATATCAACTATTCCGCCTAGTACATATTCTCATTCCTTCACCAATAGATTTCATCATACCTATCATATGAGCCTTACATGAACAATGAATATACCAGGTAATATATATGGGGGATGTACATGATGTCTCTAATATAAAGCTAAAATCGACCAATAATAATGATGAAAAACAGTTAAACAGAAAATAATGCCATATGTAATCTGTACATTATCACAAACGCCAATAAACAAGTGAATAATTAGTACAATCATGATAGCAAAAATACTATTTAAAAAAAAATACTGTACAGTTCAAACAATGTATTTTTTTTACATTTAAGCAACACTATAACAACCTAAATTACTTTGATATATACGACTGTCAGATTCCAATTGATTCAATAAATGTTTTAGTGCATTTGAGGTTATTCGTGTTAATTGTAAATTATCAGGATACGACCTCTGTCGAATACTATGCAGTATACTATGAAACGATATCTCTTTATTATTGGCTAAAAATAGAATAATATTTAGGAAAAAAGCAGACTTTTAATAGAAATATGAGCTTACATTGTTAAGAAATAATGCATTAATCACTAGTTGTTGAATAATGTCTTGTGTTTCCCTAAAAATATCATCCAAACTTATACATAAACACGTAGACATTGGTAAAAAGAGGTACCTAAATATTTACGCCAAACACAAATAATTTGATTTGTGAGTGGACGGGGATGCTACCCGGACGCCCAAACCGAAACACGTAGCTCTGTTTGGGAGCCAAACTTCGAGCCTTTGACCAAAACGGTTTGAAGTAACATCAGGAGATGCAGTCCCGTGGGAGCCGGTGACTAGCAATTGGTTCATTCACCATTAGTTCCATCATGGCCTTGGAGTCCATGTGCACCGTGGTTGTGGAATCAGGGTTTCCCCACTTCCCTAGATGGATCCTCTGTACCCACCAACCCGGTTTAAGTCCAACTGGATAATCGCTTTCCATCCTCTCGATTTCTTAAACAGCACTTTGCCACGAGATGGTGAGTAGGACTTCCCTGGCGGTGGCTATATACACGCAGCCTTATGAGTATTTTAAGAGGGCGGACTTTCCCCATTCTCGACCGTACCAGGGTCATCTAACCTACTTTATATATATTCATATCTGTTGCGAACAATCTCATATGAGAATGGGATTCAAACCGAACGCTGCATACTCAGTCAGCCAGTCAGTTACAACGTAGAACTTTGTATGTAAGTACATCAGTTCAGGTTGCCATACCACATTAGCACAGACGCAATTGTCAATTCAAATCTCATAGTAGTAGAGATAGTAGAAGTATTACTGGTAATGGAGAAGATTAGGATTTGAAGATATTATTCAAGAAGTATAATTCAGTGAGATAAGTTTAGAAAGACAAAGGTAGAGGTGTTGACGAATCCAGAAGATTAGGATTTGAGAGAACACAAAGAGTGGATGCACCTGTGCCATTGCAAACGATTTTGAGCCATGTCATTCAAGGTCTCTAACCATTGAGACTTTCGTCTCAGGGACCTCAACCAGATAGTCTACATGCACCGACATAATTCAGTCCACTTGTCAGTGACTTCATGGATTTCTGCCATGTTTTGCATTGGCCGTTTTCTTCCAAGCTAATACTACATCAAAAAACATTGCTCGTCGAGGTAGTCGGCTGTTGGGCATTCGTAACACACGTCCCAACCACCTCAACTGATGAAGTTTCAATACTTCATCTATTGATTTGACATCCCTACCTTGTACGCATTTCCTAACGACAGCATTGCCTACTCGGTTGTCCCACGACACACAAAAACGCTGCATACTGCTACATATATGTAAGGCTTAATTTCATATCATGTTTATATTCCATCAAAAAATCGACATTTAGACTTAGGGTTATTTTCAGAAACGGAATAGGATATCAGTAATGTATTTTTCTTTCATTGCTGAAGAAAAAATTGTTACCTGATAAAAATAAGTGCACTTTGTGGTAATAGGTTTCTTTATGATTGAGTTGCCTGTAACACTTAAGCAAACTGAAGTGGTGGAGGCAGTTGAATTAAAACGTGAGTCGAAAAATATTCCTTATCAAGATAATAGACGAAAAATGGTAGATATCAAATTTAGTTATTTTCATCGATCACACGCCAAAGGAGTTAGGTGATTTAAACCGTAACATTAGAGATTCACTGTCTGGAGTTTTAAAAACTTATAAGAAATACTTTTAAGCAGGCTTGGAACAAATAATAAAACAGTTATCTTATACGTTGCAGAAAATTGAGCGCAGAATGAAAGAAAATGATGTGATTTACAACAAGTATACGTAACAATATAACCTCGATTGTAACGAATAGTGCAAGTTATTCAGAAGTTGAATTATGCAACTAAAGACCTCATTCATGTTGAAATATTTGAGAGTCATTTTTTATAGACGCCAACAATGATCACCCTAGTTAGGCAATGTTTCAATTATGTTCAACGATCTAATTAACTGACGATTAATAACATAAAAGTTGAAATGCACACAGAAATTACCTTCAGAAGAAATTATTCCATAAACAACATCGAGTAATTTCTGATTCTCTTGAACAACCTAAAAATTTAATGGATTTGTAAATGAAGAAAAATTTTATTTACGCTATACAAATCAGTAGTAGTTTATGAACATTATAACACTAAAAGCCTAAGCTAGTGAAACAATTCTCGACAAAATAAGAAATATTGCGACAATCTGTTTATAATCTAGTTAACTCGTTCATATTCAAGAGATAGTAAATTTCTTTTTAACAATTACCAGTCACTATTTACCTTTATTCATTCACAAACCTTTGTGAATAAGTAAAGGTAAATAGTGACCAGTAATTGTTAAAAAAATAACCAGGAGGCTCGCTTATTGACCTAGAATATGCCGATGACATAGTTCTATTTGGTGAAGACGCTGACAAAATGCAGAGTCTTCTGACTGCCATAAGCAACAATGCATGCATGTTCGGGATGTAGTTCTCCCCCTCGAAATGCAAAATGTTGCTTCAAAACTGGGTTTCATCGGCACCTGAACTAGTGATAGAGAGTGAAGTAGTCGAACGTGTAGACCGCTTCACTTATCTTGGGAGTCTCATCAGTGCTGATGGCCTGGTGATTGACGAAATCTCACACGGATACAGAAGGCTCGATTGGCTTTTGCCAACCTGCGTCACTTATGGCGTAGGCGAGATATCCGCTTGCTAACCAAAGGACGAGTGTACAGTTAAGCAGTTCGCTCCGCCCTACTGTATGGATGCGAAACTTGGCCGTTATGAGTAGAGGACATTCGTACGTTACTAGTCTTCGTTAATCGATGTCTCAGAAACATTGCACATGTATCCTGGGACAACCGTATAAGCAGTGCTGTCGTTAGGAAACGAGTTCTACATAGGGATGGCAAATCAATAGATGAAGTTGTGAAACTTCATCAGTTGAGGTGGTTGGGACATCTGCTACGTATGGCTAACCACCGACTGCCTCGACAAGCTATGTTTTGTGGTGTAGTAGTAGGTTGGAAGAGAGCTAGGGGCGACCAGACCAAAACATGGCAGAAATCCATGAAGCCACTGACAAGTGGACTGAGTCATGTTGGTAGATGTAGGCTACCTGGTTGGGGTCTGCGAGACGAAAGTCTCAATGGTTAGAGACCTTGAACGACATGGCTCAGAATCGTTTGCGATTCCGCAGGTGCATCCACTCTTTGTGTGCTTTTTAATTCTAACCTTCTGAACTCCTCATAATCTCTATCTTTCTCCTAAATTTATCTCACTGAATTATACTTTTCGAATCATATCTTTGCTCCCTAATCTTCTCCATTACTGCTAATAATTCTACTATCGCTATCACTCTTGGGTTCGAACTGACAGTTACGTCTCTGTGCTGACGTGATATGGCAACGTGAACTGATGTACTTATGTACGAAGTTCTGCGTTGTATCTGTCTGTCTAGTCGAAATGATATAAAGAGTGAAAATTAATAAAAAATAAAATACTACCCTCAAATATCATTCCTAATGATGTACCAATAAAAATATATTGTTTGCTGAAATGGCAGTTACAACCATTCGAAACAGTTTACAAATTCAATAATAACTTACATGATAAGTTTGCATTCCGCCAATAGATTGAGTAGCTGGAAAAATCCAACCTTCAATAACTAATCGTTCAATTAAATTCGCGACTATAAGTTGTAACTTCTTAGGATTAAGTATTTTGCTTTCAGATGTGCTTTTCTGCTCTCCTTCTTCATCTACTTCAATAAAACTTTGTCGAAGATAGTCTGTTTCAGTTTCATCATATGCCTTGGATTATAAATACGATTAAAAAAGGAGGCGTGAAAAATGCAATCCAACGACAGAAAAGAATCGAAGGGAAATAATGAAGAGGTAATTAATTAATTAATTAATACATACGTATAGATAACAGAGAATAGTTTCATGAACTTGCTATTGAATACAACTGGATGTTTTGGTTGTGAAGCTTTCATTGTTCTTCTGACCAACATCATCAGCATAAACTTCAGATATTATGGTCTCAGGACATGCAGTAAAGCCATATAAAATTACAAATCTGTCTTGTCTCGCGGACCCCAACCAGGTAGTCTACGCCTAATCAGGTGGTTCAGTCCAGTTGTCAGTGGCTTCATGGGTTTATGCTTTGTTTTGGTTTTGCTGCCTGTAGCTTTCTTCCAAACTAACATACATAAGAAAATATTTTTTGTCAGGATAGTCGGTGGTTAGGTATCAGTAACACATGTCCCAACCACCTCAACTGATGAAGATTCACTACTTTATCAATTGATTTGCCATTATTACTTGGTCCACTTTTCCGAACGCAAGGTTTGCTTACTCGATGATCTTAGGATATACGAGCAATCCTTTGAAGACACCGTTAATTGAATACTAGCGATTCCCATCCGGAAGCAGGATGGAATGATATCAAAAAGGCTGTGGAAACAGCAGTGATATCTGCTAGTAAGGTTGACCATAAGGCTAGAATGAAACCGTGGATCTCAGTAGCATCCACCGATCTGATGGATGCCCGAAAACTCATCCCACCTGGCTCTGAACATGATGAAGAACGAAGTCAACTTAGGCGCAGACTTATAAAAAGCCTACGTAACGATCGCGAACAGTGGTGGGTGGCGAAAGCAAAAGCGATGGAAAAGGCAGCGGCGATCGGCAACAGTAGACAACTTTTCCGACTTATCAAGGAAACTGGTGTTAGGAATCCTAGTGTAAGTGAGACTATCTCAGAAAATGACGGGACCATTATTTATTCTCAATCCAGGAGACTGGATCGATGGGCAGAACACTTTAGGGATCAGTTCAACTGGCCTCGAGCCACTCTTCAGTTACCCACGATCTGCAGTCATCCTGAATGGCAAATCGATGTAAGTGCCCCTAGTCTTCATGAAATTGAGAAAGCGTTAGGAAATCTGAAGCGAGGGCGAGCTGCAGGTCCTGATAGACTGACACCTGAGATATTTAAGGATGGTGGTCCAGTTTTAGCAGCTAGATTGACCGAGATCTTAGGTAGAATCTGGGAGCTGGACGTAATCCCATCCGACTGGTCTCAATCACTGATTGTCCCAATCTATAAGAAAGGACAGAAGTCTTCTTGTGACAATCACAGAGGAATAAGTCTAACTAATATAGTATCTAAAATATTGGCCTCAATAATACTTCGACGCTTAACGAAAGCTCGTGAAGAGCAGACTCGAGAAAACCAGGCTGGTTTTCGACCTGGACGTGGCTGTATAGACCACATTTTCACACTGCGACAGGTCCTGGAACACAGACACACATTTAGGCGTCCTACAATAGTTGTTTTCCTGGACCTTAAGGCGGCATTTGACTCAGTAGATCGTGAGGTTCTGTGGCAGTGTCTGTCATTGAAAGGTGTACCAAATAAGTACATTAACCTCATACAAGCTCTCTACTCAAACACCACTGGTCGAGTGAGAGCTTATGGCGAACTGTCACCGGAATTCTCTACATCAAGTGGTGTCCGTCAGGGATGTCCACTTTCTCCATTCTTGTTTAATTTTATCATAGACATGCTCCTAGAAATAACCTTATCCTCGTCTGAATTTTCTGGAGTAGACCTTTTACCAGGTGGCTCGCTTATTGACTTAGAATATGCCGATGACATTGTCCTACTTGGTGAAGACGCTGACAAAATGCAGAGTCTTCTGACTACCCTAAGCAACAATGCAAGCATGTTCGGGATGCGCTTTTCCCCCTCGAAATGCAAAATGTTGCTTCAAGATTGGGTTGCAACGGCACCTGAACTAGTGATAGGCAGTGAAGTAGTCGAACGTGTAGACCGCTTCACTTATCTTGGGAGTCTCATCAGTGCCGATGGCCTGGTGACTGACGAAATCTCGGCACGGATACAGAAAGCTCGATTGGCTTATGCCAAACTGCGTCACTTATGGCGTAGGCGAGATATCCGTTTGCTGACTAAAGGACGAGTGTACTGCGCAGTGGTTCGCTCCGTCTTACTTTATGGCTGTGAAACATGGCCAATGAGAGTAGAAGATACTCGTCGGTTATTGGTTTTCGATCATAGATGTCTTCGAAGCATTGTTCGTATATCGTGGGACAACCGAGTGAGCAACGCTGTTATTAGGAAACGGGTACTAGGTAAGAATGGCAGATCAATCGATGAAGTGATGAAACTTCATCAGTTGAGGTGGTTGGGACACGTGTTGCGTATGCCTAACCACCGACTCCCTCGTCGAGCTTTGTTTTGTAGTGTAGGAATAGGTTGTTATAGTAGGATGCAATGAAGATTGGATTTAGTACTTCATATCATACACTGATTTCAATAAGACAACCATAAAGCCAGAAAGCACTGAGCAGATATTTCGTTCTAGCACAGGACTTATTAGCATTGCGTAATGTTAGACAAATATCACTAATGGACAGGAATGATGATCAAACAAAAACGTAAAATTGACTAAAGTCAGAAGCATCTGACAAGGAATTGTAAACCAAAAGTCTGAAGATTAAGCACTTATCGAAATGTCAGAAGGTCATGGCTGTTAATGGAAAACTACAAAAAGAAACTTACCACAGTTAAAGATGTCCAGTTGTTTGTTATAGATTCAACTATTTTTGGATGTAAACATAAATCTAATTTGGTAAATAATTGGATATTATCCTGTACAAGGATTCTACAGCATTCTGTTACAAGTGAATTTGCTAAGTTAACCTATAAACTAGGAAAAACGACAGGAAATACAGTCAATGTTGTTTCATTTACAGTGAATATTAAGAGAAGGAAACGATATATATTGGATATTTACACAAAATCGGTCTACAGTCACATTATTTCTAATATTCGCTTTCTAGCCTTCAACTGTTTTTTCTAATTTCAACAGCAAACAATCAATTTCAGACAACGGCATAGTAATATTTGAATATTTTAACACACTGAATAGTTTAATCACATTTGATCAGATGTAATTTGAAGTGTTAACATGAAAACTGTAAGTCAGTTAGATAACCACATCGTTTAGAGTTATGATGTTTCATATTATAAAAATAATGATACATTTGTAATATTCGAATGAGTAGAAAATTCAATTTTTTATGCTTCATGACATTGAGTAGGTTGCTTTTTTTAGAGTAAATAAATAAACTAATTAAATTCATATAAACTTAAAGTTACAAATCAACAAAGCAATAATATTTAGTACAATGGAAAAACCAGTTTGATCAAGTCAATGTCATATCAGCAAAGTTAAAGTGATTTTCTATGAGGCAAGTTAGTGTATTTGTGCGCATATTAGCGGGTGTGAAATTATTTTTCTATTTACTAGGGATATGGTAAAAGTATTCTGTACTAACCACCTTGGGTGCCGCTTAGTTATAGAACAGCTAACAATACAAGACAATAAAATAACAATGGAGTTAGAGCTTTGATCTGAATAACCAACCCTCACAAGCCAAACCGTCTGTCGTAGTAAAAGAAAAAGGTTAAGCTTAGATATTCAGAGTCAGAGTATTGTTGTCAGTTAACTTTGTAAATCTACAGTGTTTTCGTCACCAGCTGACATCATTTATAATGCAAAAAGATTGAAGTTAGATAGTAAGAGTTCAGCTGAAGTTAATGCTTTCACCATTCTTCCGTTAACAAACTCAATATACTTAGGGCTGAAATTTAAAGAAATAGTTCGAAATGGAGAATATTATCCAGCTTCATTAGATACTTTTGACTACACGCATCAAATCATAGCGAGTACTTTAAAACACAATCTGCAAGTGTGTCTGTAATTTAGCCTGAGTACCATCTTAATTTTCAATTTTTGGTTGAATAATAGACATGTTTATTGATTCCAAGAACTAATTATCGACAATAAATAAAGTGCAAGCTATAAATCAGTGCACTTTAAATTTCATGCAAAATATATGACACATTGTGTACAATTCTGATTGGTTGACTCAAGACTGTCAGTAAACTATTGTTTTATTCGGATATCTCAAATACACAATTATTTTGACTATTGAAAATCTACCAGATGCTCACTGTATTTGAAATTTTAAGTCACACTTTACCAATGATACTGTGGAGTTTTAGGTTAACGAAACTGATGTATTCAAATAATCTACACAACCAAAAGTAATGACAAACTTGATACTTTGAATACTATCATAAAATAAATAGTCAGAAACCTCTCGATTTTAAACATTCTGATTTCTAAGTAACTTTGAATGAATAGAGGATATAATCTATAAGATGACATGAATTCATTATATATTAAAACTTATCAACAGATGCAAACGGCCTAAATTTAAATTATTATTAGTGTGATCAAATTTCGCATAGCGTAATCAAAGATATTCAGCTTGAAAGGATATAGCAAAACAAGAACAGGATATATCATATTTAACATTATATAGTTAAGACTGATTAGGTATGATGTGCTGAAGATGAAACCGTGTGCTGTTACGGGTATGACGGCGGATGTCACTTCTCGGCCGCCCAAACTGTGGAAGGATATTTCTTGAGGAACCTGAAAAGCAAGATGAGTTAGCATTGGCCTTAGTGGCCTGTGAGCGTGACCTCAGAGCCCAAGGAAAGACTGCTTAGGGTCGGTCACACACGCTCTTTTTATGGAAAGCTTTTGAAGTTAGCTCTGATCTTCAAAAGGCTTTACCGCCGGAGACGGGAATCCATTGGGTGGGGTGAGGTGTGACATACCTTGGGTGGACCTTTTCTAGCTCCTTCCTTCCTTGTGAGAAGGCAGCATTTCTGCAGATGCTCGTTGTCCGAAGGAAACACCTTACTGTTGCCACACCCCTCTACATTGAGCAGTAAGACTTCGCCCTCAGACTTTAAGTTGCTGCTTTTAGTCTTACCGTTCTCCAATCGACCTGCCTGACACGGTAGAACCTACAGGAACATATGTTCCAGCCAATATAGCTCGGTCGGGTCATCACGATAGGCAAGCCCAACCACCATGTCAAGGCAGCAGATACAATCGGGTAAAGATAAAATCACACAAAGGATAATAAAGAGATTATGAATCAAAGCAAACTGTTAATCAATGAGATAATTAAGAAACCTAGTTAACATTAAATTAATGTTTAGTAAATGTCAGTGTAGTTTACTACTGTAAGTCATCAAATACAATAAAGAGACAGTATTATTGACAAATGTTGAATAATATAAGTTACCACAGTGAGGATTTGATTATATTATTAATGATATTAATTTAGAGCTTTCAAAAATGATAAGAAACTTTGAAATACAATGTAATTATGTTATTCTGCAAATCTCACCATTTAATTAACTTTAATGAAAGAAACTTATCATTTTATACACTTGTCTATTTGACCTATCACGTAAAGGTTTGTGCAGGGGTGGGGGTGGCAATAAAATACCCAGGTGCCCATAGACCTAAGTGGAATGGACTTCGAATCTATAGCGTACAATTTGAAAGGAATATATAGGCTAAAACCTAATTGCGATCCACAAAGGTTATTTTGAATCCTATTGTAAATGAAACTTTCTTTAAACTCCATTTATCAATTGTAAGTAAGCACTCATACGTATTATGTTCACAAATCAAAGTTAATCAAGGTAAACTTATTTCTATAAATTATAAATAGTTAAAATTTAATTAAAATGAATGATAAGTTAAACAAACAAAACTGACCACATGAGATTTTTTTATATTTTCTGCAACAACTGCAGGATCATAAGGATGTGAGTAAATTTCTTCTTGTAAATGGTATCTATGAATTATATGATGTAACAATTCACTTTCCTCCTTGATTGAACCTGTAAATGGGAAGATAAAAGGAACAAAAATAAGCAATTAGACATCAATTATGATCTCTGGAATCGATCAAAAGTGATTTGGTGTAAAAAGACTAGAAAAAGTATAACAAAAACTGAACCCTAACTCTTTTATCATCTCACTGAGTTTTTACTCCCAAATTAGTCGGCTGTACAAATTGCCACATTGTTGGAATAACAAAATTCAAAAAGCTTAGTCGTACCCTACTCTTAAAAAACATGCAGTGTTAAAAGCTTAGGGGTAGAAACTTCTACATCTTAACTCGGAACTTGTTTTTACACTCGTAAACGTTTGCCACTTAAGAATTTCAACTCGATCATCCCGAGTTTCAAAATGATTATACACTTCCTACTTAAAGAGTCTATTCTTTTTTCTACGACCATATTCTGTCTAGTCTTGTTTACTATCAATGTGACTAATATTACAACTTCTTAACTTACTGTATATATATAAGTGTTCAAAAAAATCATTTGTCTCTTTTTTTAAACTGATAAGAAATGAATAAGATATTAAGAAGCATTGAAAAATTATTTTTAATTAGCCTTACGGTCAATCTATCTACATTCGAACCTTGATATCAAAAGCAAATTCATATAAACCAAAAATATAATGCAAACTGAAATACATAATTTTGTTCTTTCAAAACGAGTTACGCTAAATATTATACTGTGATATTCTTCTTGCTAGTTTAGACAACGAGTTATGCATTTTATAGGAAAAATTTTAAAAATGACTGATTACAAAGAACTTACGACAGAAATAGGCATTAAGCTTTAACTTCCCACGAAAACATTTCAAACGACCTCTAAGTTGTAATATTTGGCCAACATATAAATTAGACGACTGTTTAGCTGAAGATGAAATAGGTTGTGACTTATATGATAACTTGATAAGTTGATCACACAAGTTATTCTGTTCAAAATCAATTGCATTTGTTCTGGTTGATGATACTTGAATATTGCTTGAATGGTCACGACGCCATATTGTACAGGTTATACAACCAGTCCCATCGTCCACTAAAAATCATATATACTATTAGATAATAAAATACAACTCAATAAACACATACTTGTTTGTGTATTAGATTGAAGCCTAGTTGGGTATCAGCCAATTATTATTCAACTGTTTATTTCACAGCTCAACAAAATCATAAGCTTAACATTAAGAGAGATTTCTAACTAGTCAGCTCTCTAAAATTAGAATATTTATTCGGAAAAATATAACAGATATCTCATGTGAGTCCAAAGTTAATTTAGGTTCAATGGGAAAAGAGTGAGTAAATCTATACTTTTATACCAGCTAGAACATTGCTTGATTGCTTAAGTAGAGTCTAAATCATGGGAATAAGTGCCATTAATCAAGATTTTAAGTAAAGGTTAGAAACTAGCTTTTAAGATATTCAACATTGTATTGTTTCAGGAGAACTACTTGTTTTCTGTCGGACTTTTTTTTGTTAGTCTCCTAGTATCTTTAACGTTTTGTCGTTTACATCTTTCCAATTTTTCCTTAACTGATTTTCTGATAATACCATCTTATGGGAATTGAACTAACGCATTTTTGATAATTTTAATACTGCTTATGACCAGGTGATAACACCTTAACACGGTCTAGACCCAAATAACCAAATGGACTAATTAAGTAGAGACATCAGGAGGAATAGCTCGAAAGTCTACGTTGAGATTTTTCGTACTTAGGTATGAGTTAAACTACATGACGGCTAATGATACTACACGGTCAGTCGAACTGAAACAGGAGGGCGAGGTGTTCGAACTTGGGACTCAGAAGACGAAAGTTGAACGCCTTAACCAATAAACTAACGTGCAATCACAGGGCTCCCACAAATAGTATCCTTCAAGTGACAAAACCAAACCAAATCATTAAAAACACGAATCTGCAATAATCTATAGCTTACAATCAACAATAAAAAATCTCTCGCGTTCATAAATAGTGCGCACTATTCCCACAACATCCACAAATAATAACCATCTAGGACCGAGACGAAAAGGACCTAATAAATGAATAAGAAAATAACAAATGTAATAACACGCTGCATAAATTAAAGAATATGAGACTTATTTAAAATAGGTGTACAATAGACGGAAGAGATGCTTGTTGGTGGTTCAGACATTCGATAAGCATGCTTGAGATCTAATCTATCAAAAATCATAGAGCTGAGTAATATTCAGTCAACTATTATCAACATGGATTCTGCCACATATTTGTCTTAACCGGAGTCGCTATGATGGCGATACAAATTGGTTTGTCGTTATTTTGACCGAATACACATTATTAAGCCTCTGCAGAAGACGAAGATCAAACACAAAATGGCCAGGTTTTACAAACATGGCATAGAACTGCTCTCGCTGCACTTGGAAGATGTATAGTACGTGCCATACGCACACACACTGACTGCCTACTGATCAAGTGATAATGGAATGGCTCGAGTATCATCATACGGTAGGACAATATCACTCCCATACCTAAGATCAAAAAATCTATCTTCAGGTAGACGATCAGCACTACTATTACTTACTTCGATCAGAGTTATTTCCAGAATGTCATTAATGGCAAAGCTAAAAAAATGGTGATATTAGACAATCCTGCCTGGTCCAAATGCTGGAATGGAACAACGTGGAGAGGTGGCTGTATCTCCCTACCCTGACTTAGGTGTATTTAGGACATCCAAGCTATTAATCAAACTTCTCAGACACACTCTTCTTCAACATACCTTATTTCTGTCCGAATAATCGAAAGCGATCTTGATATCAAGAAATATAACTACGTTGGCTTTCGATAAGTGTGGTGGTTTTATTGTTTGATGGAAATATGATCAGAACATCCTCATGAATCAGCCTTCTGTTTTTTTCAAACAATCTACGAAGTATGACGGAAGCCAGTAATTTGGATGCGATCAGAAATAGACTTATTTCCTGATAGTTGTTGAACGGCTAACGTAAACACTTTTGAAAGATGGGAAGAAAGATTGTCTCATCCCATTCTCAGAACATTCAATATTTCTCAGATGTTTCTAAACAAAACGAACACTTAACCGCTTAAAAGCTCACTAATATTTTTCAAGTGACGGAAGTGACTCTTCTAGGATTGTCGCGCCTAGCATGTCGAGGTTTTTTAAAGATCTGGCTTTTTGGTAACCTTTTGCGCCAGCTCATTTACTCAAAACCACATATCTCACGAAATCATCATGATGGACCAGATTTATCTATCTTTAGTAATACCAGTTACATTTTCCTTCATAAAACCACATATCTTATACGATTTTTAGTATATTTTATTCTTAATAAAACTGCGTATTTTGGCGAATTATAAGAGAAATAATCTATGATATGACAGTCCACTAATTGTATATAGTAGTGATAAACTGGTGATTTAATTACGTACGAAGTAGAGGACCGACTAAAATATGTAGTTTTATGATAATATACTTTTTGATAAAACGATAATTAGAGTAGTGAAATTTACAGCTGAGAAATCATAATATACTAGTAATTGAGGATTGAAATAAATAAGAGTACGACTAATAATTTAATTTTATAACATCCACAATGGTAGTTCACTAAATATATTTGGTCAACTGCCAAAGACTAGATTGTTCTATTCAGATTTGGTAGCACTAAATTCCCACCCTACGTATTATTAGGTCTATTGTTTACTATCGATCTAACTATCAGTCATATGTGGAAACAGAGAGAGGTATGCAAAACTTGTACATGAATGTATATTGTTACAGTAATCGTGATTTACATAAAAATAAAATCAATAATAATTGGACGATATCTAAGTGAAAAAAAAGAAAAAGTATGTGAAGAGTATCCAGATGTTTATAATACAATAAAAGACAGAATGAATGCAACAGAATCGGCTTGAACAAAACCATTGGAAGTATCCACTGGTTTTATTATCTAGTGGGTGCGGTGCGAGAAACTTATATCTCTTAACATACTACATAATTGGCCAATGACTTCGGAAAGTGAAACGATTAGCTCAATATACTTAAGTTTACGACTATTCATTTGTACACAACCGCCTAAATCAGATTTCTATTCTTTAGTACACAATTATTACTACCCCCAAAATCAACAACCTATACCTCTTTGGTGATATCTCATTTCATGTGTGATACCAGAAACGTTTATGCAATCACAAAAACTTATTCCAAAAATACCGATAATAAAATAATTGCAGCTCAGTGTAAGTGTTTCGTAACTGCCAGCCAAACGCGACGTAGAACCTGGAGCACATGTATATCGGTTTAGGTTGTTATATCCCATTAGCACAGCGAGAAAAAACTGTTTAGGCAAATCCCAGATCAACAGTAGTAGTAACAGTATTAATGGTAATACAGAAAACCATGCATCCAAGGTATAAATCATACACATAAACTAGTGTCTTTAGAAGATTAACAGGAATTTAGAAGCATATGGTCAAGTCATGGCAAAGAGTGGATGCAGCCTTATCATTGCAAACAATTTCCAAACATTGTGTTCAGTCTTTAACCTTCAATTAAGATAATCACGCAGACCCCGATCACACAGTTTGCGTCTACTTATACAGATCAGTTTATTAATTGTCCTTGGTTTGACCGCTTCTAAGATTCTTTCAAAAACAATTCCCTCACTAACATTCAACTTTTAAAGACTATTCTTACCGTTATTACCAACTAGTTTGATTTCGGATAGTTTCCCCAATAACAACTGATAGTGTTCATTAGCCAAAGGATCTAATATAAATGAAGGTGCATGAAATTGTGCTTTATCTGCATCTGGGAGTTCTGCAGACAACCAACGACTATCATCAAGAGAACTCAAGGACATCACTAAAAATCAAAATGAGGTACTCAATAAACCACAACACAAAAATATTTGATGTATCATTCAAATTGAACGTATCATATGTAGCTCGTAAAAATAGATTTACCATGAAGATGATACTGATTCGGATTGAGTTATACGACTTTCATAGACCACTTGCTGTATGGTAGAGGACTGAAGTACTTTAGTTTTGTCTAAAGCAAAACACCCTCATTATGATCTAGTTTGTGGACGTTTCGGAACAGAGACGAAACGTTCACTGGAATTTGCAAGGTTCCTCAAAAAATCCTCATTATTTGGACATGTAAAACCCATAGACATTGTACTAGTGAGAAAACATACAAGATCTACGGAACGAACTTTTTTTCTACACAGGTACATTCAACTCAAAGTGTTGAAACAGATTCAAGAAATGATTCATTTGTGAAACAGACATAAAAGCATTGAAAGAAAGTTATCTGCACAACGATAACGAAGCTTGGAATGTATAATCCCTACATATGGAGATATTTTTAGAAATGCCTGCAAGATGTGCATAAAACAGTAATACTTTAGCGTTCACAAAGAAAATGCATGTTACACGTGTTATGAGCGCAGAAAAGATAGGTTGATCTATATCCAGAGTACCTCTTTGTCAAATGTGTTGGTAAATAGGGAAAGCAATGAAGTACCGACGGATCCTTACTTTCAAAATATAGATGATATTAGTGAATGAAAGTTGTACACCACTTCTCATCTTTGTATGATTCATTTTAAATAAGTTTATGCTTTAGGACTAAGTATTACAATTGCTAATCAGCATTGCAGATCAGTTTACCAAAAGAGCTGAATGCTATCTCCACTAGGACTTTCCAGAACAACCGGTGCGCTGAAAAATAAATCTCTGTCAACCCTTTGAGATGACAAGAAACGTTAAGAAAATGATTATATTCGAGATTCACTAATGAGAAACGTTATGAATCATAACCCTAGAAATTCAGAGTTCCTGAATTCTCATAAGCAGTTTACAAAAGACTACCTGGCTAAAAGAAGATCACAACAATACCCAGGTAGTAAAATACATATGCTTTCTAACTGGTTTAGGGTGAAATTGGGCGACGTGTTTAGTCCAAAGCCAAAGCTAAGGTCTTATACGAAAATATCACCAATTTAATAACTTGCTTCAGTCACCTAGAACTAATGGCATTACACATTAAAGTGGATATTATATGGTATTCACTGGAATTTGTTAGTTTGGTTTGTTGAGTCGTCATATTTATCCTCCATTATTAGACAGTTTTTTTCCGTTTCAGCAACTAGAGATATACCTTTTTGAGGAAAGAACACAGGAATGATGTTTTGAGATAATCGGTAGCCTTCGAAGATGTGTCTTACTTAAGATTATGTTTGTAACTGATTCGGCTGAGGCTAAATTTTTTGTAGTAGAGTTTACACACAGCCTCATCAATAAAGTACTAAGTTCATTTCGTACATTCTATTGGACAGTAAGTGTTAACTATACAAAACAAAGCCCGTAATTCATAAATCTAGAAAATTGGTAAATACTTTGCATTTTACAAGCCATTACAAGATACATTCAGAAATACAAATGCCTGAAAACGTTATCCACAGGCCTATAAATTCATGAGGTCACCAGATAAACCGGAAGAAAATGCTGCACCACTGTATTCAGTGACATGACCAAAGTCTAAACAACTACATAAACAACCGGAGGATATGTAAACAAACAAAGAGAATTCTCGACATAAATTAAACAGTGACTCGATGTTTGTTATTTTTGCGGAGTTATTAAACATATATGGCTTTCAACGTTTGCTTGGTTTTTGTGTAGCGTGAGGGTATGGAGAGTATACTCTCCGTACCAGTGTGACTAAGATGAAAAGTACAAGAAAATGGTGGCGTGGGAACGTTAAACACTAAGATTTCACTTACGTAATGAACGCAACCAGTAACAACTAGCAATAGCTTATACTTGAGATCAAGCGAACTAGACAACCGAAGCAAGAAATCGGCGGTGCCAACACTCAAATGTTTCACAAACTACCATCTTTAAATAGCCGCTTTCAGACAAATGTGATAGCTTTCGAGTCCATTGTACAATGAGTTTGAAGCTGCTTGACCTTCAATTTCTCCGTCAACTGCGCGTGGTTGAACCTTTGCGCAATGAGATGGTTCTTTGTGAATTTCTATTACTTTGTTTTCTCTGTCTTAGTGGTATCTCAGCTACTAAAAATCTACATTTATTTCATAGTCATATATTAGCTTGTCATACGGAAGACACACTTCAAATTGGGCTGTTCTTGTAGATACATCCCGGTTCTGGTTCAACTATCGACATATTAGCAATGTCCTTTCTATTTACCGGAGTATCAAGCGTCTTGGAATACCAGATAGGTATCAAACTAAATAATTACTTATTTTCAAAGCCGCATTATTTTAATGGTGGCTGATGATGCAAGTTGTAGCTCCAGAAATCCGAGACCAGGTAAGATATTTGACGTGTCTGTATGCTCTTAGCTACTATCTTTAACAACCCTTATAGTCGTGTAAATCTGTATGGTGAGGAGTTAGAAATCGATTATCGCGGTTATGAAGTTACTGTGGAGAACTTCATTCGTGTATTAACTGGGCGTTTGCCTCCTTCAACACCTATTTCTAAGCGCCTTAATACTGACGAGCACAGTAATATCCTAATATTCATGACAGGTAGTATTTAAAAACTTCAATAATAACTTCAGGTCACGGTGGTGATGGTTTTCTTAAGTTTCAGGATGACAGTGAGCTTTCTAACAGTGAACTGGCCGATGCAATCGAGCAGATGTGGCAAAAACGTAGGTGAGTCTGGATATATTAGCCTTTTCTCTTACAAACTGGGTTTAGATAATTTCGAAAGATGCGTTATCTTATTTGATGACAAACATGTTTGAAACAGTTTTATTTTTGATTGAGTGAGATTTAGACATTGCTTATATCTTTTCTCGTGTAAGGATATTCTGCCAATCTAAATCCACAAGTGTGATGTTTAAATTTAGTAGTTCGGCCACTGCTATATGTTTGAAATTTCGAGCTATTATTTTCATTGTAAATCGCATCATTTTTGTTTACAAGTGTCACTGGAGGTTTTACTACTACCTTTATGACTAATTAGTCCTTTATTAATAGTGTTCATATTGTCGCCTACTAAGCGCCCTACTTTTTACTTTGCTTACAACCTGTGGAACTTTAGTGAACTATTTCAAATAAGCGCATTCTCACCCTTGACTAATAGGAGTAGTCCACTTTTTCGTAAGCACTCAGTAAATGCCGCCACGTTTAGTATTAAATCCGGCATTATCTGTGCTTTACAACGGATACCTCAAATTTTACGCTTCCTTATAAGTTTTTTTTACGTAATTGTTCGGATTCTATGTCTTTAAAATGCTGTGTTGTGATTTACTAATCAGTACGTTTTTCTGTTTCTGAAATAGATATCACGAATTACTTTTTATTGTTGATACGTGTCAAGCCGAATCAATGGGGAAGCTGTTCTATTCGCCCAATGTAATAGCTATCGGTAGCAGCGCTGTAGGAGAAGAATCGTTATCTGTGAGTCCAAGTAAATTTTTTAAAGGCTTTATTCTTTATGTACCACCCAATTCTTATTCACTTTTATATGAGTTCTCTCAACTAATACTCTACATATTAGCCCGCTTCAACGCACATTAACATCAACCTCTTAATTGATTATGACTGACTTGACTTTGTTGTTCCATGTTTTCCCTATTATTGTAACGCTTGCTTGAATAATTTCCAGCTAAATCCTATTGCTTAGTATTCTCTGACCACAATACACTGGACAAGTTCCCAATAATCAAAACACGGTTGAACAGGAAAAGATTATATTCCAAATAGCAAGGTTAAATGGAAATAAGAAGGCGAAGGCGAAAATAGATACAACGTTAGTTACTTTATAGCATTTACATAAGAAGCTTCTAGATAGTAATTCACGTAATCGACTGGATTAGATTTAATTCCGTCTATGTCCCACTAACACCTCCCCTTTGAGAAGATTCGTAGGATCTGGTGCTAGAGTCCAACTGCTTCCTGGGTGCCTTGCCACCCGTACTCTTACGAGCCGCCTGCTTTGTAGGAGCCATATCTTTAAACAACCGTCGATTGGGCTGCTTCCCCATCGATAAGTTTTGTTGAGGCTCATGAGCAGCATATGGTATAGGGCGTCTCGGACGTGAAATAGGTTTGGCATCTGCTTTCACTGGTAGGTGAGCTTTCACATTCGTACAGCGGCCAAGGCTATTCTGAAAAACAGAGGCTGACTTCCTCTTCCATTTATCTTTTAACCTTTCACCTGTCTTCTTTTTAAGTATCGGGGTGTCCAATGATGAACACGGCACGCTGCAGACACTGTTAATGGGTAAATCCATTATTCCCAGTTTTTCTAGCATATCTAGACCAAGAAGATCAAGGTTTGGCCGTTCTGTCAGATAGCATATTCCTGTACATTTTTTTCCGTTGAAGGAAAATTCACACTGCATCTCACCAACCAGTTTTAACACACCACCTGAAGCGCTTTTAGCTGTTTTCTTAGATGGCTTCATTGGCGGTTTTCCCAGCAAGTTGTACGTTTCTCTAGACATTAAGGTGATATCTGATGCCGTGTCGATTTGAAAACGAGCTGATGCACCGTTCATCTGGATAGTAACATACTTTCTCCGAACGTCATAGTCTGTTTGAAAAGCAGCTACCAGAGAAAGTGATTTAGACTCGGCTAATTTCACCACATGTCGAGTACGTTTATGCTTCTTCCTGGGCTGAGACGTACGATTTGGTTGACAATGGCCTTCTTTATGTCCACGTTTGTTGCACATCTGACATTTATGTTTTTTAAATGGACAGAATCGTACGTAATGCCAATCATCACATAACCAACATGCAGTCGTTGGTTTGTTACAAGATGTTATCGGCTTCTGGACTTTTAACCTAGTAATAGCATTGACACTACTGCTGGTTAAATTAGGATTTACCTGTTCGATCAACATGTCCTGTCTGATACTTTGTAGCCGCTTAAACTCATCTGTCAATGTTCTGAGTGCGACGTTCGGGTCTTGGTCCAGTCGGGTTAGAAGTCTGGTTCTGATCTCAGCGTCTTGCGGTGACTGAAGAGCTTTGATGAATATTAAGCATTTAAACTGGTCATCTGTCAACGAGCGTAACTTGAATCGTTCACATTCTCTGTTGACGATGTCTGCAAGGACCACATATTCATCATCTTCGTGTTTCACCAGATTTAGGCACTGATATCGAATACTAAACGATGAGGATGCTTCACCGAATATTTCTGACAACTGAACTACCGTGTCCTCGAAACTGAGCTCTCGAGGTAACTTTGGTAATATGTGATCAGTATAACGCGCATATTCATTAATTCCCAACTTACGCACCAACAAGCGAGTCTTCCACGCATCGTCTTGTTTACCGAATTCAATTCTAAATGTATCTTCTCAACGTTTGAACCACGTCAGAAAAGTATTTCCACAGTCAGGATTATAGATGAATTCTGGTATGTTGTTTACCACTGCTTCACAAGACGTATTTAAAATAGCATGTGGACTCGAACACTGGATGTTGAGCTGTTGAGTTAGGGTCTCCAACAACCGCATTTATGCATCTAATTGTGCTTGCTGTTGTTGTAGTATTTGGTTAAGCTGATCATCTGAGATAGGCATCTTGATTTTTTTTTCCTTTTTTTCCTCGTCGTCACTATTGACGACGCTTACTTAGATAATTCCCAGCTAAATCCTATTGCTTAGTATTCTCTGACCACAATACACTGGACAAGTTCCAAAGAATCAAAAACACGGTTGAACAGGAAAAGATTATATTCCAAATAGCAAGGTTAAATGGAAATAAGAAGCCGAAGGCGAAGGCAAAAATAGATACAGCGTTAGTTACTTTATAGCATTTACATGAGAAGCTTCTGGATAGTAATTCACGTGATTGACTGGATTAGATTTAGCCAATCAAAGTGCGGGTAGCAACACGAGAATTTTCTACCCTGTTCTCCAAGAGTCGATCAGGCGCTGATTGGATAGGAAATGAGCCAATCAGCGCGCAGCAAAGTAGTCATGCTTTAATTCCATCTATGTCCCACTAACACCCATAAATGTCATTCTACCGAATGTTTTATAGTGTCATCCATCATTTTAACCTAGGTGGCTGTCAGGTCCGGAAATATTTCGCACTGTTTGGTTTCGGACCTGAACGTGGCTGTATAGATCATGTTTCCACACTACGACAGGTCTAATTTAAGCATCCAACAATAGTTGTCTTCCTGGACCTTAAGGCAGCATTCGACTCTGTTGATCGTGAGGTTCTGCGGCAGTGTCTGTCATTAAAAGAAGTACACTAATCTTATGCAAGCTCTACTCAAACACTACAGGTCGAGTGAAAGCTTATGGCGAACTGTCATCTGAATTCTTTACTTCAAGTGGTGTCCGTCAGGGATGTCCATTTCCTCCATTCTTGTTTAATTTTGTCATAGACATGCTTTTAGAATTAACATCATCGTTTGAATTTTCAGCTGTGGACCTTCTACCGAGGGACACGCTTGTTGACTTGGAATATGCCGATAACTTAGTTGTACTTGGTGAAGACGGTGACAAAAATGCAGAGTCTTCTGACTACCCCAAGTAACAATGCAAGCATGTTCGGGATCCGGTTTCGCCCCTCAAAATGCAGAATGTTGCTTCAGGATTGGTTCGTATCAGCGCCTGAACGAGTGATAGAGAGTTAAGCAGTCGAGTGTGTAGACCGCTTCACTTATCTCGGTAGTCTGATGACTGGCGAAATCACAGCACGGATACAGAAAGCTCGATTGGCTTTTGCCAACCTGCATCACTCATGGCGTAGACGAGATATCCGTTTGCTGACTGAAGGAGGAGTGTACTGCGCATTAGTTCGCTCCGTCTTACTCTATGGCTGTGAAACATGGTCAGTTAGAGTAGAAGATATTCGTATGTCACTGGTTTTCGATCATAAGTGTCTCCGAAGCATTGCTCGTGTATCATTGGACAACCGAGTAAGCAATGCTGTTGTTAGGAAACGGGTGTTAGGTAAGGATAGCAGATAAGTAGATGAAGTATTGAAACTCCATCAGTTGAGGTGGTTGGGACATGTGTTACGAATGCCAAACCACCAACTACCTCGTCGAGCTATGTTTCGCGATGTAGGAATAGGTTGGTATTAGTAGGTTGATATTCCTCACTTATTGAATTAATTCGATGTTACCAACACCTTCTAGTCAGTAGGTTTCGTGAATAAATTCATAGGCTTAGATTTTTTTATGTAGTTTTGATGGAATAACCCACTGAATTGGATATGATTGAAATCACGGTTTCTTTTTAAATGTAATCATGTTTTTATGTGAACTTTAATAATAACTGATCGTATTCTGTGTAAATAATATTATTATTATTTTACCATTCAGCTTCATTCAGACCGTGAAATTGGAACCTATGTATCCGATCGATATTCCTATTATGCATTTCAATTTTTGGAGTCTGTTTCTCCTGTGAGCAAAAAAACATTATATGATTTTGTAAGTTTGAATTTCATTATAGCTTTCTGTTTTTTACTAACAATTTAATATTGATTTTTATGCTAGTGTAAACGATAAGTAGTGGAGAAAATTTACAACTCAGGTGAATGATCATAAACGAGTTTCGTTCTCTGAGCTGGATTTTTAGGTTGTGGTGCTTTCATTGTTCTTCTTTACTTGAAGTTTGTGCTAATGATATTGTTCAGAAGAACAATGAGAGCTCCGCAACCAAAATATCCAGCTCAGAGAATGAAACTCCATCATAATAAACGACTGAGATTATGATTGATGAATATCTTATTATTCCTCATCCCTTTACTATTAGCCTTGTTAGTTATTCTTATTATTATGCTATTACTGTAAAGTGTAAAGGTATGAAAACAGTGGGTCTTTTCAGCAACAAAAATACCCTACTTATAAATAGAGTGATATTAATGTTAGTGGCTTGAATGTTACTTAACTACGTCAGGAATCAATAGACATTTTGAATTGTGATGACTGCATTATAACATAAATAGACAAACTTTTGATATTGGAATAAAGTTTAATCAAAAAATACAGACGCAAAAACAAGTCTTTCTAGAGAACTAAGAGATTAATTTGGTTACAGAAAACGAGTAAAGCGATATAATAAATTCCTAATGTTTACACGGTTCTGCCTTCTCTTTTTGTGTTATGGAAGTTCCGGCATTGCGCAGAAGACGAAAGGTCACTACTTTTGATAGGCGCCTATTCTTCATGTAAATGATTTTGAATTTAAAATCTGTTTCATAGGGTGACTCTTTTTCACAGTGTCCAGTCATTGGGCCTTGTATGAATCCACTTTCATCTGTTTGTAATATACAAATGTTAAATCGACTGGGACGAACTTTATGAATATGATTTATAACTTTTTAGCTGCCTGAACTTTCGATTGCCTGCATATAGATCGAAGATGTCAAGTTCAGGTAAATCAGACATTTTTAAGCATTGCATTAAATCTGTACTGTTGTGCTGGAAAGATTCAGCTCAGAGAACGAAACACCACAATAGTCATCCACCTGAGCTACAAATCTGTACTGTTTATGCTTTACTGCTGTTAATTTTATATTCCATGTCTTCCTCTCCATTTTGTCGATTATATTTTTTTGCACTCAAGTATGATATGCTACATTGAAAAAATAAATAATTATGACAAGTCTTACATTCTTTCAACACATTATCAACAGCTGTCTTTTTTCATTGTTGTTCTAGACTAAGGAAGTCGCCACTTTATGATATTAATTAAACTAAGATGTGGCGCTAATTCATAATTTAGATAATTGTTATTGTTCTGATGTGCGGTGTCTGAGACCTGGTCGCAACACATACTAACCTCTCAATCTGGATACTTGAGCTAGAAGGCAAGAGCAGAAGAGAAAGTGTATTTGGTTACTGAATAATATATACAGATCTCGTCCATATATTATATATATATATATATATATATATATATATATATATATATATGTATTCCGTCTCCTTAGAAAAGGAAGACGTTTATTGACCAGTGATATATATATTCGTCCTTTAGGACATTTTTTGATATTAATCAAATGACCTTTTTATTCGGTCACTTTCAATTGGCTCACTATATCAGTTAGTGAACAGTTTGCACTATTTGAATGTTATCTGGGCGGTGGTTGAATATCTCGTTAAGTAAATTACACTGGTTGGTGGTCACGAATTCACATTTCTTTTTTCATACATTTTAATCATCCCATTATCGTTTATTGTATAATTTTTTTTGCATATTTCTACAACCTAAGGTCACTCCAGTCGAAACATCATAATATGTTTTATTAGCTTATATTTTATTCAGCTTTTTAATTATACAAATAAATTATACTGTACTTTTATCTTGTTTTATAAACTAGTCGCAATTATGCCCTTTCTCATTATGTCAATCAACTGTTATCACTCGATCCGATTTATTTGGACGTGATATACGTCGCGTACTTGTTACAGACTTTTTCGGTAGCGTACGTCATATAATCCCTGGACCAGTCTTAGAATTTAACAGTTCCACGTCGGATAGAAACGATACATTGTAAGTTCAGTACATATACAAGTGATTATTTTTTTTAATTGAAAAAAAAAGATTTCATGTTTCAGACTAAACAGTTTCAAAAATACATCCACTATTTTCCTATCTAGTTTAACTCAATTCTTATAGGGATTAAAATTGGCTTAATCTATACGACAGTGTAATGTAATTATTTTTCCACTTCTCAACGCGATGACGCGATGAAAATCCATGCCGCATAAATGGCTTCTGATTAGATGTCAAAATCTACTTGAACATGAAACCATTTCATCTATTCAAGTCGAGCACTAACTTATTCATAAATTTGAATGGTACTTGTTGTTGATGAATATTTTGATGAAAGTGGAATCGATTTCTTAACGGATCACATGCAAGCGGAAATAAATTTTTACAGTTATCTAGACTGAAATTTTAATTATTCTAACATGAAAATAATTGACAAAAAATTCCATTGTAAATGGAGAAATTTGATATATCATCCTAAGAACTAAAATAAATTAATCAGTAGGTGTCGAGATGATAATAATCGATGGTTAGAGACCCTGAATGACATGGCTTAAAACTGTTTGCAATGGCGCAGGTGCATACAGTCTTTGTGTTTTTTCAAGTCCTAACCTTCTGAATTCCTCTTCACCTCTATCTTTCTCTTTTCCTAAATTTACCTCACTGAATTATACTTCTTGAATAATATCCTCTAATTCTAACCTCTCCGATTACTTCTAATACTTTTACTACCTTTTCTACAATGGGATTTGAATGGTCAGTTATATCTCTGTGCTAATGTGGTATGGCAACTTGAAGTGCTGTACTTACGTGCAAAGTTCTACATTGCTATTGATTGATTGATTGAATCAGTTTACTACTAACAGATACAGATTCCTATTAATAACGTCAGTAATAATAATTATAATTATTATTATAAATGTGTTTGAAAACTCTTGAACTGAAAATTTGAATAGCTGAAATTTAATTTTTATCATAACTATTTCAATGAATTATTGTAGGGTTCATTTAGCTAATGGATTTGGCTAGTAAAAATCGCTTTAGAGATGTTTCAAATAGTGTATAGCCGTAGTAACACTGTAAACTGTACATTCAGTACATATCGAAATTCTAATCAATTCAGTATTGTAAAATAACTACTTAGTTTTTAATTATTCAATTGAAAATAAAAATTAAACAAAATCGAGTCAGTCAGTTGCAACGTAGAACTTCGTACGTATGTACATAAGTTCATGTTGCCATACCACATTAACACAGAGACGCAAATGTCAAATCAAATCCCATAGTGATAAAGATAGTAGAGGTATTAATGGTAATGAAGAAGAATAGGTTTCGAAGATATTATTCAAGAAGTATAATTCAATAAGGTTAGAAGACAAAGGTAGAGGTGCTGACGAATCCAGAAGATTAGTATTTGAGAGAGCTCAAAGAATGGATGCACTTGCGCCATTGCAAACGATTTTGAGCCATGTCGCTCAAGGTCTCTAACCACAGTTGACTTTCGTCTCGCGGACCCCAACCAGGTAGTCTACATCTACCAACATGACTCAGTCCACTTGTCAGTGACTTCATGGATTTCCGCCATGTTTTGGTCTGGCCGAGACAATAACATTTTCGTTTTAACATCATTCACTTAAACTTTACATTCGTATTTCTGAGGTTATTTTTTATAAATAGTGATGTTTAGTAAAATGGAGGCGTGGGTTATGTCACTTAACAAAAAATTTATGTACAATAATAATTCAACTCTACTAGGATATCGAACATGAATAATCTGTCATTAAATAAAGCGATGTTGCACTATTCTACAGTTATCAAAATCAGGACAGCATTGAGCCATTAATTCTTTATGAAAATAGGGAGATTATATGTGCAATGATTCAGATGTAAGAACGTTTCATTTTGTGATTTAACTATATCTCATATACTCAGTAGAGGTGTTCATATCTAAAAAAAAATGGTTTTTGATGTTTATATCGATACTAAATTTCAATGAATTTCTACTTTGGGAAGATAGTATGAAGTGAAGCGAAAGTTTTGTTACAACTGTGAGCTGATGTACAGCATTATGAGTAAGTATCTGAAAAACTAATAACGCCTCTAGTCCATGGATTAAAACGATATGTATATGAAATTATAAAGTCTCAAAAAGGACATGTTGTCATCAATTATTTTCTAGAAAATTCCCTCTTCTAATTTTTGTATACATTGTTCATTTAGACCTAACTTTTGATTCTTTCAATTCCTCTCTATTTCCTATATTTTATAATTACAGAAGTATACACTGAAGCGAAGTATTTTTCGTATGTTACTCCGTATGTCATGGATCTGTGATACTAGTTTTAAATTTTATGTATTATTGTACAATCCGTGAAACTATTTATGTACATTTTTCTGTAATATTTGTTTTAAAATAAATTGAATTTTATCAATCTATTTACGTAGAATTTTTATTAACACCAAACAGAAGAGCTAAGTTTGTTAATCATTATCAAGAGTTTGATTAGTGTTAAGGAAATGAGTTTTAACCTTATGGTACAAACAAACTATTCACATGAATTGATAGTAAATGCATAAAATCTGATCCAAAAGTATAAAACATGCTTTTATCTTGTAACACATCAGATTACTTAACTCGGGTACATTTTTTGAAGCTTCATTAGGTTAGTAGACCATTCACACTAATGTGACTTTCTTCCTTTTAGCATACGTTGCATTGTATAAGACATTATCTCAAACTTGTCATGTCCTTGTTTTTCCAGTAATAAATACTACAGTAGTGATAGATGTTAAAATGTAGTGATAGTAAACATGACTTAGTAGTGGGAACTCTTGCAATACTGTGTATAAACTTTGGTTTGCGGGATAAGGATCTATATTATGCACAACCTTTTTTTAAGAGAGCCAAATGACTTGGGAAGTGGGTTATGTGTGTGCTAATCTTAAACAGAACTAATCACAGTTTCAAACTCTCCAGAAATCGGGGTTTCTTGGTGAAGATCATCCATAAAATGTGACGTTATGAAGGTCTGGTCATGATGTGAAGAGTGTTTCTTGTGGCGACAAATTAGAAAGACGGGTCTGAAATTTTGAGCGAGTGACATTCCTGTATGAATAAAACTTTACGGCGTGTGAGTCATTGCGAATATCAAGCCTAGGGTGCAAGTTTGCGCAAACGAAGAGTTAGTGGCAATATGCGGGTCCTTGCTATCACGAGTAGTCATATTCCACCTGCGTGAAAAGTGATGGATCCAAATCCAACCAAATGAATGAGAATTTAAACATTTGGCGTAAGTGATCTAAGTTTCGCTTTTCTCCTGCTCTTTACATCAGGGAAAGTAGCTTTGCGAAATTTTTAGACCACTTCTAGCAAGTCACCACATTGGGTGTGGCTTGTGATGGCTTTGCATTTGGGTTCAAAGTACACCGCCCGACTTCGACATCAACAGGCTGGATTTCGTAAGCATCGATCGTTTACCGACCAAATCGCAACATTACGGATCATTGTGAAATAATCGATTTAAAGCGACTCACCACTCCACATCAAATTCATTGACTACGAGAAATCATTCGATAGCGTGAACAGCACAACACTATGGAGGCTTCCTCGACACGATGGCGTGCCTGAGAAGATAGTCAACATCATACGGAATTCCTACGATGGATTAGACAGCATGATCGTGCTCGGAGGACAGCTGATAGTCTCATTTAAGGTGAAGACCGGTGTCAGGCAAGGTTGCTTACTCTCACCCTTTCTCTTTCTCCTGGTGATCGACTGGATTATGAAGACATTTTCAATACAAATGTTAGGACAGTCTTACTGTATGGGGCGGAAAATTGAAGAACTATGAAAGCCATCATCCGAAAGATACAAGTGTTTATTAACAGTGGTCTTCGGGTCCGTTGGGCAGACACCACCAGCAACAACCTACTGTAGGAGTGAACAAACGAGAACTGCGTGGAGGAAGCAGCGGTAGAGGTGGATAGGACATATTACGGAATGCACACAATTGCGTCACAAGACAAGCCTGCACTGAGAATCCACAAGATCAAAACAAAAGATGAAGACTCGAAAACATATTAAGCCAAGTGATTGAGACAGGCATGGGTAGAATGAACAACAGTTGGACAGAACTAGAAAGGAAGGCGGTGAATAGAGTAGGTTGTGGAAGGCTGGTTGGTGGCCTATGCTCCATTGAGGGATAACACGCGTAAGTAAGTAGGTAAGGTTACTGTGAAACACTCGAAAAGTTTCAGCTAGTGTTATACATTAGCAACAACAAGTTTATCGTCTCGGTTCAAACATATTAACCCGAGAAATGGAGACACATGAGAAGAATGAGCGAAAAATTGAGCAGAATTGGAAAGGAAAGCCCCGGACAGAATAGGTCAGAGAATAATGGTCGGCGGCCTATACTCCATTGTGAGTAACGGTCGTATGTAAGTTAAAGAACAGCACACACTCATGCAGTCAGCTACGACGTGGAAATTCGTACGTACGTACATCAGTCAAGGTTGTCATACAATACTAGCACACATATGTATTTGTCACTTGAAATCCTATAGTAGTAGAGGTAGTAGTAGTTTCAGCAGTAATCGAAGCGATTACGGTCCGACGAAATTATTCAAGGAACATGTGCCAGTCAAATAAACTTAAAAGAAAATGATAAAGGAGATTAGGAACTCCGGGGTTAGGATTTAAGAGAACACAAAAAATGAGTGCACCAGAGCCATTGCAAAGGGTTCTGAGCCATGTCATTCACAGTGTCTGAACATCGATTATTACCATCTCGCGGGCTCCAAATAGGTAATCCGCATTTACCAACATGACTCAGTCCATTTGTCAGTGGTTTTATGAATCTGTGCTATGTTTTGATCTGGCCACCCCTAGCCTTCTTACAACCTACCTCTACATCTCAAAACACAGCTCGACGAGGCACTTGGTGGTTAGGCATACGTAGCACATGTACCGACCATCTTAACTGATGAAGTTTCAATACTTTATCTGTTGATATGCCATCCCTACCTAGTACTCGTTTCCTAACAACAGAATTGCTTACTCAGCTGTCCCAGGATATACGAGCAATGCTTCGGAGACACATGTGATCAAAGACAAGCAATCTGTAGGATCCAAACTGAGAGTTGGACTGAGGAATAACTGTCTAGGTAGTTTAGATAAGCGGCTTGCCCAGTTGAAACAAAAACAAGTGGTTGGGTAAATGACGGTTCTAATATTCATCATAAATATAAATGTACGTCATTACCTAAACAAATAATACCAGATAGTAGGAAGCAGTAATCTTCTGTGGAGTACACTCGTTCTTTTACTGAGCAGACAGATATCTCGCCTAAGCCATAGGTGATGCAAGTAGGCGTAAGTCCCTAACCCTTCTGTATCCGTGCTGATATTTCGTCTGTCACCAGTTCATCAGCATTGATGAAACCCCCCAGATAAGTGAGTCAACATGCCCAACTTCTTCACTCCCTAATACTAGTTCAGGTACCAATGCCCATCAATCCTGGAGCAACATTTTGCCTTCCGAGAGGGAGAGTGGCATTACGTACTTGCTTGTGTTGTTGCTCAAATTAGTCTGAAGACTTCGCATTTTTTAGCGTCCCCACCAAACAGAATTATATCATCTTCAAAATAAACTCAACTAGTGAAGCCTCTGGTTGAATGTCCACCTCCGTGGAGTTAGTGAATGGAAGTTTCGCCTCCAAAAATTGAATAGGAATGAAGAAAGTGGATAAGGCTGACGAAACCACTTGAAGTAAAGAATTCCGATGACAGTTCGCCATAAGCTCTAACTCGACCAGTGGTGTTCAAGTAGAGAGCTTGTATAAGTTTAATGTACTTCTCTGGTACACCTTTCAATGACAGACACTGCCACAGAACCTCACGATCCACAGAGTCAAATGCCGCCTTAAGGTCTAGGAAAACAACTATTGTAGGACGCCTAAGTGTGTGTCTGTGTTCCAGGACCTGTCGTAATGTGAAGATGTGGTCTATACAGCCACGTCCAGGTCGAAAACCAGACTGATTTTCTCTGGTCTGTTCTTCACGAGCTTTCGTTAGGCGCCGAAGTGTTAATAATAATAATAATAATAATAATAATTTATTCTCAAATAACTAAGTTACAAGAGTCACGCCAGTTTACAGGCTAGATCAAATTGTCACAAATGCTTTTACAATTACGGTAAAAGTTATAGCAGTTAAATTAGGTATAAGAGACAGTTTCTGATTACATATTTACACCATATCACTGACAGAAACAGTATTATACAGCCACATTTTCAATAGTAGAGTACAAATGAGGAAGGTGCACAATAGGTTCTATTGGCGATTGGCCGAGATCAATAGTGAATTTGTTGGGAAAGGTCATATAGAACGCGCTTGATACGAGCTGTGATCCAGACAGTCATGTACATTGGGTGCATGTTCCCTAGAGTAGCCAAGGATTTCCCACCGTGAATGGGGTCCTGAAAAGGAGAAGAGAGAGAGGAAAAGGCAGCAGTGTGGCAAGTGTATATATATAACCAAAGCACTACTTAACCTGTCATGTTGAAGTAGTAAGTCAAGATAAAATTCATAC